GCACCCGAGGCACCGGCACCGAGAGAACCAGTGGCACTGCCTCCAAGACCGGCACCAGCACCGAGACCAGCGGCACCCGAAGCACCGGCACCAGCAGAACCAGTAGCGCTGCCACCGAGACCAGCGCCCAGACCGGCGGAGCCACCAAGACCGGCAGAACCGCCGAGACCAGCAGCACCGGAAGCACCAGCGCCAGCGGCACCAGTAGCACTTCCTCCAAGGCCAGCACCAAGGCCGGCGCTACCACCCAGACCAGCAGAGCCACCGAGGCCAGCAGAGCCACCGAGGCCAGCAGAGCCAGAAGCACCGGCACCAGCGGCACCTGTAGCACTTCCTCCCAGACCAGCACCGAGACCAGCACTGCCACCAAGACCGGCAGATCCACCAAGGTCGGCGCCCAGGCCAGCAGAGCCCGAAGCACCAGCACCCGCAGCACCAGTAGCACTGCCACCAAGACCAGCACCAGCGCTGCCACTTCCACCCAGACCAAGACCGGCACCCAGATCAGCGCCCAGGTCAGCAGATCCACCCAGGCCAGCGGAGCCACCAAGACCGGCAGCTCCCGAAGCACCAGCACCCGCAGCACCGGTAGCACTGGCACCGGCACCACCGCCCAGAAGGGCACCCAGACCAGCGCTGCCGCTCAGACCGGCGCCGAGGTCAGCACCGAGACCAGCACCAGCACTTCCACTACCGCTGCCGCTACCACCAAGGCTGGCGCCCAAGTCGGCGCTGCCGCTGCCGCTGGCACTGCCACCGAGACCGAGACTGGCACCCAGGCCGGAGCTTCCCAGGAGGCTACCAGCGCCGCTGAGGAAGGGAAGGAGGCATGGGATGGGGATGGCGGAGACGGTGGCGGCGGTGACAAGGGTCGCAGCGGAGACTCTGTAGAAGCGAACCATTTTGACTGATTGATTTCGGTTTCTGTGATGGTTAGTACTGCGCCCAAGGAGTAGTTGGATCGAAGGATCAGAAGGTGGTTGGAATATTACCTTCGAGAAACGGGAATCGAGAAGAACGAGAGTTGAACGGAATTATTGAAATTTAAACAAAGAGATCGATACGCCACAGGCGATCTGAAAAGCAAACAAGAGCGAGAGGAAAAAGAGGAGGAAAGACTGGTGAGAGGGATGAGGATGGGATGGAAAGAAAGTCAACCTGATCGGTGGTGGTGATAGAGGCTATATATGCCTTTTTTGCGTCGAAAGGTTCCCGTCTTCCTCTCCCGCATCGCGGAGGAGAGCCATGGCTGTCTCCCCGTGGATAGGGGCCCGTGAAACCGCGGTGGTTTGATAGTGGCTGCTCGTGTCAGTGTAGAGTTTCTAAGAAAAGTGTCCATGGCCTGGTTCGGACCTGCCAAGCATCTTAGTGAACCGTAGAATGAACCATCATCTGGGTTTTCCGACGGGCACGGACTTGGTAGAGAGTGGATACGGTCAGGAACGACGGGCTCTCCTGGGACTGGAACATCTGCATTGATCAAAATGAGCACAGAGCCGGCACTCATCCGGGAATCAGAGCTCCGAATCGGGCAGGGGAGACCGGCTCAGAACCTGGCCGGTGTCGCTGCGTCGAAACGCGCTAGAACTGTGACCCGGGAATCGAGATGAAAAGAGATTTTCGATCTGGAATCAAGAAGATCAATGCTTGGACATTTTTTGACGACCTGAATTAAGGGGTTATGATTTGAGGTTGTCCATAGTAATCAGATGCGCCGATAGTATAGACTAGCGTGTATGAGAACGAGAGCACCAAACGAGTCGCTATCGATGCCTGAGCATTGATAGTGAACTCCGGATAAACGTAAATTCCCTCGCTGCAAGAATTGATGCAAGACGGCTGGAGAGCAGTGGAGGTGTATCACGATCGTGACCCCTGCGCTAGCGATCTGCAGCTCATGTTTGGAGTTTGCCCGAAGATGGGGGGATCGGCTGGTTCTTCCGGGCGTTGCGGATGATCCTCGGAACTGAGCCCGTTTAGGCTTCCTATGTCTTTTCTGATCGGCAGGAACACCAACTCAACTCTCCAGGTTTATTCATTCACTTACTACACCTCGCACCTACAGCTTCGACCTTATTCATCTTCTGTGCATACTCAATTGCGATTACTATTCTACTATGCACAAGTTCACCCCCCTTTCTTCTATCTCCCCTGAGCTAAGAATAGCCCATCCAATGAGGACCCACTGTTTCGAGCCAAACCCTATTTTGGCCTCGTCTCACCCTGAAACCCCACCGTTCGCTCGACCTCGACTTCCCAACTTTGGGGAGCTCTCTACGCCCTCTCTCTAGTCTTCAATCACTAGGCTTGAATTGGAAATGGTGTCCGTTGCCAGGAACCACCATGCAGACCCCGAGCAGCGAACCCGCGACCGCTGAAGCAGCCTAAAATTCCCGAGACCAATAATGAACCCCTAAAGTAGAGGGTCTAACGGAATAGTCCCTCCAGACTATCCACATGGAAGCTTAGCACGCAAGAAAGAAGCACTTTAGAGTTTAGAATTCTCACAGTCACCGATGTAGTCGGAAGGTGGTGCCGACACTCGACTGGGGCTTTGGCTTTTTCCCCTACGGCTGACCCTCGAACTTACTACTGGCTGATTTCTTTCCCTCGAAACAAACCAACCTTGCTCACCAACCATGATGACACTTTGCCGGGTCTGAGTGTTTCATATCTCAGTTGCAACACTGGGAAGACGGGGAAAACGCGGGAAATTTTATCCACTGTCTCCATCGCGAGAGTCGAAAATAGAATCAATGTCTCCGTATCGGCCATCTGCCATGGCCATCATCGCGGAGTAGTGAGCGTCGTATCGAGGTCATCTATCCGAGTCAATGGTGGGATAGTGAGTGACAGATCTGCTAAGAATAGGTCATGGCCGGATCATGAGGTTGGGGTATGGAGTACACGGTCTACCATTCCTAGTAAGTCTGCCCACTACGGCAGTGGATGTGTTTTTACCCCATTGTGGTGAATAATTCGGCTTCTTGCTGCCCAAGGGTCCCTAGCGGTCGGGATTCTCTCTTCAATCGGATATCGCTCATGGCTCGATGTGTTGTCTCTGGAAATGGGAAAGAACAGAATCAAATTAAAAGCATGGTTAAAAGTCTAGACTGCTGGATCGGCGAAAATTCTGCATCTTGGGGGAAAAGCCTGTCTGAGTTTATTTCACCTTGTAGGGGAAGACGAGGCATCGATCAGCGATTACTAACTTTGGTATCGGAAATGAGGTCCCGATTACCTAAATATCTACGATATGAGGACTTTTGGACTCATGATTTGGATGATATCGTCAGATATGAGAGACTACGCTGTGCTTGTTGGTTATTACGCGATATCCCGCAAGGGTTGGTGGTTATGACGAGTTGCCTCAGAGTAGCGAAGTAGATAGGTTGGGTGTTATCCGGTAGCAGCACATCACCTATGCGAAGCACGAGATATGGTGCGATCAGGACCATATGTAGGTAAAGCCAGTTCTGGCCTTGGTTTACCGGTGGCTGAGAAAATTTTCCCACACTGGGAGATATGTAACTGCGAGGGTAGTCTTTCTTATTGGGCGACTATAGTGAATGCAGCATGATCCGGCATGTCCGCTAGCAGATGTAGACTTGAAAGGGCGTCTGTCTGATCAATTCGCTGTACTCTGTACAATATTTCGCTTTTCTAACAGTCAAAAATTCTGCTACCACTTTAGATATCGCAAATGCTTTGTCTCGAAGATCCTTCATCTCGGCATCTTCGTTGCTCTTGGACTCATATCTTATCTCCGACGCTATATGACTGCACCCTCAAACTAACTCATTTTATACTACCAGATCCAGTCACCTTGTGGTATCTCTTTTTGGGGTTATGTCTTCTGTGACTTGACAGTCATTATCGTACGGCTCGAAGTCGATTGCGTCCTGGTTCGGCATGCCCTTTGCACGGTACCAGCGGCCATGACTTATTACCCAAGCGTTCACCGCACCTGACGCCTTCCAGGCCTTGACATCGTCATGAGCTAGAAAGTTTTGAAATTGAATAAGAATCTATAATTGAGGCTTTTCATGGCTTATGATATACCGCTTTCCGGTCTTTCAAGGAACCTGATCAAGAATTGTCCCCTTTCACCAATACAACACACACACCCAAGTTGCGCCATTCCTGTGATTGATTGTCAGATACACAGGCTTCAACCCAGCTAAATATTACATTTTGACCACTCTTGAAGCGATTAGACTGTCATCTGCTGGCGCATGTGTTTGTCCCTCATCTATCACGTGACTGGTATTTATTTCCCCGCGTTTTCCGGCCCCATCCCGATTAGGCAAATGTTGGCCGATCCCCCCTTCAACGTCAGCCGCAAACAGTGATGACTGCTTCAAGTCTTCATTCCCAGTCGGTGCATCTTTCTGGGGGCATGGCATATTAGGTGTAACGAGCACCATTGGCCACTTTAACAACTCACCTTCGACAGTCCCAGAGCCCTATGACACTCGTCGATCAATAACCAAGAAATTCGTTCGCTTCTAGAAGCCTGTGATCACCCTGCATGGTGTCTCTGCGACCCCTGAAGATCCCGATAATCTCATTAAACCTCGGATACCCAATAACGCGAACCACGGACCATCCCAAATTTTGTTCGTCGATCCTCAACGGGCGAAATTTGACCTCCCATTTATCAGACCTCATCACCCAGCCATGATCCGTTGGCAAACGAACTATTACCTTCGTGCCTGCGGGCGGCGATCATCATCAAACGCCTTGGGTGTATCCCATCAGCCATCCTCACTCAGGAATAGGGGGAGATTTCAGCACCAAGCAAACTATGCAACTAATCCGCAGCACCCCCCGAGGCAGCAGTCGGCCACGTTGCCCATCCTGGGGACGATTGTCGCTACCGCGGCTGTAACGCTCATTGCGTCCGAAGCTTGGCGCGGAAGGGAAGCCTCCAAGACGCAGGACATTGCTAAAGATGTTCAACCCGGACAAACTAAATCCGGACCATCCAAATATGCGGACGTCCCGACGATGCTTCGAGTATGTAGCACATTTGCAGCTCAGCAATCATTATTATTAATCGCGAGATATAGGCCGTCGAGGAAATCAAGACAATCATAGGACCCGATAATGTAAGTGTTGACGCCGACGACATTGAAGTTCACGGATACTCCGAATGGTCCACGTCCAACACCACCGCACGACCAATTGCGGTTCTCAGTCCAGCCACGACAGAGGAAGTATCCGCAATTGCCAAAGTATGCACCAAATACAGGGTTCCGATGGTGCCATTCGGCGCCGGATCAAGCGTTGAAGGGAACTTTGCTGCTCCTCACTCAGGCGTCTGCATTGACCTGTCGCGGATGAACAAAGTCATTGAGCTGTACGAGCAGGACATGAACGTGACGGTGCAAGCAGGTGTGCGATGGACAGATTTAAACGAGGAGATTAAATCTACTGGACTGTTTCTGCCCATGGACCCCAGTCCTACTGCGTATATCGGGGGCATGGTCGCGACAAATTGCAGTGGCACGAATGCGATGCGCTACGGGACGATGAAGGACTGGGTGGTTAATCTCACTGTCGTGCTTCCGGATGGAACAGTGATCAAGACGAAACGGCGACCGCGCAAGTCTTCTGCTGGGTATAATCTGAACGCTCTCTTCACTGGATCGGAGGGGACTTTGGGAATCATCACCGAGGCGACGCTTAAACTTGCTATCATTCCCGAAGACAGCAGTGTTGGGATTGCTACCTTCCCCACGGTCGGTGACGCAACGGCCGCAGCATCGAAGTTGATTCGGAACGGGGTTCCTCTCGCTGCGTTGGAATTCATGGATGACGTGCAGATGAAGATCATCAACCAGAACGGTGGCGCAGGTGGGAGGTTTTGGTCGGAGGAGCCAACACTCTTTTTGAAGTAAGGCCGACATTGGTTTTAATGTATAAAAGTCGGCTGACAATCCAGGTTCACCGGATCCCGCACGGCCATCGACGACAGCATCCAGCGCACGAAATCCATCCTAACCAACAACAAAGGCAAAGAGCTGGTTTTTGCAAAGTCCCAAGCGGAAGGCGACAACCTCTGGTCGGCGAGGAAGCAGTCCCTCTGGGCCATGCTGGCTGTGAGACCCGAAGGCACCGAAATTTGGTCTACGGATGTGGCTGTACCGATCTCGCGGCTGGCTGAGATTGTTGGTCAGTAAACTTCAGAGCATGTATGTCGCTCAATCAGTGTTGACATGATCTTCAGAGCTATCAAAAGCCGAGTCCAGCAATCTGGGCCTGTTCTCCACGGTTCTAGGCCACGTCGGAGACGGCAACTTCCATCAAGCTGTGATGTACAACCCCCAGAGTCCCGAGCAATACCAGGCTGTCAAGTCGTGTGTTTCGAGGATGATGAAGCGGGCACTTGAGATGGAGGGAACTGTTTCTGTAAGAGTTATTGTTCCTACATGACGTTTTGAACAGATGTCTGACTGACTGAAACAGGGCGAACATGGTATCGGACTAGGAAAGAAGGTCAGCAATCCCTCATTCCGTTGTGTTATATCCTCAACGCTAACATACACCAGGCCTATCTAGAGGAGGAACTCGGTACACCGACGATGCAACTAATGAGAGGACTGAAACGGAGCGTCGATCCTCAGTACGTTAATCCCGTGTTCTCTCTCGATCGCTTACTAATCCATTTTAGCTGGTTGATGAATCCCGGAAAGGTCTTTGACGAGCACTATGAGGGATAGGATTACACTAATGTCGCAATATTTGGGGCTCGGTGTACACACTAAAAATATGATAGTATGATGTTGATGCAATAGTCAACACCATCTCCATCAGTTTTGGTGACAGTGTAGATCTAATATTTCTATGTGGATCGATCCACATCTGATTGCTAAGCAGATTGGAGCAACGTCTCCTGCATGTGATCCCCATGCTCATCGAGATACGTAGCAACCTCATTGATACGCAGAAGTAAGGGTAGATGTCTTCTCTCCGAAATCAGGCCAACCACAAGTTGCCCCGGGCAGCGACATCCGCATGTAGTTTAGTGTCCGCTCAGCAGTTTCCCGTCCCACCGCGCCAAGGCAGCGAGGATTACAAACACTATCTACAGATGCAGCCCTCGAAGCGGAATCTAGTCCTAAACTGGCAGGCAAGGGGAAAGACACGGAGTAGTATGAGATCATAATACATTCCATTGACATTTGACATCCAACTCTCACTATCTAAGGAGTCTCGGCAATATTGTAGACCAGCTTCTCACCACTGACCTTATCAGCCTTGAGCAGCTGCAACCCCTCCAACACACCCTTCAGACCCTCCCCACGCACACTAGGCCGATGCACCTGGATCTTGCCCTCAGCCAACAACTTCTGCGCAATATCCCAGAACTTGGCAGCAAACTCCTTATCCTCAGGCTTGGCCGGGAACGGCGTGTCACCAAACATGAACTCCTCACCCACAGCAGTATACGCCAGAGTCCACCGATCATTGACATTCTTCCGCTCAATGCCCACCGCCAAAAGCGCACTGTATTCACCACCCTCGGTAGAAATAGCCTCATCACAGAACTTGGCACTCGCCTCCAACGAAATGGTATCCAGCACCAACTTCAACTTGTTATCCGTAGCCTTCCGGATCTCCGCCGCCGCATTCGGTGCATTGTAATCAAACACCTCATCGGCACCCAGACTCTTCACCAGGTCGAAGTTCCTTGGCGAACACGTAGTCAGCACCTTGTATCCGGACAACTTGGCAAACTGGATCGCCAGGGTTCCTGTGGCCGTCGAGCCACCGTAGATGAGGATCGGGCCTGCGTTGCCGCCCTTAGCGGGCTCGGTGGGCAGCTCCAGCTTCAAGCTCTGGTACAGAGCCTGACCGACGGTCGTGATACCCACACCGAGAGTGGCGGCGTCCTGGAAGCTCAGGTTGTCCGGGATGTGCATCTGGATGTCGCCCTTGGCGACGATGTATTCAGCGAAGGTGCCGTCTTCGGGCTGCACGGCGTTGGCGCCGTGGACGAAGCCGCACACCCGGTCACCCTTCTTGAAGGGCTTCTTGACGGCGGGGCCGACTTCCTCCACGATACCGGCGTAGTCGCAGCCGACGAGGACGCCGGTGGGCGCGAGAAACTCGATGTGCTTCCAATCTGTGGGGTTCAGGGCCACGCTGACGGTCTTGACCAGGATGTAGTCGTCGCGGAGCTTGGGGATTGGGCGGTCGGTGACCAGGTCGCCCTTCTTAGGGGCGGTGACGGCGATGGCTTTTTGAGGCATGGTGGGAAGTTTTGTAAGGTGTTTGGTTTGACTGAGTGGGTATGAGGGTGTCTGCTGGGAAAAGTGAGGGGAAGAGGTATCCAATATATGTGTCTCTGGTATCATGAGCAAGAAACACCAAGAAGGCGGTGGAATGGGATGCAACACCCCTCTTCACCCTCTTTTTTGTTTGTCGATGACAAATGCAACTTGTGAGATCATCTTTCTTCTCCACTTGGGCCCACAGGTCCCGAGAGGGACGCCGTTGGGTCTGGTTGGGTGTGAGCCAATTCATTAGGTTGTTGCCAGCAGCCCGGATCCGGAATTGGTGAACTCTATTGCTACTAAGTACTGCTGCGGGTGTGAGTGATTCGCTGGTGCTCTTGGGAATGAACTGGTTTGAGCGGTACAGTGTACAGTACATGCATTCTCTACTGGTTGACTGGCGTCATACCCAGAAGTTGCCCAGATACATTGAGGCTACTATATTCTGTGTAGTTTGTTTCTGGTATGCAATTGAGTGCTGACAAGAAGAAAGAGACTCATCCCTCAGACCAATAGACGCAACTAGACTGATGGGGTATCATTGAGTTTTAGGCTACTTTCCGAAAGAGGTTTAGATCCCGCTCCGCGCAGATATTCAATCCCGGAGATCCTCCCCAGGACACCAGCAGTATGCACTATATTGTAGGGTGATTGCACGAGCAAGGGTACCAGAAATTTCCATTCTGCTGACATATTCGCTTTGAGCGAATTCTTTGCGTAAATCTGTAGATTGCTGATTAATGAGCATCTTGGCTCTCTAGGAGAGGCGTTTGCTGCGGGAGGGATTTCAGTTTTCGGGAATAAATAGATAGCTCTACTATAGTGCTAGGTTGTCTTCTCTTGTACCATCATAGACCCTCTTACTGTTGAGCAAAATGCAGGTCACTCACATTGTCCTACTCCAATTCAACCCCGACGTTACTCCCGATGTTAGGGAAGATGTATGTTTGTCCTACACTTCATACATCCGAAGCGTACAGAACTAATCTGTTCTCGTATAGGTCGCCAGTCAAGTCAGGGGTCTGCGCGAGTCGTGCATCCACCCGGACACTGGCAAGCCATACATCGTTTCCATGAAGGCTGGCGCTGATGTTTCCATCGAGGGTCTTCAGGTGCGTCTACTTCCTATATTCCGATCTTATGATTCAAAGGCCTGACTCCTAGCTTGTCCCTCAAAAGAACGGCATCAGCCATGCATTTGTCTCCGTCTTCGAAAATACCGCGGACCGTGACTACTTCGTGAACAAAGACCCGGCGCATATCGCGCTCGTGCAGAATGTCAAGCATCATCTGGCTAAGGTCCAGGTTGTGGACTTTGTTGATGGGAAACTTATTTAAGTGCTATATAAGGCTCCTGGGTTGTTTAATGGGATTTTGGTCGTGTAAGTTGTTTAAATTGGGCATGTTGGGGGTACTACAATTGTTAGAATGAGCAAGTCGTACTAGACAAGCAAGAATATATATAAACCTAGTGCAGTACATCGGCTCGTATGGGCACAGACCAAAAGCGAGTAAAATCATGCTACAGACGACGATAAGAGCACTGCTAAGATACTAAGCCAATATTTAGATATGTTTAAGCACAATAAAGTGCTCTACAACCATTTTAAAGGCGACAGATGCCCAATTCTTGACCACGATGATCGCGAGGGTGCGCAAGTAAGCATAGTAATGCAGCGTCCTTCATAAACCAAACTCCAGCGGTAGATTAATAATAAGCCCTTGTAGCTCAGTGGTAGAGCGCTTCACTCGTATCATGTCATGAAGAGGTCCGCGGTTCAATCCCGCGTGGGGGCACATTTCTTTTTTCATTTTCTCGGGTAGCCAGCAAGCAAGCTAGCTTCCCCCCTTCTTTTTTTTGGCGTGCAACGGGTAGCTGCACCCGCGCTAAGGGAAGAAGTAAGGCGGTGGCAAATACATATCCGCCCTTATAGCTCAGTGGTAGAGCGCTTGACTTGTAATCAAGAGGTCTGTAGTTCAATCCTGCATGGGGGCATCGGATATTTTTCTTTTTTTGCTTTCCCCACCTCCCTCTATCTTCTTTTATTCTGTCGCCTACTTTGTTGTGACCGTCACACTGCCGGATAGGAATTGACCTCGTATCTTTATTTCGAATTTTTATAATTTTATTTCCTTGATTAACAAACAGCAATAAGCCTTTCCTGCAAACAACACATGCCCATTGAGTTCCAGTAGATAAAATCGGTAAATCAACACAAAAACCCATGTATACCCCCTGTTGCTATGTACCCGTCCCATCAAACGGTCGGCTACAAAGTGGACAGCAAAGTGCACTCTGAATGCAGCTCCGACAGTAAATTGCAGTATTTTTCCACGACCCATCTTTTCCCGCGATCATCGGACAGTCCCTGCATTGTGCATTCCTCCCCAAGGTCTCTGTATCCAAACACACATCGCAATGGTTGTAGAATGGAGCCTGCGGTAGCAAATAGCGGGCAAAAGGAAGGAAGTCTATTTGATCCAGATCCTCCTCGTGTTGGCCCATCTTGGCTTTTAGAAGGTCGGTAATCTCTCTCCAGGGCTTTGCATCGGTTATGCCTATCATGTAGAAAGGGTTGTATTTGATATCAGTAAGGGAAACGTGTCTTCGATATGACTCCTGTAGCGGAGAAAATCCAAAACTGTCTTCGATATGAGTTTCAACGTTGGGGTGATCAAGCAGAATTTTGACCACTTTGACCTGACCCATGCAAATGGCTGCGAAAAGGGGTGTTCGGCCGAATATGTCTTTGGGGTTGGGGTCACACCCGGTCTTTAAGATGCGCTGCACAAGGGTAATATCGCCTCGCGATGCTGCCCAGTGTAATGGCAGACGGTGGAATTCGTCTTGGAAGCTAGGACTACTGGATTCTTTGAGAATTGCTTCGATCGCATAGTCGTCTCTCTCCAAGCCAGCCTCTGTCAAACAATATAGTCCCCAGAAAGATGCGGAGACGTCTGTGTCCCTCATTAATCTGGGGGAGCCTGTACCACTTGCAATAAGAAGCCTGGTTATTTCGACATGACCCTTTTGTGCTGCAGCTGTCAGTGGGTCTGCTAAATGGTGTTTCCATCTATCAGTGCTGTTTATTCTGGCGCCCCAATCGAGTAACAATTCAACAGCACGCAGATTGCCATTTGCCGCAGCTGTAAACAAGGGGGTTTCCCATTGCTTGTTCTCTTGATTGATGTTGGCTCCTGCATCTCGTAGAACTTTCATGACAAGTGCATGATCGCCCATGCTGATAGTCGATATAGGACCCCGTTGAAATCCAGCGCCGCTCTTCGCTGCAAAGAATATAGGAGTTTCCTTGTTCGCATTCTCAAAATGAACATTCGCACCTCGGTCAATCAGCAGACTGGCCACTTCACTGTAACCATATGCTGCGGCGTAGAAGAGAGGTGTGAAGTTCTCGGATGTAGCAGAATCGACAATAGCTCCACGATCGAGTAGAAACTCAACAACTGACTTATTGCCAAATCCTGCTGCCCAGGTGAGAGGTGTACGACCAAGGTAGTCCCGAGTATTTACTGAGCTGCTGTCGACCCCGACAAGTTCTTCCATGCACTGATCTAGGCCGAAGACTGACGCGAGATGGATCCCAGAAAAACTGTAAGGAGTCTTCGACAGGCCGAACATCTCTCGCATACACCGTGTAACTTTGGCATCATTCTTGATAAATGAAGAGAGAAGCGTATTGCTGCCCAAGCTCTGGCGGAGATGCGTCCCTAGCTCATGAGCAGAATACTGATAAAGCGGGTACTCTTGCCGATGCTCCTGACGGCCACTTCCCAATAAAGCTTGCTGCCCAAAGGCGTCGAAGGACACGTATGTGAGGCAGGTGTTTGTGAGGTAATCATGGACGGTGGGAAACCAAGCCTCCCGCGTCCGCTCCAAGTACTCCTGGGCAGTAAGATGCACGAGCTTCGCCGTGTTGTTGTTTTCGTCAATCGTGACTAATCCACAGCAGACAGACACGATCTCTTCAATATCTGTGACGTTCATTTCGTCAAACTCGGGCTCACCAATTTCAACCGCAATAGCATGTTGTAGCTCTAGAGCGCTAACTGGTCGTGCAGAGAACGTGAGCCATCCGAGTACTCTTTTGGCAAGGTCTTGAGAGAAGGAGCTTTGAAAGCTAATCCTCTTTAATGTCTCGTTATAGGCATGGTCATAAGCCCCTGAGCCTGACTGGAACCGACTACCCAGTGCTCGGACTCTTTTCTCATTCTTCTCATCCAGGATTAAGTTGTAATAGAGACGCACAAGCAAGAATCTAGACGAGTCAATAACTTTCCGATATTTCGGAACCGTGTCACTCACATTCCATCAGCCGATTCGAGAATCTGCCTTCTAACATACGCCCAAAGCTCAGGCTTCCTTCGAAGGAAACGCGGAAGATAGTCAAGGTTTCCGTCGAGAAAATTTTCTATGTCGCCTACGCTGGCTTGAATCTCCAAAGTATCACCTCGAGACAACAGATGACCGAAATAATCGCCCGGTCGGGCAGTCGCAAGGAGCTTGACCTTCGTGCGACCGCCGATGTCAAGGAGTTTTCTGGCCCAAGCAAGGAATTGACGCCTCACGTATACGTCGTTACACTCATCCAGTGCATCAACGACCAGCAGCACCTCACTGCATTCAGACACCGCCACATTGAGTATCTTTTCGATATCTTCTTTGGCAAGACGGGTAGACCTGGGCGGGAGGAGGTAGCGCCTTTTTGTGATACTGTCATACAAGCTTTGATTTCCCTGAAGTAACTGTCTCAGGAGGCTTGACAGGAGCCCAGAATATTCAATACGCTCCTGATAATGAAAATAATGATAAGCAACTGCAACACTGCTATTGAGGGAGAATTCCCGCTGAAGATGGTCGACTGCGATCGAAGAAAGGACCGTCTTGCCTGCACCAGGAGCCCCGGTGCATAGAAGTGCCTTGCTCTTCTCATCAGAGATCCAAGAACGGAACTCTTCACTTTCCAGGAACCATTTACCCGTTCCCTCGTGTCGAGAGCTAATGATTCTCTGATGTCGTTTCGAGGCGTCAATAGGACATATCCATGCAAGCGTTTCATTGCGCTGCTGCATATCGTGGTGGCCTTTCATGGACTGAATGTCTGCTCCGATCTCCAAGGTGAGATCTCTGTCGAACCACCATCAGCGATGATTTCCCCGAAGTAAACCGGAAGTAATGTTCAATCGCAGCAGTAGGGGAATCAAGAGGGGATATTGCTCATACTGATTGATCTTGCCCATTACCAAATTCCACAGCGAGAGACAATAAGTGATGCGGCTCCGCATGCTGTCTACCTCTGCAGGGTCCCATTTAACTCGACTCCATGCTCGGACAGCCTTTGTCTTCCAGTCCGAACTTGCAAAAGCGAGCACATTAAATTTGCTCAACTTGTGTTCGATCTCCAGCAGCACTTCACGGCCTCGCTGGACGATTATATCCAGTTCCATTTTCTGGGTCGTACTGAGCCCTTCATTAGGAACATCATTGAGGTCATGAAGAAGCGCCCATAGGCTTTTTACACTATGGATGATGGTGAGCACCGCTTAGAAAGATAACGCGGGATTCTTACTCTGCAGAGATGGCCTTGAAGCCACTCGGTGCCTGGGCGAACCGCTTTTTCAAGTCATCAGCGAGTTGCAAAGTAGCGAGGAAATCACCGACACCGAAGCCGAAACTCATCGTGAACAACCAAGACAAATAACTCGAGCTCGTATGAGTTGATGGGATGCAGTCACAGGAAGGATGGTGTATTATAAGCAGGATGCGACGAAATGCGACCGAGCCGGAGGTGGCTGTGTTCAAGGGGGCTTAGCGCTTACGCATGACGAGTTTGGGGCACAGTTAGGGAAACTGCTGTGCTGTCATGTGGAACCAGGAAGAAATAATGGCTTATAGGGAGATATAAATGACAGATAGTTTTCTTGAGCATATCTCAATTTGGCATATGTAGTGGCCGCTGATTGACAGATTCCCCATTCTGACGATGTTGGAAGGAAAAAAAGGCACGAGTATATATGAGGACCGCTGCAAGGCTGAAACGCAGCCCAATCTCCCGATCGCTTGACCTCGAATGAACACTGAGTTTGTATAAACAAGTGCTTTTAACTACTTAGTAGCCATACAAGATAGATTGTGCGCCAGACTAGATCATGCCCCCGTTGGGCTTGCTTGCCGTCCCTTGACATGCACCTACTGATCAACAGCAACGCACAGATACTTTGCAATTATCTGTCAAACCTTGTGTTGGAATAGAGCGAAGTAGAAAGTACTTTCAGAACTCTAGAGACTATCCAGTATCAGACCACTGCTCAATTCGATCATTCACTATAGTTCTTCATCGCATAGATCGAGGGGAACTACAAAGTGAAAAAGAGTACTCTCATACAGGATTCCATAAGGATAATAGTCGGCAGTATATTCTCCATGGCAAAAATGATATAGCATGCCGAAATAGTTACCTCATGATGAGTGGTATATAACTAATTAGTGATCGGGATGACTCAATGATCGCTTGATTTACTACCAATTCTCACCTCTCCATTCCCGTCTCTGTTCTTTCCCATCACACACACCCATCAACTACACCAAGCTAGCCAATCTATCGACCCACAAAGCAATGTACGACGTGTCCACTGTACTCTTCACAGAAGCAGACAACCAGATCAGCTACCGAACACTTCATACTCATACCTTCGAAATGGAGAGATCTCCGTTGGGACAGCTGGGCAAGCTGCCCTACGAAATCCGACTGGAGATCTACGAGAAACTTTTTGCAAAGAAGACACCCCTGACGATTCTTCGCTGCTCACGAGCAATCCACGGAGAAATAACCAAACGCCTCTATGACACACTCAACATACATCTAACTCCGGTGTTCAACGACCCCTGGATCGAGGTTCGCTGCAAACGATTGCGATTGCGATGGACCATACCCAATCATTCCTGGATTGCCCAGGCTCGATTCTCATGTATATCATACCACAAGGTGAACCTGGTGATTCATATCTACGCACCCGACCCACGCAACCCTGGCCAAATAGCTCTGCTCTGGCAAAAGGTTCAATACTTGGTGTATATTCTTCAGAACCGTGCTGTTGCTTCCATAGTTATTCGATTGCGAGAGCATCAAGGTCGCGACTGGCAAGAGGAAGGTCACGTGGTGGAGAGCATCCCTTATCCAAACAAACGTCGTCCTGATCATCACATTGTTTTCCTGCCCTTCTGTCGCTTATTCAATGTTGGTGCCTTCTGGGTGCTTCCAGATACTCGGCGCATGGACCGTGTCACAGACTGGGGTCTGATAAACTATGGTCGGGACTTCATCCTGAACAATGGTTACCGGAACTATAACGATGGTCCTCTCAGCCAGGACCGGCAGTACCGGGATATTGTCCGAGACTTTGATAATATTGACGCCCTGATTCGAGATACCGACTTTTTCCTAGAAACACGCCTGGACACTATGCGTGGTAATACCGCAGCAATGCTTCGCCTTGATCGAGTCGCCCACTGGCCTCTGGCAATAACCGTCGACTCGTCATCCAGGCTCGAAAGTAGCTTGTTAGATATTCGACAGTACTCAGGCTCAGTAAACCTTCACGATCCCGGTCTGAACAGTCATAGCCTCCGTATGTGCGCGTTCTATAACATGTACGAAATTTCTTGCGCCATATTAGACAGGGATTCATGGGAAGAATGGCTTTCATGTTTCCCTGAAGGTCTCGATCCCCATGATCAGGACAGTATCGATACTCAGACCCAAATGATCATGGACAATCCCGAAAGGAATGACATCTGGGATTCCGAAAGGGCAGATCGGGAGTACGAAACCAATATTGAGAACTATTTGGAGCGTAATTGGAATGGTTCTCCTGCATGGCGTTACCCCAGCTTTGAAAAGGACTGGTGTACCGATTGCCGACGGATAGGATATCGGACTGGGTGTGACCAAGACTGCGAGCTGATGGATGGTCCTTACTATGGAATGTATTGGGATATTGACAAAGTTTTTGCTGCTGGTTTTACGGATTCTGATATTTGTTAACAATTATAATGATTTGAGATACTATTCGTGATTTAGACCCGCATTGCCAACCCGTATTTCTCCGTGGGCTGTTCTAAGTGCTCGATATCAAGGGGAGCAATAAACAAGCATAATTTCTAATCTACCAGTAGATTATTTGCTCGATAGTATGTAGTAGTGTGAGTAAAGAAAGCTATGGTAGGGGCAAAAAGTGCATGATTTGGAAGGTCCAGCCTTGCCTTTCGCACTTTCTATGTGGGAACATACCACGGTCTGTCTGAAACTCTCAGCAACCACACAGAGCTCCCCCCTCCTCATTTTCTTCTCTTCTTCTCTCCTCAACTTACCACTTGGCTGAGTGGCATGCTGTGGATACCATCGTGTCAAAATGTGGCTTTACATTCCCTTATTCTGAGTTCTCAGGTTCTGCCCACCTTCTTTGCATGCACGCACTTGACACCAAACTTATACTTCGCTTTAGGACTCCTCTCCACCAATACGCCGACATCACCGTGAGTCTGGCTAATAACTATGGTGCTTCATCTGACATTCTATTAGGAAGATGTCGGCTGACGAGGGCTCGCTCAACCCCTTTTTGACAACGGAGCGCACGGTGGCCACTCTCCACCCAGCCTCTATCCTTGGTGGAATCTCCTTTGGATTCTGTGCGGGCCTGCTATGAAACTGTCTATTGGGGATATAAGGGAGCAGGGCATGGCTATTGATCTTGACATGACGGGGCTGGCAATCCTGGTCTATAGCAAGCGGAACATCCTTTGTAACACAGGGACAGGGGATGCAGCTGCCTCGAGCTCTGACAATCAGAGAAATCGAGCAGGCCAAGCAAAAGCCCCCCGGGGCCCTGCCGAAAGATCTGTTCCACTGCTATAATACCTGGCAGCGAATTCTGGACTTCCATAGCAACTCCCAAAGCTAGACTCCTGACCGATAACTCACGGTGTCGTGTGTTGGAGGACAACGAGTTCGACGTGCGCATTGACGCGACTTTCCAGACACTCAACGTGAGGATTCCGGTCATCTTGTTCCTGGCAGATCGCGGACGAAGCATAGTGTGTCGGATCCAGTCGCATACGTTCCCCTGATCACCGGAATCCGATGAACGTACCAATGGAAAGCCTGCCGCCGCACCAGCCCCACCGTGGCTGTCTGTATCGAGAAATCCACGAGGATCTCGTTGACTTGATCGGAAAACCCGGGAAAGGGTACGAGGTCCTTCAGAGGCACGGAGAGTGGTCCACCGTGCGCGGGCCAACGTTGACATGTTGGAGGGGAAAGGGGACTGACAGAGGGTGTGGTGGAAGGCTGGGATTGATGCCCTCGCTTTGAGAGACATTAAATCACTCACCCAGCCCCACCATTGGTGTAAGTGAGGCCCCATTTTACTATCCTGCAATTTGTGCTGACTACCTCTTGGCTCCGCCTTGCGCGGAGTCCCCCCAGCGATGAGCTTGCACCTTACCGTGGTGCTGGGGTCCAGTATTCCTCCGATAGGAGGAAGAAGCTAAGACAAGCTCTTTCGTAGAACATAGTCTCGTAGCGTTCTGTTATTTTGTGATTTGGTGATGGCTAAGTCGCCGCAAGCGCTAATGCCTATTCTGAGACACACAGCTGTTGCATCTGGTATCAGCCGCAATCCGGCCTTGGGTGTATGCGAGATATAGAGAGTGTTATCAGGCGAGGCACCCTCGAATGAAGTGCTGCCTGCGGAAGATGGTATCGGTCGGCTCCGGTCTTTGCATATTTTATCCTGAATACTGCGTGCTTTGGCGGTGTCGTGTGCTTGTCAAAGCATGATTACCCAGATGGCGCTGGATCAGTAGTCATGAAATAGTCTATTTTGCTTGAGACTCGTTACTACATGGTAGTAGAAAGTAATATTACTGTCTACTATGATACAGATTTATTTTTTGGTCTTATAGTCTGGTCGTTGTCAAGATATGTTTACTGATACCTTCCTTGGCATCGGGGCAAGCATGTATTCTCAAGCAAGGGGGTGGGTGGGGATTAGGCTTCAGGCCATAGCTGCCTGGCCGCAAAAATGTACATAGTCATCTATACTTGAGGGATATCGACTTACTATAAAGGTAGTACTACGCCACGTCCAAATCCTGATCATCATCTTAGAGTCAATTCACCCATCACCATAAGTCATTTTCTCGATCATGGAGATGTCACGAGAACAGCTGATATTCAACGTCATGGCTAACTATCCGCCGATGGAATTGGAAGTCATGCGGCTGCTGCAGCCTGGGTTCTCCAACGCGCTTGGACCGTTGATCACTTCCCAGCTATCGTTCGACTCATTCTCCAGCGAGACAATTTCTGCAATAATGAAAGTCTGGTTTAACCCTGAACTCGCCCACCACGTGCGTTCCTTCGAAGTTTGTTGGTGTTATACCGAGGAGGAAGACCAAGAAGTGGAAGGATTCGATAAAGAGAGTGTCCTCAAATTCGTCGACTATGCACTAGACACCATTTTCGAACCCAAGGAAGCAAAATCACGAGCCAAATGGAAAGAACACCTATTGATGCCGAATGAAGAGGCTTGGTTCGGACTACTACTTGTGCGCCTGCATCACCTGGAAACGCTCGAATTTGGGCACGACATTACCTACGGCCTTGTGATCGATATATTGCGCAAAGCCGCGCGACGTCAGCGGCCTTTCCATGAAGATCCTCCATTTCCATGCCTCAAGAAAATTATCATGAATCCTCAGTGGGGAGATTCGTGGACGGAATCCAACTTTATCGACCCCTTCTTCTTCTTTCCGGCTGTTGAAACCGTCGAGTGTCGTGCAATTGGCGAGTCGGAATCTTCAGAGAACACTCCAGTTGTGACAACCCGCTCCGCTCGCCCCGTCCGTAAGATAATTGTTAAGGAAGCTTATTGGACTCACGGCTTGTTTGACTGGCTGGATGCGTGTACGCAGCTGGAACACCTGGCAATCAAGCTAGCCTTGCAACGGGATGATGAACCCTCGGAAGAATATCGGTTTCGTGCCCCGCAATTCCGTCGGCACCTCCTTCGCTCCCGATCGACACTGAAGACACTTCATCTTGGTGCGACGCAGACGCTGACCAGCCTGGCAAGTGGTCTGATCGATGAGGATGGACCATTAGGCTCTTTGCAGGAATTCGCCTACCTCCAGGATCTTGACGTCCGACATGCCCATCTGCTCCCGTTGGCCTCGCGGGGTAGAACGGTGAGACATCACACGCGACTTCTTAGAATACTTCCTGCCTCTATCCAGCGTCTGAAGATTAGGCACGTTGTCGATGAGGACTTTGATAGTCTTCAGGCTGAGCTGCTGAATGTGGTGCAGCGGCGAGACTTGTTTCCTCGGCTTGAAGAAATCATAATCAAGGCTGAAGATGTAGAGAACAAGCCATTGGATTCATTGAGACAAGCATGCACAACCGCTGGTGTTACGTTTACTGCTAAATTGCAGAAGGTCTGGTTTAGCTTTCGTCGCAATTGATGTTCGATCTAGCTCGGGTGTTTGTCCGCGTTATACTGCTGAACAAGCTTATTCATGATATTTTCAAACTATAAGTGTCGTTTCATCCTTTAGGGATAGTACTCCATGGAATATATGATGAAGAACTTGTATTCTGCCTAGTTATGTCTGGTCTGCTGCATATATAAGCTCGAGTTCTGAGCAGACTAAATATTCCAGTTCAAAGAAAAAGCTCGTACGGCTAACATCGTGCTCGTCAGCCTTTAGTTAGTAAGCCTTTTGTATCAGTCCAGGGGCTGAGGTGCGATGTCCCATCTATTGTGACGTTTTTGTCTTCTCTGTGTGAGTAGTAATGGAAGACATAGATGATTAGGATAGTTTAGATGCCCGACCATCCTACCTCACCAGGACTGGACGATTTCATCCAATCAACGAACGAATCTATTCTAGATTGCACTATAAAAATGGCCTAAAAGATAAACCAAGCACATACGACCACAGGGTGTGGAAAACAGGGCTTCCCGTCCGCTCAGCCGTACTTAAGCCACACGCCGGGAGGTTAGTAGTTGGGTGGGTGACCACCAGCGAATCCCTTCTGTTGTATGTTTTTTTCATCTTGTGTTTATGATTCCAAAACATGATGTTCTCTCGTATCTGCATTGGTTGATGTTGGACTTATTAACCCCTTCAGAGATCCTATATGGAATATTGCGGGATTAGCATTCATACCTCCAACCAAATACGGTATTGCCTCTCCCCGTTCGCTTCTCTACCCAGTCATTCTCCCAAGTGAATCCCACTTGATAACTTGTGCATAGAATCGGGAGCAATACCAGATTGCTTAGTGACTTCCTTCTTCAGTCGTCCCTTTACACACTGATCGCAGAGCACCACCCGGTTTCGGTCCTTGACGCGCCAGAAGCGGACTATAAAGGCGCAGGCGATCCGGATGGCCCACACCGCGTGGTTGAGGGAGCCCGGATTACAAATGTGAATCTCTGCCGCGCCATTGCATGATTTTAGGTCTGGGTCCTGATCACATCGAACGTTAGCGTACCAGTCTGATCGATTATTGCGATTGGCAGCCCCATCAAGGACTTCCTACGCGCGAGGATGGAAGTTAGTCGTTGGCACCGGAATATTGGCACATTTTCTTGTAGACAGATCAGGCAAAGTAGGTCACGGAATAGTACATACAAATTTCCCATGCTTCTGCTGCATGAACAGGGCGAACTGACAGTGAGACTTCAACATTGGGGACGGGCAGCGCGGGTGCGCTCGATAGTATCCACACTGTTAGGTTCGGACCGGTTCGTTTGCCACGGACCACCACACTGTCACAGACCAAGACATCAGGTAAGTAATGCCGTAGATTCCTAAACACGGGGAATGCCAATTCAATTATACAGGACATAATGCCCACCATAATCTGTGGATGTGGTGATCCGAGGCAGTGCACGAATTAGTTCTGTGAGTAGCTGGGCTAATCCAACAGGGTGGGTCTCTTGACAACCAACGAGACATCGAAATATAACCGAGTAAGCACTAAGGACTCATTAAACTAGCTAACTAGCTTTCCCAATTAGACAAAGCCATGAATGAATGAAAGAAGAAATTATATAATCTCTTACTATTCCCAACCCCTCAACGCTTCCTCAGTTACCCCTCAAGCCACCTCAAATTCGTACCATCTGAAAGTATCTCTGCAACATCCAATCAATTCAAACCAAACCTCAGACTCCCAAGATCGACGCTGTTACTTCCTCATAATTTATAACTATCACAATCACCCCAAAATGTCCGTCCGGGTCATCATCTACGCCTACCGCAAACCCGGCCTTGACCTCCAAACCTTCAAGGAGCGCTACGAAGCCCACATTGGACTAGTCAAGCGTCTCTCCGGCGACGACTTCCCTCTCTCCCACAAGCGTATGTACGTTGCGCGCACTACAATTGAACAACCTCAAGCCGGGGAGGGCAGCAGCAACAACTCGACCCGCAATGCCCTCACTCCTGCCACCGTTCTTGTCGGCCAGCAGACAGATTTCGACTTTGATGCCTACGCCGAACTCACTTTCGCGGACCAGACTGCCTTCCAGACGTTCTCCGCCAAGGTGATGGCGCCTGAAGCGGCAGCGCAGATTGCGGCGGATGAGGAAGGATTTTTGGACCGGAGCAAGTTGGGAATTGCGCTTTTGGGGGATGTTGTGGAGACTACCAACTAAAAGCGAAAGGATAGAGATGAGGTGGGGTGTCGCTAGATGTATATATCCATTCAATTTTGTATTTCTCTGTGCTTAATAGCACATGTGGATGTTCATGGATCATTGTATCATGATAGTCGTTAGTGGGAGGATGGGAACCCCTTTGACTAGAAGCACCGGCCAGTATGATTCCCCTAGATATTGTATATACCCCTTGCGATGAATTGATGTAGTTAAACACGAAGGATCATAATAGAAGTACAATACGTATAGGTCGCTGAAAGAGAGTCGATTTATAGCACCAATCATCAGAGAATATACCTGCTAATATATACCCCACTCCACCTTCTGATTACCTGCATCGCCACCACACTCCATATACCCCTTTGCACCAACAAGACCATCAGAAGCGTACTTGGAGATCGCCTCGTTGATAATAGTAACAATATCCTGACTGCCAGTGTGATAAGTAACATCACCAGTAACGCCAACATTCTGAACGCCAAAATGGCAAGACCCGGACTTAGCAATGTCGTGCTGGTGACCGATACCAGTAGTCCACTTGCGGCTCTTGCCCTGGAGATCCTTCACAATAGTTTGACAGTCAGAGACCTTCGGGGAAGCGAATGAGGTCTCATCCTGGTAGGTGTAGCCGCTGCACTTGGTGACGCCCTGCAGCGGGTTACAGGGGTAATTCGGATCGCTAGAGTTGGACTGCGACGGGGTGGACCACGAGGCCCAGGCCACCTGAGGGCTGCACACGGGGAGGCGAATATAGCCGGGAGTGGTAATGTCTTGGTTCGATAGATCTTTCAGAGTATCCTTGTCCAAGGGATTGGCGACGGGTCCTCCGTTAGCATTACCGTTGGCGACGTAGGTTCGAACAGACCCAATAATTAGTTCAGACACAGTAATGTTACCCCAAGACCCTGAGCCGAGTGAGCTGAGTCCTGGTGGCGCAGTGAAATATGTCTGGTCGGAGCACGTTGATGTCGACCCACTATCCTTACTGGAACAACCTCTCCACTTGCCGTGGGGATGGACCAGATAGTACAACTTGTTATTGTAGCATGCATAAGTGGACTCTTGCGTGGATGCAGTCATGTAATCGGTCAATGGGTTTTGCGCACTGCAGTCATAGCCCGAGTCGACGACGAAGGCAGCGGTGCCGGAGACGGCCCATACGGATGGAATGGCGAAGCCGAAGAAGGCCTTGCTGATGTAACTCTCGATTTGGGCGTTGATCTGGCTGTTTGTTAGGTAGTCTGCCAATGGGCTACCGCCGCCACCCTCAATGAGATTACCATTTGCAATCATGGTACTAAGCAGACTGATGGAGGCGTCTGATCCATTAAATAAATTCCAGAGTTGGTTTTGGGCCGTGGCAGACCAGCCGTAGACTACCGACCCCAGTGTGAAGGTGAAGCTGTCTTGGTACTTTGGTGCCCATTTACCCCTGTATGAAATGGGTCAGCGATCTCTGGATTTCATACGAATCAATGATACATACGGCCCTTTCGACAGTGAATTGCTCGCAATTGAGGCTCCGTACGCCACGATGGCGCTGGTGATATTGGCAGTGTTGTTGGCGCCAGAGGCTCCCAGAGAGGCACTAAGAGCCGGTAGATTTGTGAAGACTGTAGACGATCAGATTAGTTGTCCGAGTAAGGCGGGTAGGGGGTTTTCTATCGTAACTTACCTCCTTCAAAGTATGGCGCAGTTATCACGGTGATCCCAAGACCTAAAAGGTTGACCGAGGTCTCTAGCCATGTGTCACTGGGAGGCGAAGGTACCGTTGCGAAGGTGGTCTCAAAGTCCTGGAGCTGGGTGTCGATGTATGTTCCAGCAACTGCGTTGATGGCAGCGTAGAATTGGGAGAACGCCTGGATGACGAGCCTTGTCAGCAACGTTCGATTTTTTTCAGGACAGAAATTGCGAGTCTTACCGAGTTTATCACTGTGAGAGAATTATAGATCACCATTGCCGCAGCACCCGAATCACCGGTGCCCTTTCCGAAGCCGTGGAACGATCCGCATGTTTTGGCGTTGAAACAGTTGCCATTTGGAGCTGGTAGCCCACAATTCATCGTCTCACCGACATGGAAAGTGTTCATGATGGACCGGGAGAAGGCCTTTGCAGCAGGTTGCATTTTGGGCTTATCAATGTTCTTCCAGACGTTAATGGCATCGGACCAAGCATTAGAAGCGTCCAGCTGCGCCCAGCGCTGAGCGCACGGCATCCACAGTGCATCTTGAATGGCCGGATCCGTACAAGTTAGGGAAGTCCAGTTGCCGGTTCGATTACTCTCTGCGTAAGAATCTTCATGCAGGACGACGTCGTCAATGTGACTAGACCAGTTGGCAGGGTTAGGGCCCGATGCGGCAGATCGTGGTGGACAAGTGACTGACCTACCTTGATACCCAGAACTGGCGGGAAGCTGGAAAGGCACTTTGATAGAGGCGGAGGTGCGAAAGAAGAAAGAAAGGGTAAAAAGAGTGAAATGCAGGAACGTAAGGAACGTATTGCGTGGCTTGGGCCACGCCGAATAATGGAAAGAGAGAGACATTATTTAGCCACAGTGCGCCTAATGAGCCCGAGAAGGACAGGGGATGTGACGGTAGATCTTATACCTGCTGCTGACAACTAGTCCTTGGGACGAAAGAACATGCCCCGGCCAGAGCAACCTATCAGTGGTCGTTCTACTGTCTTAATTTCCGCCAGGAATAAAAACTGCTAACTTATTGCGATGCAGCACATGCGAACAAATCTCTCTCGGCGTTTGGCCTCCCCTGAGTGATGAGGCAGTGCTTTATTGGGCTCCTACCGTAGGTGAGACAGGGCTTGCTTCTAAACTAGTCCGCATGATGCGACAAGGGTCCTTGTACTAGTGTGGAGCTACGATATACTGATAATAAACCGAAAAAAAAGTGTAAGAGATTTCATAATGAAATAATGAAATAATAATGGACGGCTACTATCGGACCCCTATGCGCGCTAATCTATTAGAGTCCAGCATAGGAGACCCTAGATTGGGCAAGAATGGCGCAGGCTGCAAGGATCAGGCTAGCTCAGGGAGACAGCTGCAGCATTATGCCGTGACATCCGTTTAGCCGCCTGGCAAATTTACATTGACTCCTGTCTTTTTTTTTTTACTATATTCTTTTGTTTGACTCTCTTGACGTTTTTGACGGCGAACAGTCAGGGTTGTTCAACAGTTCGGTTCTTTTACCTCCCACATTTCATTCCATACCTTTCCTTCAACATGAACCGCGGTCACTTTCTTGCTTGGGCTGTATTGGTGCTAAACTCGATAATTGCAATGGGCGACGGCACTCCAGACATTTCTTCGGGCATATTCGAAGTAGACTTGATATTCCCACGCAATGGAACGTACACTCCTCAGGCGTTGATGCCCATCGTTTTCGCGCTGCAGAATCCGTCTCTGGCTTCCACGTTGGGAGCCACCATCTACTGGGGGCTGCGGGAAGGCAACAACTGGTCTGCGCCGGGCTCCATAACGGACGGGGGATTCGAGCTCTTTACGTTGAACTCTACGTCTTCTGGGCCTCATTTGGCCACCAGCTTCGTGAACACTCTCGCCTACCCGGACGGCTCTTGGACTTTTGCCTGGACTCTGGAAGTCACCAACTGCTCACAGGCCGAAAGGCCAGATTGCCTTCAATCCGAAAGCCAAAATTGCTCATTGACTTACAACCCAAATAAAATCATCTCGTTGTAAAATGCCATTGTCTTCAATGTCAGCCAGTCAGGGCAAACACCCAGTCTCGAAGCAGCCACATCTTCTGACATGTGTGGCACCATGGAAGCCTTTGCGTTTAACGTGACTTCTGCCGGGGATACTGAGGAAGTGTGTGGCTTCCTTGGACCCAGTCCGACGACCAACCCGTGCGCAACGACGGTCAATGCTTCCGTGGCATCAAGTATATGGGCAGAAGCCACTGCCTTTGCCTGTGACCCTCGAGAGCGTTCGGCGTACCCCAACGTTACATGTCCGACTTCTTCGTCCAAATCCAACGCCGCGCGACAATCTGGCATGGTCGCAGCATCGACATTGCTTACGCTGTTAGCAATGGTGACTGCTTTGATCCATCTTGGGTGACAGCGATGTACATAGTGTTTTAGTAGTAGCCTCTGGCCTAATAGGGAAGGTGGACCCTTTGTATATGTAGTCACATTGATATCGAGAATATTCTATTTTCTGAGTTCCTTGGACCAAGATCGTTCATCCGTAAGCTTGGTAGTATTGCGTCGCAGCCTTGTTGCGCCCGCCCATTTCCGCGGGGGAGCAAGGTTGCACTAGTTCAGCCTTACAACGTAGGGTTCTAAGGAAAGTGAAGCGAGGACGCCATGCCCATGAGCTTGTCTTCCTTGGCAGAAATTTCAATATCCATCAGGTTGCCCCTACGCCCGGTTGCCCTTCAGCCAAAAACTATTATAACACACGGTGCCCTATTCGCTTTTACGGAATGCACCTTAAGGGTCTGAGTTCACCAGAGTGCAACAATACTGAAACCTCGCCAATGAGAAAGCCAGCTACTAGTAAGTCTGTCCCTGGAAGGGAGGAGGGGGGTCACTGTGCAAGATAATTGGCCGTTCTGACAAGCTAGCCAGCGGTAGCGCCTAAGCTAAGCCTTGCCAGGCGTTTGCGAAGCTTTATCATCGCCGCTAATCCTCGTCGCAATCTTACCCGACCCTCCCCAAATTTGCGGTCGACACTTCTGGTTGGTCTGATTGGGGGAGTCATCCGAAAAGTCCGACCACCTGTTCGCATTGCGTTAGTACTATGCAGTGGATATCCACCTCGCTCAACTCAAGTTAAGGGGATCATACGGACTCCGTCCACCCTCCCGACAATGTGTCGGTTTTCCGGACTTTCTCTCAAATTTCCCATGTATTTCTTTGTTCGAATTCGAAGACCGATGCTATTTTTTATGCCACGCATGGGGTGAAAGAGTTACTAGACAGTGCCAGTATTGCCATAACTGTGCGGTTGCGGGACAACAAATGTCGACGTGCTAACCGATAGATCAAAAATCGATATATCGCGTCTTACCGATCAGCTGACCCAGAGGTTTGTCCCAACAGGGTATTGGATCCCTACATTACTTTGGTTTGGAAGAGACCCATTACCCCCCGACTCAATAATGACTGGGTTTTTTTTCGCTGTTACCTGCGAGTTACACTATGTGATCTAGTTGTTCATCTCGGGATGATAGTCTGTTGGGTCACGATTACGAATAGTTGCGTCTAGACCAGGCCGAAAGCAATTTTCCTGACCCTGTATAGTATTCTCGTCGTGGTGTTTGGCGTATCATCTTTGGCATGCTCACAAGCTAAACGTCTTACTCGAACATGAGCGACCCGCAGATTCCGATTTTATGGAAGAGAGCAGATAAATTCATTTACTGTAAGTACGCAGTAGTACATAACTATAACAGGGGGATCAGCTTTAATAAATAAGCCCCTGATTAATATGCAAACTCTTTGTATCTGAAATTCTAGATTATCTTTACTAATATTTTAGAACCATATCTTTTTAAGCTGGTCGCGCTAATACGTGAGAGACGAGAGATTGCCAAGAGACCGGACTGGTTGCAAGAGAAAGGAGAAGCGAAATGTCTGGCACTTCATGCGCGTGTGAGAAGTAGACGGTTCGCCCCTGGTTAGTTTGATAACAGCAGTTTGACACTCTACAACACCATGACCAAATACGATGCTGCGTATCAATTTATACGCGTCGCTAAAATATTCCCTCCCTTCTTCAGATTTTATGAAGTTTATCACTACCTGTTCCGATAGCTGCTTGATCAATGACGACTGTATGAGTGCCGAGTGATTGTGCCACTCTGTGTATTTCGCGTGTATAGCACTTGGTTCGGGAAGCCACAGGTCGATGAAATCAACGTTTTTGAGCGCCAGCCTGAGCTGGAATCCCAAGTCAGAAAATTTGGAGCGTCCCCGCAGCGAGAGAGACAAGCCTGCCTATGATCGGCATATCTGCCTGCAATATGATTCCAGTTGCCAAGATACTGGCCAAAGTTGTGTTGAGTATTCTTTTGTCATACTGTATGGAACTGCTGCCAACTATTATCTATCTTTCCAGATGTGCCATCTTTTCCCCCGGACCCGTCTCGTTGTCCGAAAATACCAGTCGCACGACCTTTTACTTGTTTTTTTTCGGCGAATGACTAGAGAAGACCATAATCAGTATAGTTGTCTGCGAGACTCCACATGGGGGCCTACCTGGCGACTATTGCACTGGCACTGTTGCGTGTCGGCGAGGCCCATCCTTCTATGTAATATACACGGGTGGGCATTGCACAGAAGGGTGGGCCTTAACTTAATTGAGGGCCAGTGGGGTGTCGGTGAGGCCTATTTACGCAATTGTAAACAGCTCTCCGCAGTGGTTTTCAATAATATCGTTGGATGTGACTTGAAACCACCACGACCTCTTCGTCTGCTGTATTGAGCGTATCGAAATTCAATCAAATCATCCACTGGTTGCGACTGGCTAGAGAGAATTGTAATCAATATAGTTTTCTGTCAGACTCCACACGGGGGCCTACCTGGCATTGATTGCGCTGACACTGTTCTCGGGCTCTCGACTGGCGTATTAGTGCGGCGATCAGCACGTAGAAATCGGATCATACTTAGTCGACTCCCATAGTCACTTCAATGTCACTCACCGACAACATACGAGCCCTCGACCGAATCAAGGGCCCGTGGGGTGTCGGTGATACCCACCCTTCTGTGCAATATATAAGGGTGAGCTTCGATCCGTTTCAGGGCTTCTGGGATGTCGGTGAGGCCCACCATACTCTATTGTACAGAAGGGTGGGCGTCTCGCAGAAATCAAGCTTCACATTTCTGGAATAATGAGAAAAGTGCCAGAACGGTGGAAGTAGATGGAGGCAGCATGGATTTGTCAGAGTAGAGAAGGGGATTAATCAAAGAAGGGGAAGTAGGAGAGGAGTGAGAGGTGTAAGGTATAGAACGGGTCGTAGAGTGGAGAATATAGAATGGGGAAAGAGAAAAATAGACTACTATACTGCCTACCGTCCCGGATTAACACAAACCAAAATTACCGTTACAGCCTCACCTGACCCGCTGTGGTTCTTTGTTCGTGTGTCTGTATTCAATTCCGGGTGAATTGCTTGTCTGAGTGTGTAAGAGCAGTCCTTGTAATTTATCTGTTTAGACATTCACTCCGGCCAGGGTCAGCTGATCGTTCGCCTCTTCTTCCTGGGTGGTCCCCGACCACCACCTCTTCCAATCACTAATCTAACCTCTTGAGATCTACCTACCCTCAACACTTCGTCTTGACACCAACTACCGTACCGCCAAGACGTTAGAAATCCTCCTCTAACAGCCACTCTAAAGATCCTGCTTTCGTTGTTTCTGCTCCAGGCCAGAAGACGCGCGATGCTATTTCCTTACTATGTTATCATGGTCTTTGAAAGAAAATTGTACGTTGTACTGATAGTACTTAGCCGTCACAGAGTGCGAGCGCTAATTGTTATACAGTCTTTTATAAACCGGATGAAAGAGATTCCATCAGGTGGCAAGGTTTTCCGGAAACATTTCGTCATGTTCAGCGCTGTCCGATCGTACTCACTGGATGTGTGAGAATCAAAAGGATAAGAGAGTACTCTTATGAAGTTGATACGACAGAAAGAGCAAGTCCCGTGTAATATACAATACAGGACTTATAAAGTACAATATGCTCTGAGATCTACTAAATTTGGTATGGCTGCCAATCAAAAGGCAGATAATCTATACAATCTCGCAATTTCAATACCAAAGCCCGATGTATGCCTATCACAGGGCATAGATGGAAATCTGTTTGAAGGAAGCAGCGAAAACTTTGATCATTTATAAATGAAGCAAAGAAGGATTAGCTGAGGTGCCACTCAATGCACTACAATAAGACAGACCGGTGGGTCTTACCAGAAAAAATGCTCTAGGCCTGGAAGCACAATTAGTTTTACGAAAACTCAAAGAGCCCTAGATCAAATACACAGCCGTCAGAACAGAAACAGACGGTGAAGTATCAGACGGCACGAACGTGTTCAAGCAAGGATTATGAAGGGTTGTTTCAAGACGCAGTAGTCATGCCATGAATCTGGGTCGCCGGGTAGCTGGGTGGTGTAATGGTAACCACCCTGGATGACACTCCTACAAAATCATCTAAGAGAGATTCCTCGACTCCACGCTAGTACAAAGTGTGGTGAGTTCAATCCCCGCGGCTGCTCAAAGACTACATTAGAAGAGAAAAAGAAACTAATTATACGCACAAGCAGGCTTTCGTTACCGCAGCTGGACCTGCCTCTGAACATACACGTGCCCGAGCCACTCCGGCAGAACAAGTGGCGTTGATTGTGCACAACCCACCGAATCTCCCTTTCCTGAGTCAGAGCCTGTAGTTTCAGTCGCGACTGCGACCAGTGATACTGATGTAAACATGGGATCCAAAGAGGCCGAGAACGGTGACAGCGTCGTGGATGCTAATCAGTTGCAATATGTTGGACACAGCCCAATGTGATATCGGGCTAGCAATATTATCGAAAGCCACTGAAGTCTTCGACTGGACAGGGACAGGAGCGAGCAGACACACTTGTGGGCTCATGTGGACGCAGGGAATGAGGCTTAGGAGGGATCGCAGGAAGAACGCGGGAGCAAGAACGCGCGATGGATAGAAGAAGTGGGTTCCACGGGGGATCGCTCTCGCGTGGTTCACCCTCGAGGCATCTACAAGGAACTGGCAACGGGCGTTTCGATTGTTCGGTTGGATTTGGGAATAACTTCACATTTTTATCATGGCTGCGAGGATAGAGGACTTCCATACTGGTCTGGCCCAAGCTGGCTTAATAGTAGAAAGGGGCCATTACAAACAGTCTAACATATTGTATCTATGCGGCGAAAATAGTAACTGAACCTAGCTCAGACACCCCAGTTTGGCGATTATAATGCTACTACTAAAGTGCGATTATACCGGGCTAAAATCATTCAATTGGGCCTATCAAAGATGATAGAGCGATTATTTATCAGGATCTAATCGCTATTCGCTATATTAGATACTATACAGCAGTAGAAATATATAACGGGCAAATAAAACCCAGTCGGTGAACTGCCTATCAATAGGGATACTCTTCGTATCTGAAATTCCAGATTGTCTTTGCCGACTTGTCAAATCCATAACCTTTCGAACTTGTCGCACCGATATGTTGGAGGACTGGTGGCACTACCACATAACGATTCCATTCCTCTTTGTCTGCAATCTTCTCGACCATCATATCAACCAACCAGTCGGTTGTCAGGTCGGTATGTTCCAGAAACCGCGGCACTATCGAACGCGGAAAGATCAGGCCCTGTGAACAGCATCCATATTTGTTCATCTCATGGACTCCGGGACGAATGGGCTACATTGTCTGCCGTCCTGCGATGAAGTGGAGTCCGATGAATGCTGGAATAAAAAGAAGGGATATTATCCAGATCGCACTCGCGGATGCTGTTTTGAAAAACCTTCTCTTTATGAACACCACGAACCCCGTTGCGGCTGCCCAGACAACAAAAGACAATGCAAGATATCTCGGCCACTCCTCCGAGTTCCAACCAAGCAGGTCATCAACATAGAAGAGGCGAAGATAGACCCAGTCTTGCCCTGCTATGCTGCGCTGCGAATCGTTTCAAGGGCGTGTAGCGTAGAAGAAAGCCAGCCCTTGGCAGCCAGGGTATCATCTTCAACCATAGCGACATAATCTGCACCAGTATCATAGCAATCCTTCATCAAATGCGTAAAGTCGTAGATGGTCTTGTTGCGATACCATCCTCCCTCCTCCCATTCGCGGATTTGCTCGTAATCGAGGTCATCCTCTTTCGGGTACAGAAGGACGCGGTCGGGTAGGACTTCTACCCACTTCTCCGAGAAGATCGGATGGGTAGAGGGATCAGTATGTGCAATGAGCAGATCAAGGAATATAGTGTCTCGTTCCGATTCGGTAAGACCCTCCAGAAGGGAGGCGATTGTCAACCCTACATACTGTTCTCTTCTTCGGCGAACCGTTACTATCCCTACGCAAATCGTAGCCTGATCGTTACTGAGTGGCTTTGCGCGGGAGGGAAAATCGCTAGCCCTGCTGAGAAAAGACTTCGCTTCGTGGATTCGGTGGGCGGAGTAGCGCTGCTCGTAGGCACGATTTGGGTCGAAAAAGGATGTAGGATCGCGATAGCTTGTTGAACGATAATAGCTAATTGAGAGGAGGTAAAGAACACTGAATATACAGAATAATAAGCCCGTTGGGTGTAAAGATGATCTACCAAGGCTTAGGTGACGAAGACGCGATAGATTAGTCATTTGCGGATTCGCAAGATGGCCTAAAGGGCCGCAGTGATGCAGAAGACATTAGTAGTGGGGGAGAAGGAATGAATTTGAAGGGAGAATCGGAAGAGCAGGATTCAAGGGATGGGGAGGGAGACAAAGGAAGGGATGATCCAATGCAACCCTTTGGACTATCCGGGAAAATAAGGTTGGCTCTAGAACGGCTTAAGCAGTTGACAAGGGACCCACCCCCAGGTTGATCACCAACATTTTAGCCAGCGGGATATGCTGTCACAGGTTTCACATGATGTCAACTTGAAATTGACACCTCAAATGCCTAAAAGTAATTTAGTTGATATTCAGCCAAGCTTCGTTGGCAGCGGTGACTTCCTCTAAATAACTCCGAGACATGTCAGAGAGTCTTTTAGAAGACGAAAGTTGCTTGTCAAGTAAGCACTAAGGGTTGGGTTGGATCCGGAGTTATTTCGGTCCGGGGATGCACTAAACCCAGTCACGGCTGATGGATCAATACTCTATCTTTTTTACATTGGTCAACGTCAGCTTTGCGGCAATCATGGAGGGGCTCTCGAATAATAATCGCCTCTCTACAGCTCCGCGATCCGGCGATAACTCATCCGCTCCGTCATCAAAGCGGGTTCGCGTCGTTATTTCGCAGTCAAAACAAGGCTGCGTGACTTGCAAGTATGGGATGGTCTTCAGCTTGCCATCATGGCACAAAGTCGACTGACTAAGATGCAGGGCACGTCGGGTCAAGTGCGACGAGGAAAAGCCCCTGTGTCGGCGATGCCTCCAAGCTGGTCGAGTGTGCGGCGGTTACAATCATGAAGCCAAGTCATCATTGTCATCAGCTTTGCAGCCTGCTCTAAAATGCGGGGTTACAGTGGACAGCCATGCGGAGAGGTTGAGTTATCTTGCAGCTCACGTGTTGTTTCTAGACAGCAGAGACTGCCATCAGCGAGAAGGTAGTGCTTGGGAGCGTGTATTTCTCCAGCTATCGAGTCAGGTCGAATGTGTCAAGGCCGCCGCGGTCGCTTTCGGGGCGGCGTATGAATCATCGCAGATAAACTTGATCGGCCATCGGCCATACTCCACCTGGAAATATTATGGCTCAGCTCTAGCAAGGCTGCGATCTGATTTTAAAAATGGGAGTGTCGGTGCAGAGTCCCTGGCTCTGGCATCCATGGTCCTAGCCTACGTGGAGATCCTAAGCCAACACGAGCAAAATGCGTTCACTCATTTCCTTGGGGCCGTACAGATCCTGACCCAGGCCGAACAGCATGGCTGGCAAGTTTCATCTGCCGAAATCCTCAGTACAATCAAAGATGCACTAGTAAAGATAAACCTCCTGATTGGCAGCTACGGTTTGTCCCAGACACCGCAATATATGTACCTGGACTTTCCTAGAGTACCGACTGGAGACGATGAGTTTTGTGAACCAGAGCTTGCGATTGACGCCGCAATGCACTGTCTTTATCGATCTTATCAGTTCATTGAGGAGGCTTCACATCTGCGATACACGTATTCAAACTGGAAGGAGCATGATCCCACCATGTGTAAGGCTCAATCTGATGCGGCGGCCGAGTGTCGTTTCGTTCTTGATTGCCTTGCAGCGCTCGCCACGACACTGCAAGCCCGATGTTCGTCTGCGACGCCGAAGCCGAGAGATTTGGACATGCTGGCAGAGATTTATGCGACTCGGACACAGCTAACATCAGCGTTAATTTTCGTCTTGTGTGCTCACAGCCCGTACGAGACAGCGTACGATGAACATCATGACCAATTCCAAAGCATAATAAGTGATGCTGCCGCGTCGGCGCGGCTGAAGCGGCGGACCAAACCCAGCGCTTTCAAACGCTTCTCAACGCGTCCAGGAATTGTTAGCCCTCTTTTCATCGTTAGCATCAAGTGCAGAAATCCGTCACTGCGTGCTTTGGCGACCGCATTACTTAATGAACAAAGCCGCGAGGGTCCTGCCGATGGACGAATACTGGCGGCCATCGGTGCTCGACTGGCCGCCCTAGAGACGTCGTCCAGTGTTCCTTCTTCTCCCAGCGCTCCTCTGGCTGCCTGCGACATTGTCGAAGGACAGAGAGTGTACGGTTACTCGGTGTCTCCAAACTCCTTGGGAGACAGCCGCCGCGTCGTAGAAGTTATTTTCCAGCGGCCTAACCCCCCTCTCATGCAAGGGTGGGGACGTACTGATTATTCCTGCCAGGATGGTTGGATGTACTGGTCAGAAACTATCGAAATATAAGATATTTGTCGGCTCAATTGTGCACAGAAGCCGCTAATCTCTGTATGTGTATGGAGAGGCCCATCGAACTCTCGCTAAGCTGCTCGCATCCCTAATCCTTTCCTAGTCCTGTGCCGGACCCATAGCAGTATATACTCAGAATCACATACCATCTAGTTTAAATCAGGTGGTGATTTAATGGCATTACGTGTACATGGGCAATGTATCAACGAGGTTGGGTCTTTTACCTAGCATCTCCCGGGAGTCTTAAGAGTCTGAGGCCTTCCATTCGCCGTTGAAGTGCTGGTGGAGCTCAGCTCGGTGTTTGTTGCTGCTAAACCGGATTAAGTAAAGACTCAAGGGATGCATAAGTGGAGATGATCTCGGTCTTTTGACAGTTTATTGACGATTATTGGTCCGTGTGCTATAGTAGTCGGTAGCCTAGGCTTCCTTACACTTCCTCTAGTCCTTAGTCAAGTATGGTCGCATTTTTGACTCGGCTTGGCCCCGCCGCAGCGCCCTCATTTCCGTCAATATCGTTACAGGACGCATGAAGATGACATAAAAAAGGCAGGAGAGAAACTGGGATGGCTTTTAGCAGTATAGTCAAACAATTTAGATCGCTTCAGGCACCAAAATGATTCTAAGTCTAGATTACTGGCTGGCTGACTGCCGTGGCAGGTTATTAAGAGGACCGCATCCCGCTCCTTGAGTCTACGATCTCTATTTCTTCGTCTACGCCGTGTTCCTCAGTTTTTCATTAACTCGACGTCCCCAATCACCGCTCTAGTCTCAATCACAGAACGTTGCATATCATGGCCACGAAAATGGCCTTAAACATAGCAGCGAATAGAACGGTCGACGTTACCCTGCGAGCGCTGCAGCTCATCTTCGCCATCATCGTCATGGGGACAGACGGCTACGGTATGAACCCACCAATGCATCCCACTCCATCAAGACATTCATTTATTCTGACTACCATCATATAGCTATCCACGTCTATCGCGGCCACACTGACTACGTACACTTCGTATACGGCAACTTCTACGCTTACGCCGGCGTCCCTGACGAGTGGGGCTTCTTGATGTTTTGTGCTGGGTGGACATTTCTGGGCGTTATCTTTCTCTTCTTCACTGCGGGAATCAGCTTCGCAGAGCATGCAGTGATTGGCTCTATTTCTGTCATTGTTGAGATTGTGGCTCTTCTCTCATGGCTTGCGGGTTTCATTGCCGTGGCTGTTAATGTGGGGAGTAATCCGTGTCCGGCGGAAGAGAATGACTGTGTGTTGCTCAAGGTTGCAATAGTATTCGGCGCATTAGAATGGCTGCTCTTCATGATTACGACGATTCCGACCATCAAACTTGTCTTTAACAGCACTCGCCGGCAGAAGACACCGATGATCGAAACCACGACACCTGTTTGAGGCACGGGATGATGAAATCCCTGTGAGCAACACAACTATGGATTTCAACACACCTGCCCAAAAGCATACTTCCTTGGTTTTGAGTATCGCGTCGGTTGAGAGGTCTTTGAATAAATAGAGATTATGCTAGAGCATATACACAGTTTCTTCAGTCTGGGCGAACAGGAATATCGGGAGCCTAGTGCATAGGCATAAGCCAGCAATATCCGGTTGGTCAATGAGGGACGAGCTCTGCAATCTCCTTATGCGCCAGTCTGTTACATAGCCAAACCATTAAGCTAGGACCCGACTTCCCGGAGGCAGTAGCGAAGTAGGAATACGTTATTCTCATAATGTATCATTATAATGATCACCAAGACCTCAATTTGGTGAAATTTGAATCCCTATTTATGACCAGCGTCCTTTTACTCGTCATCACACCGTCCACAATGCACATCATTTTTCATTCACTTAGTGCGATTAGAAATTTCTAAGAAAGTTTATTATTACTTGCAAAAAAAGCAAGGAAAGAGTACCAAAAAATTATTAATAAAAACATACAACAGAAGGGATTCGCTGGTGGTCACCCACCCAACTACTAACCTCCCGGCGTGTGGCTTAAGTACGGCTGAGCGGACGGGAAGCCCTGTTTTCCACACCCTGTGGTCGTATGTGCTCATCACTTGTTAGACTAGACTGATATAGCGCATTCTCTTCTTTTGAAAAGGAAACCAACTTGCTAAATGATGATTTGCATCGTCGTTGTTCAACAGACTTAGTGTGGTGCTACTGAGCGTATTTCTTTCGCAGAATCTCTGCCTTGTATCTTGACAAGCATAGTCACGATTAGTACTCGTGCCAGGTACAGATTCGAACATTGTCTTTGCTGTGACAGTGTCCAAGGGTTCATACCGCTGAAGTTATGCCGATTTATATATGTGGAGTCTCCCCGGAGATCAGGAACAATCCAACGCTTGATAGAAGGTATGTTTCTCCATCCACTTGCACCACATATCTAATTCACAAAAGCGATCCCAGTAGACCATTGAACCGAAGCTAACAATATCGGTAGAGTTTGAAAGAAAAATTCCTCAACTAGGTGGGTCGCATAGTCGTCGGTATCTCCATACATAAAAGGATTATGTACCCCACGATCGACAATCTAGAATAAGCGTTGTGAGTTGACTCGTCGAATAACAGTTACTGGAGCATGGGGAACCTACATTTGAGGACAAAAATTTCGGCGAACTTACTAATTCGTAAGGTAGCCCAGCTCAACTATCTGGAAGACATGTTAGTAATGTCGTCCGTGTGGCCAACATCCTAAACCTCCTAAGTGGTAGTGGAGACAATTCATAGATTTATCTTATTCTCTTAATCGAAATAGTAATAGCGATGGGGACTCATGAAGACCATGTGGCAATAGAAGCGACTGCACCACTACATACTATCAAGTAACAACCATCCTAGATCTTCATTATCATTTCCCGCTGGAAAATTGGTTGTATCCAATAACGAAGGTCTAGCTACCTGATAGCGCGTAAACAGAGTCAAAAATTCATCCCATCCCTCTTCTCCGACATTGAAAGGATATAGAGGCGACATCTCGACAACGAGTTTATTCTCCAGGCAATGAGCGAAGAGAATATGACCCTGATGGTTTCGTAGGAATGAGAACAGCATAACCTGAAATTTGAGAGGCAAGGCGGATTAGCAACTACAGGAGCTTGGTAAAGCTTTCAAGAGGAGAAGAGGGTAGCATACAGGGACGACAGCATGCTTTTCGAACTTTTCATCCAGCAGTCGACTGATCATCACAAGGATGATAACCATGACCTCTTCCCTTAAAATCATCCCGTCTTCACCATCAACACCATGAAACATCGAGGCCTTGACATGTGGGTGTTCATTGCCGCGCAATGTCCAGTAACAACATGGGCCCCATTCGTAACATTCCCTCTGTATGAACCATGGCTGTGGAATCGGGGGGTCATCAGGGATTGCCCTATTCAATGAAACCATGAGTCAGATCCAAAGAATGAACCCGTGAGATATACTTACGTGGAATGTCTCCACCCAGTTAGCGCTTTCAAGGGCAGCTCATCGTTCTCAGTGCCTTTTCGGGGTGCAATGTCCACTTCCGTAACAAATCGTGAACACATTGTTTCCGCCCATTCCCCACCGCTCCCCCATGGCCTGGACAAAGTGTATCCCATCCGACATCCGTTTTTGAGGATACGATCCTCACATGAGATTCTTTCATTCCCCTCCTCGGGCGTAAGATTTCTTTCGTAATGCTGTAGCTCTTTCTCGCTCCACGGAATAAAGTATTGCACGTTCACCCCGGGAACAACAGACTGATGATCAAGTGTTACAAGTGACAGCGGCAGACGGGCGAGCTCTTCAGCTGGAATAATGCCAGTATTGGCGTTCCAGAGAAGATAGCAGATCTGATGCAAGGTTTTCAGAGCTTCATCTACCTTGTCGTCGTTCATGATGGCGAGTTCTTCTGCTGGTTCCCACGATGTGACACCCAATTCGTTAGATAGATGTATCGAGAATGCAATGTTTTAAGAAGAGACGAAAGGGAAACGGAGTTGGAAGGTGAAATCAAAACGTCAAGTTTCTGTCATCAGCGGAACATAACAATGATTCTGATAGTCTATTTTGCGACACTCACAAAATTACATCATAGGGTGACCATGAAATTGAATGGTGGTGATAAGCCAACTAAGGGAATTTTCTGATTCGAAGCCTTCGTAGTTTATTGGAACGTCAAGCAAGTTCTTTATGAGACGGGATCTGGCATATAAACGGTCGAAACAAAAATGTTTAACCAAAATTCAATTAAACATGTAATTCAAATATGGAGCACTAATAATAACACATGTACAAGAACCGAAAGTTTTATCCTGGCAAACAGCCACCGCTATGTGGAAATAGCCAGTTCACACCAGATTGCATTTCAAGAGCAACAGCAGAAGCTTAGACAGAAGGCCATCCACCAGACCAGTTAATGACATTCCAGCCAAACTGCTTGTCGCCATCAGCATAGCCGATGTCAGTGTTGAGGTAATGGTAGTAAAGGATCGGTCCGTATTCAGGATCATCAAAGACACCCTGGCCACCAGGTGCATAGACATTATCGTGACTTTCCAAAACGGGAGTGCCGCCGTTAGCCTGGCAATCATTGCCATCTTTATCGACCTATTTGTTTTAAATCAGCTTTAGAGAACAAACCACCAGAACCCTTATCTGGAGTAACTTACAAATCCACCAGTAGCCTTGGTGCTGCGACAAACCATAATCTTATACTCCTCGCCGGGGGCCGGGCGATTGGTATCAAGGCCGCAGCATGTACCCGATGAGAAGAAAAGATAGTAATAGTTACCATGCTGGTACATGTATGCTCCTTCTTCGGCCTGATTTCCCGTGGAGTTGAAGGCAAGGTTGTATGCAGAGCTGCCAGCAGTCTTGGTTCCCGCTGCGTTCATCGGGACTTGGTAAAGGTCGTCGTAGAAAGAGCCAAAGTTCATGTAGAAAGCTCCATCAGCTTTGATGAGGTTGGGATCAATGGCATTGTAGAGCTTGCCACTGTGAGAAGAAACGCCGATCGATCCGTGATCAGTCCAGGTGTTGAGCTCCATGGTAGGGGAGGTGGCGAGGCCGATGGCAGAATTTTGGGTGCCGAACGTGGAGACCGCATAGAATACGTAGTAGGTTTGTTCGATATAATGAACATCGGGTGCCTGTATTGGCGCAGAGTATTAGCAATATGAGGCGAACAGTAGTGTAGCGTACAGCCTGGACTCCGCAACTCACCCACAGGTCTGTGTTTCCAGCGAGGTTGATCTTTGAACCAGCAGGGACAACAGATCCAACCCCTTCCCAGGGGCCGTTCAGTGAGTCCGAGGTGGCATACGTGATCTCACCACCAGTGGAAAAGCGGAAGTATTTGCCATCGGATACGCGGCGCATAATACCAGGGTCACTAATGACACATAGACCCGAGCACGGCTCAGGGTTGGCGTAGGCATAGGCCAAGCCGGGGAGGATGGCGAGGGCTGCAAGATTCAAAAACATAGCTTGAGATGGAGGCAGAAGGTGATGTAGTACTTAGGAAAGCAGTGAGGGTCGTCCCCAAATAAATAAATAAGCCTATGGTTCTCAGCTGGGCACGAGGAAAGGGGTTTCTAGGTGAAATATCTCTCCTGAACATCCATGTCCCCCAAGCACCCTGTATCACCCGCAGACAGGAAGGTGGAGTACGTTCAAAGCAACTGTACCCTGGTTGATTTCATGTTACTTTGGGAACATTAACCAAATTGCCTAGGATGCCGGTGCAAACCAATCATCGAGAGCTTACAGGGCTATGGAGCACCATCCTTGGTTTCGCAGTCTCAAAAGATGGAGGAACAGGCACGACCAGGGACCAAGAAATCCACCACCGCATGGTCGCTAGGAAAGATACAAAGCTTAAGATGGCCTCGAATGTCTTCAGTCGCATGCCAAGTCATATCCAAATTTTCTTTGGTTGCAGTTGTACATACAGGAATAGGGGGCCAATTAAATCTAATATGTTTCTATACAGTCGCGATAGCCCATCGCTTCAGCTTACTTTCGCGTTTGGCACAATTGAGAATGCGAAACCCTTCAGGCTTCGAGATCCTTTAAATACTCACCTCGATCAGAGAGTGCCGGCATTATGTCTTCCTTCCCGCTATAGTTTATTCAACCGTGCATTGGACGGTGGGATTGCCTACATCACCACAAATCTCAGAGTATGCCAAAATAGCTAATCAATACGGTGGATAGAACTCTGCTGCCTACTGTTGTGCCTGCGAAAGTGAGTTTCAAATATAGAAGTGCGCTCTGAGCCATGAGATTGTAGATTAATATCCCTTTGTACCTTTGAAGGACCTGATCAGGCTCATTCTCCTCCGGCAGTTGAACAGCCGACAGACATACAATAGGGCTGGTCATAGTGGGGGGTGTTTCTTTCCGTAAGCATTCATTGGTGGCAGGCGTTGCAACGTAGTAGAACACTTCATGTCCCTGAAGCGCCACAATCGTAAGTGGGCACCGCGTAGGAGCCGGAAGTAGGAACTAAGTCACCCGCTAAGACCAATTCGATCCGAGGATGTCTCAGATCAAAACCAGCGGTGCTACTGGTGCTGCTGCCACATAACCGGTCTTCAGGAGATAGAAGAAGCTGATCTCGCGGTGCTCACTGGGATGCCGCTTCTTGATTGAAAAGGTCCGATGTTCACTACTCTACGAGCGATGCCAGAATGCGACAGGCCTGTGTGTGTACGTAGCGCCACAAATCAGTACAAAGAAGTCAAAAGACAAGAATCAGCAGAGCAGAGGGTCATAGACATGGTCATAAATGCAAACGACCTAAACTAAACTAGTCAAACAAGTTCGGCGCCAGGGTCCAAGTTAGGACCGGCCAATTATAGGCAATCACTGTCAGCTATGAGACGATCGCAAACATCAAGGGTTTTATCAGTGGGCCTCGGACTTACAGTGCGCACAGCTTTCCCAAAAGGGTACCGGCCAAGATGTAGCCACTGGTCAGAACTTTCAACCCGAAACACTAATCCGTTGAAGATAGGTACGGATACGGAGTGCATATCCACTTCTCACTCGGAGCTCCACCTTCCACCGATAAGCTTCGGGCCCTGCCAAGCTACCTAATTTATCCGGGTATACTTCGGACACCCCGGTTTAAGTCCCCTACGGACCCGATTAATCTTTGAGGAGCTACTCGCACGGTGGACCTATAAGATAGGTTGAAGGAGATAGGCAGTAGGAAAGATAGGAAAGTAGGCGGAAAGTTCCGCTGGCTAATCCTTCTTTGTGGATTAGGGGGTGTCTATGGAAACGTCACAACTGCCGAGTAAATCCTTCGCGTGCTTCGCTAGACCGGTCTACAACAAAGATCTTTATCCACTGACTACAAATCAAGTAGCCTGGCGTGATATCTAGGCTCGAGCCATCTACTGGTGCTGTTTTAGGTAAGTCTGGCGACGGCATGGAGTAAATAAGAGCATACATTTGTGCTATCACGCTGCCCTGCCCGATTTATCGAATTTAGTGATGCGTTAAGAATAGTTTAGCCTGTTCTAAGACACATACCGCACTTGGGTTTTAGGTTGGATTGTCAAAAAGTGTGATTGCCAATATTAGTTTACTTGTCCTACCAATTACAGGAAGCCGTGATCAACTGGGACGACTTCGGACTAGCACGCTGACCTTACTTAAAAAACCAGCATGCGTTTATTTCCATGAATGCACGATATTAAACTGAATTATTCTGGGGGGTATCAATACCCCTGATCTGTCATCGTCTGCCTCCCTGTCCATCTGACTCTTCAGTACTTACACCAGTTTCTTTTTTCATATGTTATTAACGTCAGAAGATGTATCTGAACCAATGCAATGACTTCGTTCTCGGCAAAGCTCGTTGGAAGCGCGGGTATATGTCACAGTAGCAAAGCTTCTGATGTCGTCGGCATGATCCGTTACCTCGCGGCATCCCAAGGCCAGAGAAGCCCGGACATGCTCGTGGGGAATTTTAAGGTTTGCTGCCCGTAAGTTGTTTTCTTATGAGGATGTTGTCGAAGGAGAGAGGCTGGAGCCTTACTGAGTAACATCTTAGCCGGATAATGTGTCAATTATGCTTGGTCGGCGGACGGAACAGCCCCTATCTTCAGCAATAATAATTGATTACTTCATGCTGCTGCGATCTTTCGTCAACCAGAAGTCCTTCTCTGATGACCAAGAAGTCATTGGCATCGATTACTCCCGTCTCAGTATACCCCGTGTATGCCTCGGACACCGTCAAAAAGATCAGGAGTCCTTTGAATGCAGGAATATACACAAGGAAAGCGAAGACAAGAGCGACATTATGTGGTGACAATTCTCGGCTTTGAATTCTATCTTTGTGTTCCATATCTGAGCAGGACTCTTGCAAACATTTTGCCCTGCCTAGGTCGTATGATGCTGTATTCAGTGTTTTGCCAAGAGCCGAAGAACATGGAGATGATATAGATTATGAATCTCGTGATTTGGTTCTTTCTTCCACCCCATACAGGATTATTCGTAGACAACATCGAAAAGGAGCCACTACCTGCCGGAACTCCGAGAGAAAAGTGGCCTACTGTCGGAATTCCGAGCAGGGTGGTCAACTTAGCTTCGTATTCTGACCAATCCTCTGCCGTGGTACATTTCCGCAGTGTATTACTAAGATGACCCGAGGGTTGCGGTCGGAAAAGGCGATCATCGAATTTGCTCTGCAATGACTGATGATTTCTACACTTCGTTCATTATCTTCAAGATATCCTTCTCCGCAGATCTCACAGTGCGAATTACATCAAAATCAGATAAAGAATGGCTAAAAGCCAGAGTCGCCCCCCTCGAAGAAAAGCATGTAGTAACTGCATTAAGTCCAAGGTACGGTGCACTCTAGATCGACCCGCATGCTCTCGATGCAGGGTGACCGGCCGAAACTGCGATTATGGTACTACGACTCTGGCTTTGGGGCAGCGAAATTTCTCTCGCCTACAAGAAGGACATAGTGGAGAAGCCGGTTCGTTAGAGAGCCAAAGTGTAACTTCTCCTTCAGTCCCAGAATTCACTTCAAGAGTGTTGCAGACGCCACCATCTTTGTCATATACTCCCAGTCCTTCTGCCAACAATATCATATGGGACCCGCCAACCCAGCAGGCTCAGGAGCCTCCCGTCGAAGCAACGTCGAAAGAAAAAGGGACTGAACTTCGAAGCGATCAATTTGACCCCTAGCTCTATTGCAGAGGATATTCGCGACCGGTGGCTTAGGCCGTTTTTCCTGCCTGCGCACGGGCGTAGTGAAACTCCGAAAGTCTGCCATCCTTATACCTTGCAATTTCTTGCACGGATTCTGAAGACATATCCACGATATATGTTGAGAGACGGACGACCGCCTCCTATCATTCACCATGTTCAGGTCACGGAGAATAAGACGCCTCGAGCACTCGCGAATTGCTACAGCCTGGTACGTATGTGGGAACAGGCAGTCCCGGGGAGTGAGGAGATAGTCATGAATACGGTCGCACGGGAAATGGAACGGCTCGCTAGTGAGGTATGCATATCCCTTAGTGCACATGTTATGAAGCAAAGGTGGTAATAGGATTAAAGAGTCCAAATCAACATGACTACGAGCTCCTCTCTAGCTTTCAAGCCTACCTCATCTATTCAATTTTGATCTACTTTGGCCCTCAAGGTGGTTTCACAGACACAATCATGATAACCCTCATGGATATGGCATCTCAGACCGCTCGAAATGGCCTCTTTTGTGATGCCGAGTTAGCACGGACCAGACCAACATGGGAATCCTGGATTGTCGCAGCCACAAAACGCCGTGCAATATTCACTCTCTATCTCTTTAGCAACATCTATAACGCGGACCGTATGCTACCTAATTTCGTCGCAGAGGAGCTGAGAGGCGTATATGCACCGGGTAATAAGACACTATGGGAAGCGGCAGACCGAGAAACATGGAATAAGGAGTACGATAGATACCTACTAGATTGGCAAGATGGAAGCTTGGAAATATCTGAATTATGGCCATCTCCGGAGAAGGAGGAGCCGGAACGGAGGAGAAGGATCGAACGCTGGGTTCAAACAGTTGATGAGTTCGGCATGATGATGTATAGTGTTTGTGCCCATATCCATGGTTCCTAATCAATGATTTGCGACTCCAGTTGTGAATTGCATGCTAGTTAAATTCCTTGTGCGCTCATTTCTTCTATATTGTCCGATGTATAGTGTAGGTTTTGCGATTCACTGTGTATAGAGAGTTATGGATATACATTCGACGCGATGACTCTCCTAGACTAAAGCACCAAGCATGCGACGCTTTTGCAAGGTCAATTCGAGAAAAGCTGACATACTCAAGCATTCGGGTCTCTGGCTTGATACTCTGGATCCTCCTCCATAGTCACACCGGCTTCCTCCAACAAACGAGGGAACCATCTCAACATCCGGTCACGAAAGACTTCATATCCGGCTCCTTTCCGCAGCACCTTCATATTCTCCGCATCGAAATTCATGCCACCGCGCTTGTACACTTGCCATTTCTGTAGACCATAATCCACCACCAAGTCTACCGCATCGATCACCTTGGGCTCAATATCCTCAACCCGAAATCTCTGTCCTTGGCCTGACAAGTTGGCTGAAGTCCCGAAGGTCAACATACCTGTCGGGTCATCATCACAAAGGCGACCGAGCTCTCGCAGAAATGGACCTTCAGGAACTGCTATGCTGACCGTATCGCCCTTTGTGACTTGCGATAGCGTCGCCGGATCGAGAGCTGCCAAACGCGGGTGAAGGTTTTTGGTATCGTATTTAGCAATGATACCAACTATCATCGCCATATCTTCTGTCAAAACCCGTGTCATCTCGAACTTGGCTTCCGAAAGCATGTGAATCTCTCGATGTTGCTTGTATGTCCCGATTATGCCGATGTTGTGACCCTCTCGGCGATCCTTGGCTGAAAATATACGCTGGACTCCAGCCTGCGTACTCGTCAAGAGCGCGTAGCCGACATCCGTGGGTATGATAACGACTCCACCGCTTTTTAAAGTATCGTAGGTCTGCTTAGCATCGCGAGGGACATTAGGCGCAGTGCCCTTCTTGGGTATGAACCGAGGAGCCATGTACGAAAGATTGTAGTACTGGTGTGTTGGAGCTTAGATACAGGACCGGTGTCGCAGGATGAAAAGAACGTACCCCCGAGGCATAAAAGTGTGGCCACAGACTCTAGAAGTAGGGATTAAGATAATATATCAAGCGATACGAGTAGATGCGATCCTGTCATTATGACGCGGAATACCGCGGCTAGTCGGAGCAATGCCGTTCGGAGTTGTACCACGGAAGAGATCCCTTCAGGAAACAAAGTTAATTTCATCTACACTCGGAATTCCGATGATAGATTACTTTGCCCTCGGAGTTGCAGTAGGTTCCTCATCCATATATAAAACTTCAATGGATGGTCTATAGAGCATGTAGAGATTGCTTTCTATCTGTCGCTCGTTTCTATAAAACAACTTTCTTTATATTTCACAGCTGAACTTATAGCATACTACATACCAACTTTTACATGAGTGCTGTGTCCTCCAGCATGGAAGTCTTGTTGCGAGAAAGTGCATTCGGCCGAATTCTCAACTACCTCTCCAATGGCAACCTTTTTCGGGCCCCAGACCATGCAAATTCGAAAAGTGAAGTGACAACGAGCGAGAGTCCGTCGCCTACATCTCCAGATGCTCTTGACCTTATCCTTGTGGATTTTAGCGGACCCGATGATCCAGACATTCCCAGGAATTGGCCAATGTTGGCAAAGACAGTTGCCATGATCGATGTGATGTTATTGAACTTCAGTTTCTACGCGGCATCAGCAATCTTCACGCCGAGTATTCCCTTAATCGAGAAGGATTTAGGTGCGACAACTGCCGAAGGAACATTGGGACTCTCCCTTTTCGTTATAGCATATGGCATTGGGCCTCTCATTGTGCGTCAACTTTTTACATTCACCTATGATGTTTATCTTGTTTGCTAATGACGGAATGCTTCCAGCTTTCTCCTCTGTCCAATTTACCCTCGATTGGACGCACTCCGGTATATGTTCTCGGCTCTTTTGCATTTTGCCTGTTTAATATTGGGACTGCCCTGGCCAAGAACCTGCAAACCATACTAGTCCTGCGCTTTTTTGGGGGTCTAGTCGGGAGTGCACCTATTAGTGTGGGAGGCGCTACACTGATGGAGGTCTTCAAGCCTAACCAGTGCCCGTATGCGATTGCCCTGTACGCGGTCAGTGGAGTCTGCGGGCCGATTCTAGGGCCGGTATGTCATTTTCCGTCGAGCTACTTGGTGTATATGAGCTAATTAGGTGACTATAGATACTCGGGACTCTGGTAATGTAAGCGTTGATCCCTCCAATCCGGCAATATCGATGCTAATGGACAATATAGAGAGCGCTGGCAAACATGGACTGCGACTCTGTGGCTTCTCTCAGGTGTCACAGCCTTTACGACAGTGTTCATATTCTTCTTATTGCCCGAGACATTGAGCACCAATATCCTTCTACGCCGGGCACAAAGACTCCGCAGACAAACGGGAGACCCTGCATATCAAAGTCAAGCCGAATTAGATACACCAGGCGCATCTCTTGCCGTGCGCATTGCTAGACAAACAGTGGATGACTTCAAACTCTCTTGCACGGACCCCGTGATCCTATTTGTCAACATGCATACAATGCTCATCTATGGCATACTGTACCTATGGTTTGAGTTCTTCCCATTCGGTGAGTCAATCCAAATCGAAACTTACTTCTCTGGCAATTGCTCACTAGTCATAGTGTTCGATGGAATCTACCATTTTAATAATATTCAACAAGGCCGTAAGTCGCTAACCAAACTCCCTTTGATCTAGTCTGACCTAGTTTATAGTTGCATTCTTCGGTATCCTAGTCGGTGCCGCACTTTCCGTCATTGTATACGTCCTATGGCTATACTTCTCATACCAGCCACGGGTCGCAAATTCGGACATCATTGTCGAACCCGAAGCTCGCCTAGTCCCCGGTCAGATCGGAGCAGTGTGCATTCCAATCTGCCTCTTCATATTTGCCTGGACATCTCGAGAGAGGTAAGCGCATGAATGCCGTTTGATATGCACAAGACAGCATTAACATAGGTTTAGCGTACATTGGATCGTTCCTATCATTGGGACTGCTTTCTTTGCACCAGGCTTTTATCTCACATTCCAGTCTATACTAAATTACCTCGGAGAGTCCTATCCAAGATATATAGCAAGTGTGTTTGCTGGAAATACCTTCTTTCGAAGCTCATTCGGTGGTGCTTTACCTTTGGCTGCTCCGCAGATGCTGAAGTCGCTCGGTATTGGATGGTCGTCGAGCACGTTGGGTTTCATTTCCGTTGCGATGCTTCCATTACCTTTTATTCTGGAGCGGGTAAGATGCTTTATGGCTACGGAAAATATGCAGATTTAGCTAACTCTTCGATAGTATGGAAAGCGTTTACGCTCGTGGAGCAAGTACGCCAACTAGGTATTCCTGGGGATCGGAACCTTTCTACGGGCTGCTGCAAAGTGGGCAGATGACCTTTTGCTCGTATTGAGACCAGGAGTAGAAATATTTCTCTGGTCATCTGCCTCCGCTATGTTCCTCGAGACCCTTTTGGCCCGTAGCCTAGGTACAGCGACCATGGCTTGGCCAAACGGCTTCACACTTATATAATCTTTGTTTTCCACTTTCTCTGGTTGTTATATTCATTGTTTTTGGTGCTATACCTTTGTAATATAAATATTCGTGTTTACTTTCATATGATGTTATAATATGTGTTAAAATTGATGTTAACACCACAATCATTGTATGAGATATGGCAAAATCCGGACAGTTCATAAATCATAGCTGACGGTTGCCTAAATATAATCGATCTTATCTGACAAAATATCTCCCGCTTCTTCATTTCGTGAGTAGTCTTCCGTGAGACAGATTTTATAGCTAGCTGGTTAAGAGTCTATGTGCAAAGCCCTTTCAAATAAAAAACTGTCTTTCCCACACCCGCTCATGTCAATCCGCCCGGACAGCGCGAATCATCCTACTTAGACCTTCTTCCAAGACGTGTGGAGGATGCGCAAACACCATGCGAAACCACCCTGGTTCTTCTGCAGCATAAATATTTCCCGGCGCGATGTATACCTTTTCTTGTCTAAGCCTAGCAAGAATGTCCTGATCAGTGGCTGTTCGGCTTTTCATCAGAGCCCCCAGGTTCAACCATATAAAAATTGCAGCATTGCACTCCACGTAGGGAATATTATGGGCCTGGAGGAACCTTGTCGCAAATTGATAGCTTTCTGCTAGCCGACTCCTGTTAGTTGAGTTGTATTCCTCCAAGAATCTGTCATCTGTAAGTAATGATGAGGCGATACGGTCTGCAACGCTGGACGGGAAATTATAAAGACTAGATAAAGAGAACGGTTAGCATTTGTCCCAATAGTAGGCATATTGTGATTTCCCTACGATATGCCTTCTACTGCGTCTAGCAGCTTCCTGTTGTATTTGCTGATTAGGCATCCGATTCGCAAGCCCGTTGAACCATAATCCTGTTCACTATTAGACACTGTTGCTCACAGGGATCACTGAAGAGGTGTCAAACTTTGCTTAACCCCCAAACAACATGCACCATTCTTGGATCCATGAACTCCTCTATATTGAATGATAATATCGACTTGAAGGTGGGCGCATCAGGAAAACGCGGATTTTCCCAAACAGACTGCGCGTAGATCTCGTCGCTGATCAAATGAAGTCCGTTTCTGGAACAAAACTTCATGTACTCCCTCAAGGCATCGTCGGAGTAGCAGCGTCCTTGGAAGTGGTTCAATGAATTGCAACTCCTCTTTCAGTTGGATTAGACTGGAACCTACCAAGAGGATTGTGTGGCGAGCACAGCAGTAAAGCCCTGACTTGGAGGCCTTTCCTTTTCGCCTCTGCATAAGTCCGCTCGTACTTGTTGATAGCGGTGATGCTGAATGGGTCGGTTGTGCCGAAGGCGACTTCAAGTAATTCGATCCTGTACCAGTCAGGGATTGAACCACGAAGGAATTGAGATAATTTTCCTTACTGTGGTCGGGTTCCAAATATGGTCTTGAAAGCGTTGAAGTAGGGGCGTCCAACGAGAATGTAGTCACCAGCATCGGCTAAAGCCCAAGCACAGCACTCGAGTGCATTGCTGACACCTGACGTGATGGCAATGTCGCACGGATATAGTGCAGTTTGGGGGCTGAAATAACGGTTCAAGAATTGGCAGATGGCATTTTTAAGCCAATGTGAGCCACTAAACCCATCCCCGTATGTTAATACGTGTGTGTCAAATTGGGCCTGGGACCGTTAGTATGAGGTATTGAAAAAGAACAAGTGGAGATAATCATTACATTGCTGTTGACAAATTCCATCATCTCTGCATGCATGAGGGTCTGAGCAATATTAGTCTTGAGACCATAAAGAAGTCCGCGCATTTTCTTCCTACATTCTCGGCCAGACCTAGATTGACTATACCTTCAGGATTGGACTGCGCATCCCATAGATCACCCAGAACGTCCAGGAAGGCCGGTTTCTGCGCTGCGAGTGCCCTACCTCTTGCTGAAGTAATTTCCATGGTAGGTTATGGTAGGTCCTATGCAACATAAAGTCCTAGGGAAAGATGCAAATAAAAGACATACGATGGTACAAAGCCCCAACTGAATATAGGACGTAAGTTCTTCACATGACGCCACGTGGGGCATGTTCCGGGAAGGCGCATCTGCATATGGTTGCGGCTATTGCGGGTGAAGCGGGAAGATCATCGACATTGTTCTCCCTTAAACTTGATCATATCTTCTCTTTTTCTAGAACAGCATGTTTCTGTTCCCTGAAAATGTATGATGTGATGGCCGATGACGATTTACCTGCTGTCGACTTCATTGACCGCAGGGGGCTCATCCTCGACTCGGAGCGCGTGTCTGTCACCAACATTCACCCCAAAGGCTTCTTCATACGGCATCCCCCTGCACCCCACGAACTTAATGGGGACCTGACACCAGAATCAAAGTTATTCCAGACGATTCACATGGGAGCCGCCGTCGTGGATACCGGGCGCTGGAAGCTCATCGTAGACGGACTTGTTGAGCGCCCTTTTTCCGTTAATCTCGAGCAATTGCGAAAAATGCCGACCGAGACAGTCACCTCTTTCCATGAATGCTACGGCAGCCCCATAAATCCTCCCACAAAGAATGTCTGGCGCATTGGCAATGTCAAATGGACGGGCGTCCCGCTGCATTATCTGCTCTCCATTGCTCGGCCAGATCTTGAGCGAGGACTTTATGTTTGGTCCGATGGGCTGGACTCGGGTGAATTTGCCGGCGTCTCAGCCGACAGGTACCAAAAGGACTTACCCATCAGCAAAGCTTTATCATGCGAAGTTCTTGTTGCTTACGAAATGAATGGCCAACCGTTGACCAAGGAGCGCGGTGGATCAGTGAGGTTAGTTGTTCCAGGATGGTTTGGGACGAATTCCACCAAGTGGTTGTGTCGATTATCAGTGCAGGCAACAAGAGCGAAAGGGCCATTTACTACTGTCTTTTATAATGAGCTTGATCCAACGGACTCCGAAGGCGTCCGGAAAAGGCCCGTTTGGAAGGTTGAGCCAAATTCGATGTTCGTCCGCCCTCGTCCGGACGAAGTGATTGTTAGTCTCGGGTACGTTGAGGGCTGGGGGCGCGCATGGGGGGCAGACGAGATTGTGAAGGTTGAAATCAGCCTCGATGGGGACAGTTGGGATGAGGCAATTGTGTCACCGCGGAAGCAGTTTGAGTGGCAGCTATTCTCCTTTCGAGTGGAAGTTCACCGAACCGGGAGACATCACATTCAAGCAAGGGCCACGGATAAATCTGGTGCACAGCAGCCACTAACCGGAAGGCGGAACCATGTTCCAACTATTCAGATCTGGGTAGAATCTGATGTCCCCTAGGGGAACGTCGTATCGCATGAAAAAGAGCAGTAGCTGAGAAGCACTGTTTCAAGTGCGTAATTGGCCATTTTCATCACCAATGAGCCTTTGGGAGGTTGCTCATAATCACTGTGGGCATAAGTCTCAATGTCTCATGCAGGCGAACGTGTGGTTCAGCTGCAATGGTGTTACTGACGAGTATGAACAGGACAGAGGTTGCCAAGAGAACAATTTCCTGTCAATTGCTCCCTTGAAACGCCATGCACACGTGGGGTTACTGCCGTGATGGGACTGCCTCCATTACTAGAGCCGATGGTTTCAAGAATGCACCCATCGATGTATCGTCAAGTATATATTCATGTTCCTACTTTCCGCCTAGGGCTAACACAAACTCCTCTTTTGGTAATCAAGGACCACTTATGCGAAAGATGATGATCAGCCTGTATGGAGGGACTTAGTATACTATGCCTCACACCAATACGTGCTCACATATACTCATTACTTTCCTAAGGTTGTAACCCCGAGGATAAACAAGTAATTCACTATTTGTTCCTTACAGGCGATATCATTCTAGTTGAGCTGTGAACAAGCACATACGACCACAGGGTGTGGAAAACAGGGCTTCCCGTCCGCTCAGCCGTACTTAAGCCACACGCCGGGAGGTTAGTAGTTGGGTGGGTGACCACCAGCGAATCCCTTCTGTTGTATGTTTTTGACTTTTTTTAGCAACTATGTTCCTTCAGGATTCCCTTGTCTGACTGATGTGTCCGTCAACTCTTGCGTGGCGTAGGTCAAGGTCTACCGCGTGCGCCAGACCTACGACCCGGGGCACGAGACAGCGGCAGCGGCCAAGGTTTAATATTCATACTGGAACAAGCATTTGTTGGAGTGAACTGTAAACGCAACGGTATTAAGGAATGGAAGCGAGACAGTTTCGCGTCATATTGTGCTTCAGACAATGGGTAATTCAATTAATCCGGATGAGGAATGAAGGGATCGGTGTGGATCTGGAGTGTCCGCTACCGCCGCTGTCATTTCGCGGGGCTTGCTGTATCTGGGGCCGCTGACCAAGTTAGGACATCAAATGCAACCTCAGTGTACTACTTCTATCAACAACCTTGGGTCGCTCCAGTTCATGTTGTGGAATCACAGAGAGATTTATTATGGAGAGCCATACTTTCAGTAGCCGCATTCCGGATTGAACGCGCCAGACCGAAGCAACGATTGCATTCTTTCTAGTTTGACTTATACTTCAGTCATACCGCATTCATGCCCCACACCAATGGTAGAAATCTTCTGTTCGGCAGCCACTGGCTCATTACCAGCGCATACGGGACCTGACACTCGTCTTTGGTCCAGACTATGAATCAGAGGGTCATATCGTGAAGCAGAGGATTCGCCATCAATGTACAATAGCTGTTATCAGCAATGCTAAATGCCCGAACTACTCGCAGCAAAAATGGCACCAAGTAATTAACCTGCAATGTCACTTCAATTGAAAGAGCGTTGTATTAACTCATGACCTAAGCTTGACGAATTTAGCGCATATCAATACGTGATTCTATGTAGCGGCTGTACCGAATTTGAGACAAGATAGAAGTATATATGCTAAGAAAATTCCAGTGTTCAGACATTGGTGAGAGCATGACGGGATTTGCATACGCTTGTGTCACCCATGAAACATGCAGTGACTGCAAGGGCGGCTGTCATTAGTGCCTATGCCTCTTACTATAAAGGATAATCACCTAATGCAATTGTTGTTGCAAGAACCTAGAGTAGTATGTGTTATTCAGATACTGAATCTTTTCATATGGTCTTAGGTGTTATATAAATGCTCTGTGCGGCTCCTTGCTTTCTATAGCTTGGTCATGGACTACACCAATGTCCTGTCAGCAAGCGCGAACTGGGAATTGAAGTAGCATGTTATGTTCCAATAATGCATACTGCGTATACATATATACTTTGGAAGTTATGCAGCACGGGTGGCTAGATAGCTGTGATAAACCCCGCTATGGTCCTGCCTGAGCCTGGAACTCATGCCAACTATTTCCCTACCTGTGTGGATGGTGCTAAGCGGGATCGTCTTGTCTGGCTTGGTGACTCTGCGCACACGAGCTGCATTGTGGGAGTGAACTGGTCGCGCCGACCATGTTCGCGACACCTTCCAGCAACTCTTGACCTACCAGCTCCCAACTGAACAGCTGCTAATAACTCCATCCCTTGGCTACTCCCCAGATACTGATTCAGTGGCATTTGCGATGTAGGAAGTCGCGCATTTGCTTCCAGACCACCATATTTTGGGTCTGATACATTTTTCTTTCTTACATGGAGTGGTCTGATGATGTCGCTTTCGCGAAACAAACCTTGGACTCCTGGGTCTCGGCTGTCGACTGGCTCGTCTCTTATCGGAGTAAGGCCACCGCCCTTATTGACTTAAACAAGCTCCAAAATGCGTTCCGGGGGCCTCCCAGTGGCTCTGCTATTAACACTGCTGCTGTGAAGGCGTTCCAAGGTATGGCTTCCGTCGCTGCCGCTGTCAACGACGTCTTACCTCTAAAGAGTTTAAGTTTTACAACTTCCCAGAGCCCCTTCCAGAGATTCTCCACAAAATCCTCTCAGGTCATCGAGACAATTCACTTAATAATATGACTATACTGGATCCTTATGGAGGCCTCTACCAGGAAGAGGGCTTTAGAATAAAGATTTAGAAAAAGCCTTAAAAATATTTATGGGTAAATTTTAACTTTTTAGGAGTTTAAAACAAAAAATTAGAAAGACAGTCTAAAAAAAAAAAAAAAAAAAAAAAAAAAAAAAAAAAAAAAAAAAAAAAAAAAAAAAAAAAAAAAAAAAAAAAAAAAAAAAAATACTACGTGACTGTACATTTATGACAAAAAGAATAGCTTAGCTATGATATAGTTGGTACTATACCCGATATAGTTTAGCGTAATCGTTAGCTAGTCTATATTTAGTTATCTAAGAGGATACGAATATACGAACAACGCATCGAAGGGTTACACATAACAGGACCCTTTATCTACCCTCTACCCTGTGTTGAGTGAATTGCCACTGTGCAGTGCTACTAGCATGCCCTTTGAATGAACCCTCGCTGTCTAACCACAGCCTTTGTTTTTTGGGTGCTGTGTTCAAGATGTTTTAAGAACTAATCTATTGAATTCTGTCCAAATGACAACCTCATCAACTTCACAACTCTTCAGGCAACCGAAATTGGGTAGAATGGCCGATGATCATTCAGCTGCAGTGGACAGGCGAGGCCGGTCAACAATGCCTCTGTTTCAGGCAGGACGCACTCTGCGCTCCGCCTCCATTTCTTCCGCCGCGAGGCTGCTTGATTTCAATCCTGCGGCGGGGGTTTGGCAAGCCACAGGGACTGCTATCGCACACGCCCCAAATTTTGTGGATTTGACATCATCTGGCGAGGTGGCATTTGATTTTCACGCTTGCACTGTACGTCGAAGTAACACTCAACCTGCGATTGAACGCCCTATACCCCGAAGAGCGACAGCCCCCGCGAATGGTCATGGCCCCTGGGAAGAAGAGGACCCAGTGCTCCCCCTCGGGGCTCAGACCGATCGCGGCCACTACTCAGATCTTTCTGCAGGAGCAGTTTCATGGAGCGACACATGCAATAGATTGCCGCTTGTGGTGTGGGAATTCCTCTGCACACCTACGGGCTTCTTCATAACCGTTTACTGCCTTAACGTTATTGCCTGGGGCGCTATGCTATTTTTTCTCTTATTGAACGTCGGGTCCATGACCAAGGAGCAGAAAGAGGTGTGGATTGAAATAGATTCTCAGATCTTGAATGGCTTGTTCTGCTTGACCTCGTGGGGTCTGGCACCATGGCGAATTCGCGATACATATTGGCTACTCCAATGGCGCCTGTGCGACGGTGTAAAATCGAGAAAATCGATAGAGAAGCTTGCAAAGCGAAACGCCAGCTGGTTCAGATTACAGTCTTCCGACTCTGATGAATTGACCTTGCAAACAACCCTGACCGGTAAGGTTGCGCCGCCTACCAGCGAATGGAAAATGGACTTCGTCATCATCAACATGCTGTTGAACACTCTCTTCCAAGTCGGCATGGCGGCATTTATGTGGTGCTACAACCGGCATAATCGCCCAAGCTACGGAGTCGGACTTTTCATCGGCCTGGGTTGTTTCAGTTCTCTTTTAGCTGGGGTAATGTCATGGTGGGAGGGACGAAAAGTCAAGCGGATTGAAGGGTCTCTTGTAGAAGATATACAGGGAAGCCAATATCAGGTGGTTAATACGGTCTGACCAAAGTGTACAAATACATTAGCTTCTTCAGATAGGCCACAGCATAAGGACCAACAGATACTAACTCTGAGACAACCACGATGGGGCCAACTTCTGTCAGGCGTAACAGATATGCCACCGGATGTAGTCTTCCTAAACCACAGAGTTGTCAGGCCTTTCCATCACATCTTCTGCGTGATTCAAGCAATGGTGATGCGCAAGGGAGAGGGGGGCCTGGACAGGCCTTGTGGGTACCCTATTATTGGGCTGCTTTGGGAGCGAAGCAGAAGCTGTTCTTTCCGCGTACTTCTGTTCAGCTCCATAACCACGAAGGGGGCTGATTGACTGTCTTAATTATGGTGGTTGCGGGTATGAAGTGGCTGGTAATGCAAAAAAAGTGGCCGCCTGTCACAGATCAAGGTGCTGTAGTGTAGTGGTCATCATGAAACGTTGTGGTTCTCCGCAGCGCCGTTTCGACCTGGGTTCGATTCCCAGCAGCGCCATCAATTGGCGTGTGTGCTTGATTTGTCTTTTTGCATTTATATGCCGTTTGCGAGTTCTCTCTTAATTTTGTTTTTAACTTAACATTAAAAAACACAGCCCACAGGTAACTATTGTCCCACTATATCCAACGATCCGAGCGGAAATGTTTTCCGTGAACGCCGCCGTACCCTTCTCAGGCATGGTGCCGACCATGCATGTAGTCAACACGAAGTGCTAGACCCCAGCTTCATAGCCAAACACAGAATGAGTGACAGACCAACCGTGCTTTCAATTATTCAGATCACTACGCTCTGACCGTCGGGCAAGTCCGGCAGAGTACAGCCTCGTGTGGGGCCAATTCTTCTAAATTGATTTGACTTGCTGACTGAATGGTTGTTGCTTCGAGGCGTGTCCGTTCTTCTTCTCGACTGCTTCAATACCAGTGCAATTGTATACATGATCCTGAGAATTCATGAATTCTGGCCTTTCCAAAAACTCTGTCTGACCTGGGTCCCAGTACCATCATACCGAAGGTACCGATCTCGACCCAGCAGCCACTGAGAGTTGCTCGTTGTACATTGTGGAGAGCCCCATTTTACACATATCCCCAGATTGAGATAAGCTCACGACACCATGCACCGAAGACATAATCATGTTCAACACGTCGCAATATTATTGCCATGACAGGCAACAGGTCGACCCGCTTCCTCCACACGTTTGGCCCCCTTCCTTGGCCCCTTTGGCCCCAGTTCCTGACTAGGCCTGCCGATCTCCATACAACCCGGGGCGGTGCCTGATCCTGCAGTAGCACTCGAGATTAGCTGCCCTCATAAGCACGGAGAAAAGTCTATAAGTTGCGACAGGGGCACACTTTCTGTGTTGATTTCAAGATAAGTTTTCCGTATGCATTGAACTATCTATTCCAGAATCCACCTCGATTGAATCTTCTTACCAAACAATAATTCACTCAAACAATCGCCTAAAATAGGCAGTTACAACAAACATGAAGCCACTCCAGCTCATCCCGACACTCCTCCTCTCCCTCGTCCCTTCGCTCACCCATGCCTCCGATAGCGACGACATTCCCTCCGGCGCTAAGCTCTGCCAACCTCAGGGTAAAGGCAGCTGCCAGTTCGGCGTATACCAATTATATCCTGGTATCGATTGCTACCACCAAACGATGAACTCTGCCTACCTCTTCGATCACGCATGCAACATCATCGGCCACGTGGAGAACTTCACACAGGGCGACGCCATGACTTCGCAGCTGCCGTATACTCTGGACATTGAGAACGTCTTTGGTTATCCATCTTGCTACCTCAAATATGAGATTGCGTACAGTGATGGCTTGTATGGGTATAGCATGCCCTCGGGAGGTGTCTGGGATGACTGCGAGAAGGGCGATGACTTTCAGTGCACTTGGTACAGGGTGGCGTTTGACTGTCCTGACTTCTAGCGAGTTGTTCTTCTTTTATTACGGATGGGATCGGAGTACGGAAAGGTTATTTTGCAGGTGATATATAAGACAAAATGGCATTTCTCAGAATTAGACCGCTCAGTCTGGTCATGTCAACTCCCGCGCAGTCATATACATAATAGCCCATGGAAAATCATCCACATTGCAAATGAAACTCAGATCACTCCTTAGAGCAACACCCTTCGAGAACCTGCGGCGCCTGGGAAGTATCCAGCCTACAGAAACACGACGCCTTGATGGGGACATCCGCCACCGCAAGTGCCAATTTAACCGACTGCTCAATCATTGCTGCTTCATCCAGCTTCCCCAGTCTCACCAAGCACTCATGATACCCCTGCAGTGACCAGACGTTGTTAGGATGACGGCACTGACGAACGAGTGTGTTGTCCAGTCCCAGATCCGCACGATACACCTGCGCTGCTTCCTCCAGATGCCCCTGTTCCATCAGAAGAGCCGCGTACGCGTGACGAGAAGGCTGCATCCACGACCACGGCTCACTGTAGGGCAACTTATCCTCGATATCAATAGCACGACGCAGAGCAGCAAAGGCCTGATCGTAGTTCGCGCACCGATACTCAATCTCACCTTCTAACATGGCCGCAGCCACCTGGAGCACATCGACAATCTTCCCGTTGTAAGCGAGACGGGTCTCTGGAACCCGCTTCCATGCCTCATGGAACCGTTCTTGCTCCTTACGAGCTGTGGGGACATCCCCGGTAGCGGCGAAGGCGACTCCTCGCGCGTAATGCGTCATGGCTGTGGTGCCGGAGTAGAGGGTCTGATCAGTGGGCAGCTCTTTGTGTTTAAGCTCCTCCCACATGCCAAAGCGCACCATTACATGCAGCCGACTGGTCAGGAATTGCTCAAGCCAGTCAGCCATTGGTGGCGACTGGATCCGGAGGACTTCCTCGGGGACGGTGGCTTCCATGCGTGTCACTGCGTCAAGAGCCATTTGAGATTTTCCGGCGAACATGGCTGCGTAGATCAAGGAGTGGTAGTCGTGCATACGGTAGAAGGTGTAGAAGTTGGCAGCACCTGCTTTGCGGAAGTACTTGTCGTCCGCAAGGGTCGAGTTATAGTTAGAAGCAATGGAACGCCTCCAGTCTCCAATGAGGATGTCCAGATGGGTAGGCATGTGGTGGATATGACCGGCATCTGGGACAAGGTTGCGAAGGTTATCGGCTGCGTTTATGCCCAGTTCCGGAGTAGGTGACATCTCGATATAATGGATGTAAAGATGAAGCAGGCCGGGGTGAAGATTCGCATTCTCATAAGTGAGCGCTCGGTCCAAAACGGCATTGACTTCCATCGTGGGCGCATTAGCATTCGGCTTTCCAGTGAAAAGATCCCACAGAGCCCACGGAGTCATGTTCATCAACGCATCCGCATACAGCGTGGCGACGTCGATATCATCTCCGAAAGCGTCGTAAACTAGCTTCATGGCGGCGGCGTAGCTCTTATTGATGGTCGGGTAATCGTTAGGCGGGGTGTCGGCGACGAAACGAGATTGAATCGCATCGATGAGAGCCTTTTCGAGAGGTGTAGCATTCCCCATATGTTCCTTGGCCTTTTGTGCGGCATAGAATCCTTTTTTTACACAGGCTTCCAAGTCTCTCTTATCGAACCTCTCCCAGGGTTTGTTGTAGTTTGGACCTACAGCATAGGCGAGCCCCCAGTATGCCATTGCACATGTCGGATCATTTGCAATTGCCTGTTCAAAGCAGTAGGCCCCTTCTACGTGATTGAAGGCGTAAACCCATGTTAGACCCCGGTTGAACCAGGTCTGGGTGTCGGGGCTGGTGGTGCTGATAATGTGCCCATAGGAGCCGAGGTCGTAGTATTCCTCGCTTGCTGGGATGGCTTGGACTGCTTCTGTAGTCATATTGCAATGCCTTCCAGGATCATTAAAAGGGGGACGGAAAAGGGAATTGTCTGCTAGAGAAGACGTCAGGATAGATGGGCGGATGGATCGGTCATTTTAGATCTAAATACGAAGAGTACAGCGTTTGTCAAAGGAGGGGGCAAGTGGGTCCCCGGAAAGGCCGAGAGTGGCGCAATCAGTGCGATGCTTGACTAATACCCGTTTCATTCGCCGAACTTCAGACACCGAAACATTTAACTCTCCTTTCTCCCCAAATCTCAGTGATGCCTAGGTTGTTCTTTCTCGTGCCCTGAATGTACATTTAAGAAAGAAAACCGCCTGCTCAATATAGAGAAAAAGAATAGAGGAGAGGATAATGCCTTCCACTTCTCGACCGGTGAAGGTAGCATGTCTGGCCTGGTAATTTGACCGAGTGATGAGTCCACGGGGATTGATACAAGGGACCGAATTCTAACATGAACAGTCGAGCCTCCAAAATTCGATGTGACGGACAATATCCGTGCGCTAATGTGAGTCAACTTTATTTATAAATCATTAATCTATCTCCGGTAACCTTGCTTAGTGCACTATCCATCGACAAGAATGCCAGTATCAACCCAGTCGGCGAGGGGGTGCTCGACGGGGCCCTATTGCAGCCGAGGAGCGGGCCATGAAAAAGGCCCAACGACTGCAAACTGCAACCGGGGTCTACAATCATGCCATGACAAATGATGACTTTACTCCGGCTCAGATATTGCAGATCAATGCAGCCACCCCGGATTCTCTTCCATCTCCGTCTCCGAATGAAACCGGATCCCGACTATCCAATACGCTGCAGAGAAAAGACAGCCCGGGATTTCCGTTATCGCCTAGAGGCCCTAGAACCGGTCAGGAGCTTCGGGAGACTGTGCGCCATCCGACGCGAAGCCTCCGTGCTTATCGGTGTGATCAGGATCTGTATGTCGTGCCCATGCAATATCCCACCCGACCTTAACTGACAAACCCTTCTCCGATCGTACCCTAGGATCAATGCTTACTACATCTTCATACATCCATATCTCCCTCTACTGCCCCCACCGGCTGTGTCCCAGTATGTGGACAAGCCTGTGGCCCTGAGCATGCGGTCGGCCATTGTAGATGCATCTCATCTGCCTTACTGGCCGACTACCTCACTGGGTTTGGCCGTGGCAGCGATACTGGCACTGATACCCCTACCGGGAGATGCGCACGCAATGGAGAATGAAGCTGTTTCCTTGAGACGCTCTTATGCCGATTATTTTGCACGCTCAGCGCTAGATGTATCGGAAGAATCTCTCCAGCCGTCTTCCAATTTCGATCTTACGCAGGGCCCATGCAGCCCCTTGCATCCGGAGATTCCTCAGCAAATGGAACCGGTCCTGGCACTAGCGCTTCTCAGCCTATACGAATGCTGTCAGCGAGGAAATGTTTCCAAGATGCGCATCCGAGCCAATCAGGCGTTAACCATGGCTATGGATCTTTCGCTACATACGCAAAAGTCTGCGAATAACTGTTCCGACGCGATCCGCCGCTGTTGGTGGTCGACGGTACGTCACATGTGTTCTCTCATCGTTTGCCCATGAGTTTATGTTAACTTTCACAGATGTTCCTCGTTTATCAGTCTTCTATATTGACAGCTTCGGTCAGTTTCGCAACGTTCAGATCGCGTAGGCGTGACCTCGCTAACTCGGCAATGTATGCGCCCCTAATTACGAGCGATGACTTCCGTATTACCACGCCTTATATAGTAATTCGTGGCTGTCGAGAGGTGCGCAACTCCCTTCCTCCTGACGTCTATGTCTTCTAACAAGCATCAGCCATGGCCCTACATCGTACAAGCACAATCCCTCCTTCACCGCAGCTGCACCATCACCCACCAGCTCTCCAACGAAACCACCCACGATCAAGGGTGTCTTCCCTGTTCTTTCCACGACGAAATCCAACACCTCGACTCTTCTCTCCTCGACATAGCCATCGAAACAGACCGCTACCGCTGCATAGCCAACTGCCAGGGCACCGAAGCCGACGCGGAGCGCGTGCTCTGGGCAATGTCACGCATCCTTATCCATACCGCTAGATTGCTCCTCTATAGAGTTCGCGCCTTCCCTGACCGTCCTGCTGATAGCTTCACGACTACTACCAACAGCAACACTAGCAGAAATAGAACACCCCTCTCTCCGTCCAGAAGAGCTGAAATCGATGCTATATTTCAGTTTGATGAGCAAGAATCCACGCGTGTCTGCATTCGCTCGGCGCTGTTGATCTCTCGCGTATTCCGTCACCTGCCTACACCGAATCCGATGTACTCTGATACTCCTGCCGATGGAGAGACCTTTGGATTTGGACTCGGACTCGGACAGATTAGTGGAGACTCGGGGCGATCGCTGACTTCACCACGCTCTCTACCATACATGGCCTGGTGTGGGATGCAGAGCTTCTATGTACTTGCCATGGTGTTGTGGCGCGTGCGGGCGGCCTTGTCCGCGGGTAATCTGAACAGTATCTATAATCTGCTAGATCGGCCGACTGAGCGGACAGCGATACAAGATGCTGAAAGGCTCGAGGAGGAGTTACACATGGGGATTGAGTCGCTGAGAGTGTCAATGAAAGCGGACGGGGTATATGAGGGTGTCGGGAGGATGTTTAGGGAGTTGGAAAAGATGTATGATGCTACCATGATGGGGTGATCATAATATCGGAGAGCAAATTTGATTTCAAGCCTTGAAAAAGTCCAGTTACAGCATAAAGCAGACTAGACCTGGAACGGTTAAACTTTGGGGTCAACCTGAACCAGGGCATATCTCGGTTTCTTGTGCGGGGTACAACAATGCGTGACCAATCGGCGTTTGACGGAGTGAGCTGTCGTATTTCGGCGGGAACGGTACCCCACCTCGGCGTCTGAACTCAACCATTCGGAGTATAGTCGGGTTGGGCGCTATTTCATGTTGACGCAGATTATATCGACGTTTGTTGACCAGCTATCGACTTTAATTAGACTAGACCAAACGGCGCATTTGCTATCAAGTATTAGGCGTCGTTGTAGGAGGATGCGCGAGCTACGATGACTGAAAGCACCCGAACAAGTCTCTAGAAATTCTATACAAGAGACATAGTTCTTACTGATAGGTCTATAACACTTATCTGTCACAAGTTCAAACCTGGAATGTTGAATGATGATACCCTGGACCCGAATTGGAAGCTGGTATTCTGACTAGTAATAAATGTTACCTGATTTGCAGCCAATTGGATGATTTTATTCAATTATAGAGGACGTTCGACATAGTATTAATAGTTATAGCCTAAGCCAAGTTAGTGGTGATTCTAACGTGAACCTCTACCTGCTGTCCATTTTATATATTAATCCGGCTATATGGCCATCGATCCACGTATAAATACTTGTTACTGTGATTTCAGGTTTCTCTATTATCAGAATACCGTTGTCGGTAGTCGACAGCAATTCCTTTTAGAATAATGGCTTTTTCAATATATTTGAGCGTGGTATTGCCTCTGCATACACAATTTCACCCACCAGAACTCGTACAAAATATTGATGAACGATTGAATACAATTAAATGAATAGATAGAGATATTATTCTATATAAAAGCACCATACTTACGTTACTACTGAGTAGCAGATAGAGTACAGAAACATAATGTTGAAAATGATAATGTAAGTGGGATTAAATCCAAGTAACGGCCATACGCCAAGCTAAACTTCTAATCATTCATTGGCCATTTCCGCAAAGTATCCTCCCACCATCCGTCCCCATTGCTATAGGAATAATATGAGAAACATAGCTACGCGAACTCAAGAAACGGAGCAGCGCCATCCCTTTCTTTTTTAAGGTTGCAGTCATTCCATCCCGGGCCGTAGTGACACGATGTAATGGACATCGCCGCACGCTTCCCTTCATAGTACGCACCATGCAGAAAGCCCGACAAATTTGGGCTTGTAGCCTCTCCAGCAAAGAAAACCCGCCCAACATTCGCTCGGAGATTCCGATGGTTCTGGGAAGATACCGCGGGTGGCCAGTTCGAGTACGAGCCGTACGACCTGAACAATCAGTTGGCTTCAGAATATCCAAGCAAGTAACTAGGGGAGAATCCTACCAAGGTTCTTGCGTCCACCTCGCATAGTAAATGTCTATCGGTTCCGGGATGGTCTTATCCCCAAAGATCTTGCGCAACACTTCCATAATCTCAAATTGTGTCTTGGCCTCGCTTTGCCGCTCAACCCGATACGCCTGATCGTTGACAACGGTAACGACGAGGATATTCGATCCCTCCAGCACCCCGGGAACATCCAATGGCTGAAACAGCGGATAGTAGCCTCTAGTATTCGGATCGGCGTAGTACAGATACTGGTTCTTGGGCCAGAAGGAACGCGGAAATTGCATGAATATTTTGGTGTACGTGACCATTTCGAAGCTCGCAATGGCATCTTTCTTCCACCTTGGTAACTCGGGTGTGAACTTCACAGCTTCAGGGTGTTGCAGTACACCCAAGGAAAATGTTATAATAGCGTGCTTGGCCCGCACACATTTTCCGTCCGTGCTATGTACTGTCACGAAGTCATCGTCGTGCTCAATCTCCTTGACGATGGTGTTTTTCCGAAGGCGCCAAGCATTCTTCCCTTCGAAGAGTGGATCTGCTACATTCCTGAGGATGATGGAGAACCCACGCTGATCGAAGCTGAACTCCTCTCGGTGAGAGAAGAACTTGGCCGTCGCATTCGTGGTTACTGCGGTATAGATCTCGGAAGTTTCTTCCGCCTTGGCTGCTGTGACCGAGTCAAATGCCAGATAGTCGGCCAGTTGCTCGTATTGATTTGTCTCTTTCGGGTTCCATCCCTGCCGGCGAAGGGCCGCGCGGTATGTACGGTCTTCGAGGTGGTGGTGAAGTCGGATGCCAGCGTCGGCGAGGACCTTGGTGTCGGCGCCGCTGACAGCTTCCAATGCGTTGAACAGGAGCTCGGGTGGTATTTGTCCCGTCTGGTCGTATACCGTGGCATTCTCAAAATCACTGGTTCTGGTGTGAGTTAGTCGGATATGTAGTATTCAGTATGGTGAAGGAGGACATACAGTGTGCGGAGGTTGGCTTTAAGAGCCTATCTTGGCTGTCAGTCATACTCTTTGCTAGAATAATGCGTGCCCGTGGATCCTACCAAGTCCCAGATGGGATTCACATGTGTTTCAGGTCCACCAGTTCCGTGTACCTGGCACCCATGTCAGTTTCACACCTCTCAATAAGGGATTGGAGAATAGCAGCACACCCAGTTAGCGCCAGCCTCCACTACATATTGTTGCCCTTTGCCAAAGGTAACCTCGTGCATCCGCCCACCGATTCGGTCCTGATACTCTAGTACGATAAAATCTTCGACACCATTGTTGTGCAGTGTTTCCTGCAACCATCAGCATGGCCACACAAGAATCGCAACACGAGCATACTGCAGCAGTCACGCCCGCCACACCGGCACCTCTTCAGAACGTCAGCACGAAAAGTAGAAACCTTCAGTTCTCGATCGATAGACAGCCTTACAAAATGGCCACCTCAGTTTCCGTACAAGTTCTAGCAATTCCCAATACAGCGAAGGCAGTGAGGGTTGCTGCCGTACTGGCGAATCTCATGGTTCCCTATTGCTTTGGTCGGACTCGGTGGCTGCCACCACCAGAGGGAGTATACCACATTTTATACAGTGATTGGACTTTGACTTTCATTCTTTTATCTTCTACGGAACCCTTCTGTGCAACACTCATAATAAATATTTTTATATGACTGGGCAAAGCCCCGCAGAACCTTGCATATTCTGGGGTTTTGTTGAGTGTCTGGCATTCATGCGAAAGGGATGTAGGGCCAGGAATCACACGCGTCGCGTCTGCATGGTTGCCATTTCTATATTTATATGGCAATTAAATAGACCCCTGAACTTTCACGAGTATTTACTGTACGATGATTGGGTCTGTGTTTGCACTCTCAGTGGTGAACAACTGAAATATGCTACAGGTCTTTCAAGGAGGACGACTGCGTACAAAGTGCACATGAAAAGTCCCTTTGTAGGGTCTTTATCCGCCTCGGTACATTTACTTCCTGATACAGAAGGCGGTCTGCACTTTTTCTAATGAATTCGCTCATCAAAACGGACTAAAGACAGAAAAAGAAAGCGAAGAGATAAATTCGATAGTCGAGAAGAAAAGAACACTTCATATTTGAAGTATCAGTTCACTTGTCCTCCAGCTCCTTGTTGTACTGCTAATCCTTCAAATCCTTCCAATCCTCCGGGCCTCGGGTTCGGCGACTTCTGAGTCTCGTCACTTCGCGGGAATTTTGCTCGTAGTATTTGTAATCATGCCATCACCTCCACACCAGGTTTCGAAACTTTCGAATCTTCTTTCCTTCCTTCTTTAAATGCACCTATCTTCTTAGATTATTTTAGATCCTGGAATTAGATCCGATCAGTTATTATCTTATCAAAGTCAACATGGCGTCGTCATCTGTCTCCCTTAAGGCCTCGGCCTTTTCATTCGTCGTTCTGGCGGTCGGACACACGGTATGTCAAGCTCTAGCTCCTAGGAAACTAGTTACCCATGGCGTCATCGACCCCTACATCTGCATGAGCTCCAATGGCCACAATAACGAGTCTACAAAGCTCCTACTATTTAATCAACAGACACTTCTCTACTCACATTATACTTCAATTTAGTGATGTGCTAACAGTCAATGATCAGCTCGGAGGAACTCAATGGACCGCCGAACCAGCCTATCGCACCATCGCTGGCACCAAGCCCTGGGCTCTCGGCATTGTCGGCTGGTTCCAGGTACTTCATCCACCATCCTTCATAGCAAATCGTAAGAGAACTATAGATACTAACAATACATCTAGGGAAGCGCCTTTCTCTTCACGACTGGTAAGGGTTCTTCATTTCACATTCAGACCAGAATTCAATTAATAATCCTTACAGGCATCCTCCATTACCAATGGGCCCGCAACCCCCGAGCCCTCCAGGAACCTACTAACAAGGCCATCGCTATCATTCTCAATGCGGCGTTGTGGGCTAGCTCGGCATGGTATTTCAAGCATGGTATCGAGGAGAATGGATGGGCTGTCGGTGCTGCGGCTGCGTGGCAGGCTTGGTCGGTTGTGAGGGCTTGGTTGAAGTATTAAATTTTGGGGTAGATGATATATATTATAGAGGGGTAGAGTAGTAGGTTTAATGAAGAATATTACTCGCATTTAGCATCGTTAGACATTCAAAGCGCATTATCTCATCATCAATCACCCACTACCACCCTCTCCCCGACTCTCGGCCCTCGACACATTATCCTCCCCATGCCCTGCAAGCACCCTCCGGATCATATCCTCTCTTTCCTCTAGAGTCTGTAAGTATTGTAATCGCTCTCTACTCCTCGCCACTCTAGCCAATTCCTCCTGCAGCTCTGACGAACTCATCCTTTCATACGCTACTACTGACGCTGTCGACTCCCCGTCTCGAACGCCATCAGAAGATAACTCAGCCCGCGCTTCACCCAAAGTAGCCGAGGCTGATGATGCGACCCCACCACCCACAGCACCCTGCTTAGCATTCAGTCCATCTACCCCAACAGCTGCAGATACATCCCGTGGATCATCCCGCCTCGGCCGTCGAACCGACCCAGTACTCAACTCGAATACAGGCCGATCGGCCGAATTATGTACAGGCCGACTATCAGATTCGTTGAGTGGTGCGCCGTCGATCTCGGGGAGTACAGTCATAATGTTCTGGGCCATACTTGGACCCTTGCCTTCCGCATGCTGTACCGTTGTGGCCTGTCCGCTTTCCTCATTGTTACTGGTATCACCGGCCAGTTGCTTCCTCTTCCTACGCCTTTGGAACCAAGCAAATATCAAAAGCGCGATGATAGCAACGCCAATGGGCACCGCAACCCCAATCCCGGCCTTAGCGCCCGTAGACAAACCTCCCGTGTTATTGTCATTATAGGTAGATGTTTGTGTCGCTACTGATGTCATACGCATTGTTGAGACGAGGCGGGTTTCTGTTATTGTGACGACGTTGGGTTGTTCGGAAGTAGTTGTAGGTGTGTCGTCATCTGATGTCGTAGAGTCGGTTGCGGTACTGAAAATTGTTTGTATTGTTGTTCCGACCCCAGACTCAGGGGACACGGTAATGACTTCGGTGACTATTGGTGATGAAGCCTCGGTTGAAGATGTTGATTGTGTGGAAGCGTAGATTGTTGTTACGATGGAGTAGATGGTTTGCGCCTCGTTGATGAACTCGGCTCGGCGGTCAAGGTTAACGTTTGCGGTCATGTAGTCTGGGAGGGTTGGATGGATGCTGAAGAGGTCGCAGAGGGAGAGGAGGGAGTTTGGTGTTACTGTTTACTGTGGGTTAGGGCGTTGGTTGGTTGGGAGGCAGGGAGGGTATACTGACGTCGCTGGTCGGGATTGATGGGACATTGGTGGAAACATGATTGGAAATGTGTAGTTGCTGCTATTGTAGATAAATTGGCGCACAAGCATGTGTAGTCGGTATGTGAGCAAATGGAGAGAATTGGGGGATAGAGGCAGTTTAACTAGGATGATGAGATTAGTGGAAGGTAGGGGATGCGGATCGGGATCAGTACTGAGCAGCGGGGGACATCGCGGAGCTTGTGAGCGACGAGGTGGCTTCTAGAGTTAGCGTCTTCAGACAGTGAATATTGTGTGTTGACTGAGAAGAGTCGCCGTATAGCTTCTTGCAGGTTCATGGTGGCTTGCTAAGGATGCGCCCTGCATGCTGTAACCGGTGGGTAAACGAAGCCTGTGGCGTCGGGGTTCGGAAAGAAGTTGGGGAAATACGGGGGACCACCACATTATCTATGGAGACTGGCTGGGGAAATGTTTTGGATCGCCCTGGCACCGTGCAGGGGGACCAGCGGCCAGTGCTCAGATAGATCATCGTGTCTAGTGAATTGGTATCTTAAGGTAGGTACCTTACTTCCCACCCAACCTCATTCCCAAATATTATATTATCGTTTGTTGAATTGTGCTTCATTGATATAGCTATAACCGTGATTATAAGCGGATCCATCACCGAATTCACAAGAATCAATGTTCAAACAGCTCGCAAAGAACCGTGGGATTCCCGGGTGTGGAATGTTTTGGTCTCAGAATCGCCGGCATGGAGTAGCCACGAGCACGCCAGCTGCACGCCGCCGGGAAACTTCAGGATAGTCTACCATCCAATAGGCAGACGGCAGCAGCTAAATGCAGCTGGTGACCAGGGTTGTAGGACTGTAGGACTTGGAATTAAGCTCATTGGTGCGCCGAGAGCCAAAGCTCGGCGCTAGCCGAAGCCAGCTCATGGCGGTTCCTTATCTATCCGTGGATCTCTCAGTTGGGAGCCGATCAGCGTTTTTCAGTAAGGAGTATGTCAGTCCCTACATAGACTAAATTACCTTAGTCATAAATCTATGACTTGAAGCTTTTGGTATTTTCAGTGTATACAATATCTTAAGGGCCAGATAAATCATATTCTGGCAAAATCATGATGCTGTCCTTCCGTCCGGACCTTCCGCGGACTCTCCGAACAACAAATCTCCGTCTCACCCTAATAGCTATAAAACCCCCAGAATCCCATGATTTTTACTACGGAAACAAAAAGTTTATATCGCTCGATCACATTAACAATGTCCTCATCTGCCGTCCTGATAATCGGCTGCGGCATCGCCGGCCCTGTCCTCGCCATACTACTAAAGCGCAAAGGCTACAACCCTATCGTCTTCGAAAAGGTTCAAGCTCTCGGCGATGCCGGTGCATCATTGATGATACAGCCAAACGGGTAAATATTCTTTAGATCTTACCACCCCAATCCGAACAACATCTCATCCACTAACAATATATTCACAGGATGAAAATTCTCAATCTAATCACCCCCAATGAACCCCTCCCAATCATAACCCCCCTCCAAGCCCTCTGGCATGGCACAGCCAGTGGCAAAACCCTCGGCCACTCCACCCTCCCGTCAACATACACGAACCGCTACACCCAGCCCGCCAGCGGAATAAAGCGCAGCGTACTCAATCTTCATCTGAAGGCCACTCTCCAGAAACACGGTGTTCCACTGTACGAAGGATACCAGCTCGAGAACATCCACGAGAACGCGCACCAAGTAACTGCATACTTCACTAACGGAGAATCAATGACAGGCTCATTCCTCATCGGCTGCGACGGGATCAAATCTTCCACAAGAAAACTCCTCCTTTCCCAGAAAGCAGGAATAGTTGAAGGCCCACCTACATTCACTGGCTTGATCCAGGTAGCGGGGATTTCTAAACTACCTCATTCTTTGACTGAGAAAGATACATCCCTCAGTAATTGGTATGGCGAGGGCGTGCACGTTGTCGCATACCCTATCTCTGCTGAGGATATTTCCTGGGCGGTTACCATCCCAGATACAGAGGGTGAGGATAGTACGTGGCGGGCTGCTACTGCTGGAACCGAGCTGGAATCCTTACGAGGGAAGCTGAGAGAGAAGTTATCTGGCTTTGAAGACTGCGTTATGGAAATGGTAAACACCGCGGAGAGGATCATCTCGTATGGTCTGTTTGACCGACGGGAAGTCCCTGCCGAACAGTGGTTTTCTGATCGCGTAGTATTGGTCGGTGATGCGGCGCATCCGACGAGTCCGCATTTGGGACAGGGGGCGAATCAGGCTTTGTGAGTTCAACTCTTCCACCCGAAGGGTGATGATTGTGGTAGATGCTAATGCCAGCTTGCGTAGGGAGGACTGCTATCATCTTAGTCGCATGCTTCCGGATTTGAGTGTGGAAGGGTCGGAGTGGGATGGGTTTGAACAGTGTCTATCGGGAATCTTCGAGGAGTTTGCGCGGTTGGGGCAGCCACGGACCTCGATGTTGGTAAGAGAGGCTCGCCGGCTTGGGGAGCAGCGTGTTGTCGTGGGAGGGCCGGATCGGTGTCGCGAGCGCGATGCAAGTATTGCGGATGCTTGGAAGGATGAGGAGGCTGTGGCAAGGGGTTTGGATGGGTTGTTTATAGAGCCGTTCTGAGGGTGGTTGCCTACTAACACTGGGAGAAATTTCTCGAGTATAGTATGATTTTGAATGTGTACATAATGTTCAGTGAATGATTCTGTTCACTACGGATCGTTTATCACAGCGTAATCTGCTTCATCTCAAATCTACAAAACAGTCTGATACACCCTCTCATCCACATCAGACGATTCTCCGTTCCACTCATTCAACCACACCCCCACAAACCTCACTACTTCCTTGTGCACATTGACAATCTCCTTAGGCGCCTTCTCGCCATCCTTCTCCTGCTCTGCTGACAACCCATTCTGGTCCCAGTGATGGACCGCACCTCTCACACCGTCCCAGACATCCGCTGCTGGAATATCCAACAAAATAATAGGCTCGCTATCAGTTGACTTCCGACTCTGCCAGTCAACTCCATCCGCTAGTGGTGTCGCGTCGCGCCACGGATCTGCCAACCCACCGATTATCGCGACGCGTGGGTACGAAAAGTTGAACCCGCCGAACTTGTTGATTCGCTGAACATCTGGCGGTGTCTTAATACCAAATGTGTTCGGACAGACGGACGAAAGATAGGGGAGGTCGAGGAGACGAGAGATAAGGGGCTTGATATCTGAAGGCACCGAGGAGCCCGTCGTGAAATATCCCCACTCGACGCAGACTTGGTAGTTCCAGCTCGTGCCGGAGTCCTTAGTGAGGGGCTGTGGAACAGTCCAAGTTGTGACGTTGGATGATGAAGACTCCGAGGATGAGTCGGTGAAGACTTTCGAGGTACTTAGGAATCCGATCCAGTTGAGGAAGTTGTTGACCAGAGTTGTGTTAGAAGGATCGTATCCTGCCGTTTGGACCAATTGCTTGACTGATGCGGAGATGGGCTCTGCGGTTGAAGGGTACAGCAGATCCGAATCGGTGATATTGTTGCAGAAAGCACGGAAAAGAGGAGTTCCGATGGACTTGTCCCAGTTGCGCGACTGAAACGAGTCCAGACCGTACGAGAGGGAGGAGACAAAGTCTTGATTACTGAGATTTGTCGCGGAGCCTCCAAAGGCGGATTTCAGTTGCTGCGCCAGAGTTTTATTGTCGGCGTGATCGATGAGAATGCGATCTACAATATCGATTGACGTCTGCAGGGTGGAGATACACTGCGATGGGCCGTATAGTCGGATGGGCTCGTAGTATTCCCAATAGTCGATGATGGCCTCCGTGACGCCAGACGAGGACACCGCCCCCCAGTAGAGATCCGGGTAGAGCTTGCGGAGGAAAGCGACAAAGGCACCAGCGTAGGAGCCGCCATAGGCGATCCATGGCGTGGTGGCTGCCGTGAGATCGAGATGCTCCAGACCGGGGAAGACAATATTCGAGGCAAAGTAAGCGTAGTCGGCGAGCGCCTGCTCGGTTGTCAAGAATCTAATGTTCTGGGTAGTGAGGTTGGTGAATGGGTAACTCTCGCCGTAGTAGCGATGTTCGAGGATAAGGCCAACTCCATTGTAGGCTGCAGCCAACTGAGTAACCACTCCTTGTGAAAGGAAGGGAATACGGTCGCTTCCATCGGTTTCGCCTGCAGCAATCACGAAAACAGGGCCTCCCGGCTGGTAATGGCTGGTGTCAAGCCAATAGCGCAGGCCGAAGGTGGCATTGGTGTGCGGCTCATAGCGCGATTCGTTGTGAAAGTGGTCTATGGGTACGGAGAGGTTGTACACCGGGAAGCTCGCTGATTCTTGGTTGAAAGTGTCTTGGTGAGGCTTGCTGAGCTGGCTGAGTTGGCGCAGATGTGGCACCCGCAACTCCAGGGGGCTGGAGTCTAGGGCAACCGTCGAGGCAATCAGGGTCCCCAGAAGGGGAAGTGAAAGGAACATGATGGCCGTGCGATGGAAGAATTTGGGGTTCTCCAGAGTTTAATAACTCCCAGACCCTTATGCGGGGTTTCTTTGCGAGGAGAGCTTTATCTAATCGGTGGAACTGCCGATTGCCAATCAGTCCAGGCAGCCTGAAAGGCGTGATGAGGTTGGGACGGCGATCGGCGCGTTATCCGTCGGTCTCCCGGCGTGGCTGGTATCTGCACTCCCCAATAATTGACGATTATTCTCCGCTCTCCTGCATTCTGCTCACCTCCTCATTCTACTCGCCATCCGGACCTCGCCAGTCACCTGGTGTCGCTCAGAACGAATGACCGCCGAGCCATTGGCTCCGACAAACCCACGATGGTGTAACATATGCGGGTGTTCCCTGCGCCGTTGCATTTGCTTAGTAGAATCACCTCTTGATCACCCAATTGATCGTGACATGACTGTCTAAGATGGCATCAACATTGTGTGGTGATCTCTTGGTCAATATCATTTCCTGAAATCAACCAAAGACGAATTCGCCAAAGGCAGGGATCGAACCTAGGATACTGTTTTTCATCACGTGACTCAGCGGGCAGACCCGGAGTCTGGGTTAGTCAACTATTCTTAGTGTTGCTTCAACCCCTGTTTGTGTGGGGGCGCTTTCTGCAGCTTCACCACCCACCAATGCAGAAACCCGCTCCTATGCCGACCTAGGTCGTCGAACTTATTTTTCACGGAAGCCGGCCTTTCATATTGTAGTAGAACGATGCTCTCAAAATGCAGCGACCTCGATCAATATGTACATCATGAGCAGGACAACAGTTCTAGCATCATATCTCACCCAAGCTACAGTTAGGGCTGACAGGAGTCATCGAAAAGCATCAAGTATCGCCCAATGACACCGGGTGCTACTGATGACATGTTGGCAACTCTACAGTATGCGAATGATACGAACTCCTAAACGACCAAAACTTCCAGCTAACACCATGCTAGGGAACTTCGGTACAGCCAGGAATGCTAACTTGGGGCCGCCCCCAACTCTCACCGTCGCACGCGGGCTTCCATTTGCTCTACCACAACATGACTACGACCGTGCCTTCAACGCAGCCACCCTCCTCTCACATCATATTGGAGGGGAGTGGACATATCCAATGCTACGCATCACTTCGCCTCCACTCATGGAGGCAGGCTGTGTACATCATGCCCCCTTTCGCCCCAACGATATGGCCTTATGCAGGAACCAGATCACCCCCCTAAATCAACCCTCCTTCGTCCTGCGTTTGAAGTTTCTCAAATCATTTTGTTTCTATCGGGGTCAGTCTCTCACTATTCCTCCACCTCTCAACCAGTTCACTGTCTCGCCGTGGGCAACAACATCATGGCATCACGCTCCTTTTCCTCCCAGTCCCTCCTGACCGGCTTCCTCTTGACGCTCATCTCCTCCCGGTTCGCCTCTGCCGACCTCACTCTCGCTTCCAATCCCCAAACTACATCCGCTCCCGTCGAAACCGTCTCCCTCATCGATGCCAGCGGCATCCCCATCACCACTGCCAACGACCCCGCCGACAATGCCTGGGTCATCCCCTTAACCGGACCAGCCAGCGCTCCCACCGGCGCTGCCTGGGGCGCGCAAATCCAATACAACAAGAACCTGGCTGGAGTCCTCCCCGTCGCATTCGGTACTCCCACCACCACCGCCAAACCAACCGCAACAGCGACAGGAAAGGCGTCATCAACAACAACAACAGCAACGTTCGTGTCCGCCGGCTCACCTGGCCAAAAGACCGAAACTCTCGACCTCGAAATTGCGTTCAGCAACACATTTCTCCTATCTCAAGACACAAGTCTAAACATCACCTCCACCACAAACAAAACCAACTCAACAACCATCCCCTCCCTCCCCGTCGGCCTCAACCTCGGCCTCCAAAACAAATGGAACGGCTCCGTCGTACTGGGGGGCAACTACGACTCCAACCGCATCTACGACGAACCCCACTGGCAAACAACCCCCGAAACCAGTGCTGGCAATACCAGCTTTATTGACACCGGCATGCTAGACATCAGCGCTGTCATACTCCAACTCTACACCACCCCCAACGCTACAACCAGCAGCGAAGACGCAGAATACCCTTTCGGTGGTACCAGCGTGCAGGAGACGAGTAAATCGCTCCCCGCCATGCTGGACTTTAATTCTGAGGTCTTGTCCGTGCCGGATGAATCCTGGTGCGCACGGAATATCTCGATCGTGTTTAATCCGGACAGCGAATCGTATCCGATATTTAATATCCCGGTATGGGACGAGCTGGTTCCCAAGGAGAGGTGTCAGGTGAACAGTGGGAAGGTCGTGCTTGGAAGGCCGTTCTTCCAGGCTGCGTACGTTTATGTGAACTCGGCGGGTGATGTGTATTTCAGTTCGATTACTACGGATGATGTGGATGTTGCGACGAAGCCGTTTGATTTGCATGTGCAGCTTTCGGAGGCCGTCAATGGCACTGAGAGTTATGGGGGAGAGAATGGAACGGCGACGGGTTCGGGGAGTGATGCGACGGGGACGTCGGGCGCGGGAAGGTTGGGTGTTGAGGGTCTTTGGGGGATGGTTGTGGGGATGGGGTTTTTGTTTATCTTGTGATGTTGATGGTTCGTTGATATCTTTGTACGATTTTGTGCAGGTGTGTGTTATGATTTTGTAAGATAGTTTCACTTCTTTGGTCTGTTGTTTGACAGGCTGGTTCTACTTGATTGGGTGGGTTGGAGATCTATACCCGTTGATGGCAGCTCGGAGCTATGCTTATTTGTAACGTGAATTGGATTTATGTCATTATCAATCTTTCAAGTAGCCAGCCGGAGTTGGGATAAATTGTTTAGATCAGATTTGAGTAGAGACAAGAGCTGTATCGGCAAGGTAGAACCCCCACGATGATTACACAGGTAGAACACCATCTATCTGATTGCTACATTTACTTTCATTATTTACTCATAAGCGCATAGCTACGTCTGATAACACGGTGACAAACTGCCTTTGATAATCTAACGCTCGAATATGAATCGTAGACAAACACCAGAGACAAACAGATAAAACCACAACACCAGACCACATCGCACCACAACACATCATCACCCAAACCCTTGACTACTAAACACCTACCCTACAGTGGCTGAGCCGCACAGCCATGGTCATCAATGCCTTGGCCATCTGGCTAGCTGAACAGCTCAGACCTGTCAATCTTCGCTTCTTCCACAATTATTCTTATCCGCCGACCCACCACACTAGATCCATCTCACGCACGAAGGATCGTCGCCAATTCCCACGCGTCCAGTCCGTAGACGACCCAACCAATCAGCACCTCCATCTCGACTGCCCTAAAGGCTACCATGTGGATCGGAATAAAACAGACAAGGAACAATCATCATTGTATGGAGCAATCGGATAATGCCCGCCAGGTGCGAAGAGCCTTACCTGCTAGATAGTCCAGTCCAGCTGGGATGCATGAGGCTGAAGACCCTGTCAGCATGAATTATTAATAAGGTATAGGGCGCTCACGCGACGGGCAAATATTTCTTTCTGATCGTTTCGAGAAGTGTAAAGCTGGTTGAGCGCCATTACTTTCTTCAGACTACTGGTCATGGGTTTCGGGCGATTAGGCAGGCATGCCGCTGTCTTTGCGGGGTTAATGCTAGGTGTTTCTGCTATTGATTTTAACATCAACAGCACCGGTATGCGACTTATTCGTTTCTGTATTTACAAGAAGGGTCATTAACACAATCAACAGACACCATCAAATCGGCTTCCACCGTTGAAGTCACCAACCTCCTCAGCACCGCCAACTTCAACGGCACCGTCAACCCCATCTATACCACCTCCTTCCCAGAAGGCATGCTCTACATGTCCCTAATCCCCTACTGGAACGCGACCGGCAACACAACATACAATGAGTTCATCATCTCGCGCATGCACAACCACTCCGAGAGCATCTTCAGCGGCGAATGGGAAGAAATCGACGTCCTGACTAGCGACTTCGTCACTTGGGGTCTTGCTGCCATGGCTGCGTCAGAGGCGGGCTTTCCGGGTAGTCCTACCAACTCGTCATGGCTGAACTGGGCGAAGAAAGTTGCGTACACGATGGAACTGGTAATCAGTCAGGGCTCGATATGCAATGGTGGATTGTATGATGATGAGAGCCAGACGCATGGGACTGAGTTCGATTGGTTCAGCAACGGGGCATATTTCCAGCTTATATCGAGGGTGGCATATGCGAGTGAGGGCGATGATCAAGGGACGTATGCGCAATATGGGGCGAGTGCGTGGTCATGGAGTGAGAAAAATGGCATGGTTAATACCACGGATTGGTCTGTGTATGATCTGGTCTCGAATACGACGGCGAATGCGTCAACTTGTCAGGCTGTGGATACGGCGAGGTGGAGTTTAGCGTATGGGTTATATTTGAGTGGTGCGGCGTATATGTATGAAGCGGTAAGCAACATTATCCCCATTTCCTTTTATTCCCTTTGGGTTAGAAAAAGGTCAGTGTGGAACCATACCTGACAGCAGCAGACCAAATCGGACATATGGATGACACGGACCGAAGGACTCCTCAACAGCACACTAGACACATTCTTCGTCGACGACATCATGGTAGAAGTGGGCTACAGCAGTGCCAGTCTAGGCACTGCCGAGCAGTCCAAGCTATCAGCTTACCCCTTCAAGGGATTCCTGGCACTGTGCCTTGCATCCGTGGCAAACCTAATCCCGGATTTCGCCGGTCGGATTGTGCCGCTCCTAGCAGACACAGCTGTGGCGGTAGCCGAGCAATGCGATGGAACAAGCAACCAGACAGTCTGTGGTTCCGACTGGGGGTCTACTTCGTATAACGGAGACCCTTCGTTCGAGAATACCTGGAATGCCGCCAATATCTTCGCCTCGAAGTTGCTTGCGCCGGACATTTCTAAATCGGGAAATACCTCGAATAGCGGCAATTCCACTACGATTGATAAGACCAACAAAGATAGAAGTGGCATTTCGAATGGCGCAATTGCTGGTGCCGTGGTTGGTGCAGTGGCAGGCGCGGCTTTGATTATCGCGGCAGTCTTGTTCGGTCTGCGGAGTATGAAGCAGAAGAGGATCCCCGTTCCTACAAAGGAGCCGGATGACATTGAGTATGCCAAGAAGGACCCCACGGAACTGGCGCAGGGATCTTACGTCCCGGAGATGGATAATGGAGTCGTGACGGAACTACCGGGGAAGGCTGATGCAAGTTTTCCTCATGAGGTGGATTCAGCGCCGGTGTCTGAGCTTCCAGTCAGAGCTAATACGATGCGTTATGAATTAGCGTGATAGCATTGTTTCGAGCGCTCATGGCTCTATAGCCCATAGTATTAATATAATTATCTTTCCCACAGCTGGCAAAGTCAGACGTGCTTTGTCTTGTGCTATAATTAGTACCCAGACGCCTAGGAATGCCCTGATAAAACCACACATATGTCCAAGATGCAGCCTTCCTACTTCTTTGTGTCCGATGAGATTCAATGGTAAAGTGTAGGACTCATGAAAAACAGAATAAAAATGAGGAAAAGGACAATGTGCAAAATAACGCTAACTTTCAGTCCCACTAGCAAACAAAGTATCAATTATATAAAAGATGAGAATTATATGCATAAGGGTCTCTCTTCTCTGACAAACCCCACCCACTGTACCATCTAATTATGCCCCATTTCTCTACTTTACCCAAAATGCTTCTCGGCGATAATACTCATATCACCTCACTATCATTCAAATATCAGCGCTGATCAACGAATCAAGTAACTCTAGGTGGTATAGAAGGCCAATGAGCAAAGGCAGAGAGGACATACTCCAGCTCCTCAAGGAAATTCGACATGGAATAATAGTGGCCCGAGTCCGCTGGGGGAAGCGTTTCGTAGCCAGTGAAGAAGGTTGACGGTAGCGGTTCGATTGTTTGCTGGCACTGATAGCTTCCATAAAGTCCAGCCTCTTCCAAGAAATAAGGATAGTTGTAGTTGTAGCTGTATTGCGATAATGTGTTTCCGTCACGAGCGTACTGGTATTGTTGTACCTCTTCTTCGAATCGAACGCGGCATTTTCTTCGCTTGTTCCAGTTTTCGCGCGAGCTAAGGATTATCTGCACCATCAAACGTCAGTATTCAGAGGTGAAGTGGTAGATGGTGTCTTTGACTCACACTAGGGACTGAATGGATGGTTATGCTCCAGAACCGGCCAAGTAGCGACTTTCCATCTGTAGAGTCGTTGGAAGTTGGAGCATCTTCTGAAAGTCCCCAAATGCTGGGCTTTCGCTTCAGGGAAGGCTTTCTAGGAGCTTGTGTCGGGGGTGCCTCACTCGGTGTTGGACTGGGGCTTCTGCTAGTCTTTAGTGGACCGTAGAGCCAGGTAATATCGCTGTCTTTGTCCCTACATTGAGTTAGGATGTTACGATTCAGAAACATATTGAAGGGGATGAACTTACCATGAGATAAACGCCGCTGGCATGCGAATAGTTTGCCTGGTAGAAGCCAGCCATGCCCTCCAAAGAGCATTTTCGAATCGACATCTAACAAGACTGTGCTGGTTTATCTGGCGAACATGTTTCCTAGTAGCCCACATCTCATCATACGTCCAGGAATGTGCAAGATAGTCAACATTGACTTTGGCATCCTCTTCAATCCAGAGGTCATCGCGCACAGCCCTTGGTCGGGACATGGTAGCCTCGAGGGGGCTGAGGAATAGGAAACGTGAAATCAAAAGAGGGAAGGTGGCGGGTGGCTATAGAGACTGGGAGTGAATGGTCGTCTCGTCTAAATTAGTCGCGAACTTCAAACACCAGTAGGAGGGTGAGGATGACTGGGCTTAATATACAGAACGGCAAGAATGCAAGCATGCTCTATCTATCTATCAGGCAAATGTCCGGTCTACTCTATCGACACTTCGCTAGCACAGTATCAGTCCCACAATTGATAAGAGCTCTACATGTCATACTTGAGTGTTCCCACTCAGAACACGGGCTAAACCAGACGCGTGAATCTGATATCGAGCCTGATTGGCGAACCAAAATCTACAAAAGGTATATTTGGGGTAGCTCCCCGGTTGCGGAGAGCTGGAAACACGGTGCGCAGAGGAGTTGCAGTGGCCCAGCCGACCGGGACAGCCGAGTTACCGAAGATGGGGAATGGTGGACATGACAGCCGGCGCCACCAGACCCGATGAGGCCGAGTAGGGAAAGAGGAGCTGTAACCATGGGGTGACATCTGGCCTTGTCAAGGGACGCGTCCGGGGCTGTTGGAGTCTCCCAGCCAACCACAAGTTCGCTGGCTGTCCGGAACATTCAGCCGCCCAATCAGCATCCCGGATTCCACATACTACGCCAGAACATCAGAATCTGACTCCTGGCCATGCCCTGAATTATGCTCTCGGCTGCGATATCCTCGATCCGTGGCGACAGCTGGTAGCTCTACTTGAGTGGGGAATCTAGACCTGCCGATGAGCGATATGGGATTCCCGATCTCCTTCCTTAACGAGCCCAGCCCTTCCTGCACAGCCATGAACCACCGTATCGACTACATCGCTACCACTTACCAGCCTAGCATACCATATCTTCCATAAACTCATGATGTCTGCTAAGAAGAATGCTCGGCGTTTTCTCGCTTCGCCTGCGGTTGTCGCCCCCGCCCTATCTCGTAGAGGATCCATATCAGAATTTTTGGCGGGGAATGCCCCAGGTCGTAGATAGGCAGAAAGTATTTGAAGCAAGCAGGTATCTAGCAGAAGTACTTTGCACCCTCCATCACACTCCCCTACTCTATCAAATTAACAAAATGCCTTGGTCCCTTGGAAAGTCCCTAGGCCTAATTGGTCGCGGGCAAGAACCACTCTCCTTCTCTCTTACCGCAAGCCCTACTCTTTGCGCGAACACCCCTTACATCTCAGATCTCAACGCCTCGAGGCTTCTCTCCACACCGGATCGTACCGAAGCAGACGCCCGCTGGACTTACCATACGCAACGAGATTACGAACCTGAAGACAGCTTCAAAGAGCACGCCGTGTTGTGCCTTCCATGTTGTCACCATACCGAAGACAACCAGCCGGGTATGGATGATACTCCTCTGGATAGAAAGGCCCGTAATGCTCTCGACGAGTATTCCAATTCTTTCGATGAATATCGTCTGCTCAAACGGAGGTTATCTACGTTGACGCACTCGCCACGGAGCGAGAAAGCTGCATAACTGTCACAATGTCGTGCAATCAGCTGCGATGCATGCAGTTTCTGGAAGCCATTCAACTGGCCTACTTCATGGCGCCACCATTGATTTGGGTGTTTTGGAAGGAATCTGTAACACTACGCTTATTTTAGAGCAAGTCGCTATATGTAATTTAACTAGCACGAAATGCATGGTCGGACGTTTCGCATTCCTTATCAATGCATGTAACCGCGAAGTAGTTACTACTCTATATAAACTCCATGTAAACCGCTTACAGTACCATTTTCAAAGTAATTTCTATCTGGTACTGTCAACAGTCTACTGGCCTATATGAAAGGTTGTGAGATAAACCGAAGCGCAATTTCTCGGTCGGATCAAATCTAGTGGCAATTCCTTATCAAATGGTACAGATGCAAATACTTTGGCTTTATTGCTATAGATTCTAGAACTGCTGCACGCAGGGCTGGAATGCAACGTAGCTATCTATGTACTGGAAACAGTAGCAGTGGCGAGAGTTTCAGTATTTCGGAAGACTGCCGCTACCCTAATCCATGGCGGCGATCCAGACCTGCCTACGAACCTGTTCTTAGTCAGGCCGCATTGGCCATACTGCATTTCCATGGTCGATGTCAACACGAGATGTCTTTATCGTGCTACAAGCTTTCTACGCGCAATCATCATGATGGCTGTGCATATAGCATTCCTGTCTGATAACACGTATGTATAACACTGGAATACTTGACTAGGCTTATATCATTATTGTTCGCTTCGTAGATACCTCTCTAGACTCTAGTATACTCAATTAGTCGAAACACTCTAGATTCTAGTATACTCAGTCGAGAAAGAACAGGTTTCAATTAGTACTATCATCCCCCAAAATTTCTATATTATTTGACACATCCTCAGAACACCAGGCCATAACTACCAACCATGTCCGCCAGAAATCATCACACCTGCACCTTCATCCAACCTCAAATCCTCCAACACATCAGCACCTCCCCCATCGCCCCCTCCAAAGCCCGACGCGCTGCCTTTCGCACCCTCACTCTCGCCAACGAAATCCACCACACCCGCCTCTCCTCCTCCCCAAACATCTCCCTCACACCGCACGCCCAAGCCCGCGACATCTACGACTGCCGCAACAAGCGCGGTCTCCCAGGCCTTCTCATACGCACCGAATCCTCCTCCGGCCCGACCACCCAAGACGACACCGTAAACCACGTGTACAACAGCTTCGGCATCTTCCTGCACTTTCTCTCTTCCGTGCTGGGCCGTCGATCCATCGACAACGACGGTCTCCGTCTCATCGGGTGTCTCCACTACGACAAGAATCTAGACAATGCGTTCTGGAACGGCCAGGAAATTATCTTTGGCGACGGGGACGGGGTATACTTCTCTGGGTTCCCGAAGAGTCTGAATGTCGTCGTGCATGAGCTGATGCATGGAGTGACGGATCATACGGCCGGGTTGTTGTACGAGGGACAGTCCGGGGCGCTGAGTGAGAGTATCTCGGATGTGTTTGCTTGTGTGGTTGAGCAGTGGTGGAGGGGACAAGGGGTCGAGGAGGCGGATTGGGTGGTTGGTAAGGGGGTTTGTGTTTGGCCGAAGGGGAAGAAAGGTGCTGGTGCTGGTGCTGGTGTTGGTGTTGGTGTTGGTGTTGGGGAGATGGGACTGAGGTCGTTGAAGGCGCCGGGGACGGCGTATGATGATGCTGTCCTTGGGAGTGATGGGCAGCCCCGTCATATGAAGGGGTTTGTGTATACGGAGGATGATAATGGTGGCGTGCATTGCAACTCAGGCATCCCGAATCATGCGTTTTACCTTTGTGCTGTGGGCTTTGGCGGACGGAGTTGGGAAATAGCTGCGGTGGTTTGGTATCGCGCATTAACTGATCCGAGGGTTGAGCCGAATTGTAGCTTTGAGAGGTTTGCGTTTGTGACGGTGGATATTGCGGAGGTGATGTTTGGGGAAGAGGCCGGGGGAGTGGTGAGGAGGGCGTGGGTGGAGGTGGGAGTTGAGGTTAGAGCGGTGTTGTGGACGGTGAAGGATTGATGCTGGCTGCTAGGATTCATGGATTTGGCTATGAATTGAGAAGTCTTTGGGGGTTGTCTTTGGAGTTGTAGCTACCTTTTCCATAATAGACGGTACTAAAAGTACGATACCCATGTTCTACTCCTCTCGCTCCTACTAGGAACTCATTGCTTGTGGGTATCAACAAGGTCTGCCACCCTGATAGCCAGATTCCTTCAAAGGTTGTCTGTAGACAGAAGCATTCTATTGATTCCAGCCTTCCAGATCATAAAGAAAAGCTAAGCAACTTATATGACCATAGAATATATCCACGGCTCGACCGCAGTGTTGTTGTATGGCAGGAGCATAAACGCATGTAGAATACACCTCTCTGGTTCCTACCAATAGCTGCAGTTACCACCTTGTCTGCTTGGTAAACCGTTAGCTTAAGTGGGAAGTAATCTCGCTTCTGCAAAGTATGATAGGGCTGTTAGTCCTTCGAGCAGTACGATAGTATGTCTTTTTCGTATTAGGAAAAACGTGCTAAAACAGGCCGCAGTGAATGATTTCATCTGGGACAGTTTAGGCAATCAAGCACATGGGCTTTCTATACAGGCGGCACATTATGTTTTACCCGGTTGACTACTACCACAATTTGGAGCACTCGCTTAACATCATTATCCGACACTAAAGCACACTTATTGGCTCACATGTTTTTGGAGAGTATTCACTGCCTCACTGCTCAGTGTTTACAACTACGCGTCTCTTTCCTCTCACCTTAGTTTCCCCTCTCTGCTGCAATAGACATATTCACGACCCAGTGAAAGTCAAAGAAGGCTCAGTTTGGTGAGTAGCAGTGTGTAAGGCTGTCTGATAGACTGTCCTTTATCTATCCAGGAGCAACAACCTAATTCAAATCAAAGTAAGTAGAATGAGAAGCTTCACTTTATCCTCATCTCACTTCACCCCTACTCACCTGGATCCTTTGTACAGGCCACGCGTTGCAGAACTACTAGTCCACTCTGAAATCCAAATAGAACTGACTAGGATCATCTGTTCCGAGGTTCAATTCACAAGCGGGTAGAGAATCTTCCTTGCATGGCCTGATGGCAACCCCGAGGAAGGCATCAAATAGGCCGAAGAAACGGACCCTGGTCCGCTGGGACGGTATGTTTCCTATCTCTTCTTCGATAATCCTATCTTGTGGGGATACTCGTTTAACCGAGGCTAACAAGTATAGAAAATTTGAACGAGCTCCTTCTATTGACCGTTCAGTCCGTTTGTAACACAAAGTCTGTCAAAATCCCTTGGGCCGATGTCGCTAGCACCATGGGTCATAATGTGACGGAGGGCGCAATCGTACAGCACCTTGCAAAGCTTCGCAGTCGTCGAGTCTCTGCAGACAAGGCTGTCCCCCCTCCCCTTCGACGTGGTGCTACTGGTATGTCCAAGTCTGCTGAAGAAACACCCACAAAGAGTGTCGCAGACGAGGAACCCAAGCACAAAGCCGGCCCAAGTAAGACCAATGCTTCCGGGCCCCGTGGTAAACCTCGACATCAGCATACATCCTCGGACGAAGAATGGGTCCAAGGAAGACCTCCCAGATCACGAAGACTGCGAAAGAGAAGAAAGTCGGCAGTCAAAGTTGAGGAGAGCTCTTCAGAGTCCGAGAAGAGTGAAAGCGATGACGACGACAAGCGCAGCAGCGTGGCCAGTTCCGATGAGCTTTTGGTTCCTGGTGCAAAATTCCTCGAATACCCCAATGACGCGGAACAACCACAGAGTAGGATCGTGACACTCAAGTATCGTCGCCCTTTCGCGGCCAAGGCGGACAATGCACCCTCCAAATCTCTGGATTTGGCCAACGACACCACTAATGTCAATTCTTCCCTTGTTCTGTCATCCAGGCAACCCAGAATCCCCTTTGCCAACGATCCCGATATGATGGACTTGTTGCCACACGACATACCAAATCGTTATGTGCCCGGGCATACCTCCAATGAACTGCCTGCACTGCCTTCAGAAGAGCATATCTCTTCCGATGACCTGTGGACCACTACACTCGGCCCCCCGCTTCCAACAGGAATGGCCTACTCGGGCTTGAATCCCACTTTCGAAGCGATTGTAAATGACCCTTTAGGATTTTCGCAGGAAGACATCGATAGATATCTCACCTTTGATCCTGGCAGCTATCCGCATATGCCCACCAGTTATACCAGGTCGGACCCGCCATTGAATGACTTTGACATGGATGAGGACATGAGGTGATCAACTTCTTCTTCGAGCTGGTAATTAAAGATGAATCAAGGCCGACAGTCTTTTTCTTTACATACCTTTGCCCTTGCCCTCCTGAAATTTTCGCTTCGATTGAATATTGATAACCTCGAACACATTCTGCAATACTCTCGTTTCATCTCGATATTCTCATTTTTCATTAGTTCATTGCATTGGATTTCATATCGGGTCATTCTGACATGAACGATAATCTTCATGCAATGTTTTCATTTTCATCGCATCACGTTTTTTCTTTCGTCTCTGATATCTCTGACATCTATGATCAACATAATGTATTTATTTCGTATCATTTAGCAACATAAACAATCTTATCGAAGCAATCAGACACGTCTTATCAATAGAGTGTGAAAAGAGCATCAGAGCAGAAGGACAGTACACTATAATTGTCGCCCGGGGTTTATATACTCGAAAAACTGAGATGAATGTAGAAAAGAGGCTATTGATAAACAAGCATTCAATATCCGTGTGTCCAATCAACTATTCCGCCAACCAGGACGCTGCTGCATATCTGTCATTCCTTTCATAAGCGACCGACTGATAGTTCAATTCGACCAGAAAAGTCATGTCATCTCGCTTCTCATTCCCGCATTGGTGTACTCCCTTATCCGTGGTTCCACCAAACAGAACCACTAACTGTATTTCACTTGTTACTGTTGGCCTTTTTCACATAATTAGTCAGTCACGCGCTTCTTCGTTAATTATGCCAATTGGGCAGAACTGTGAGTGTGTGAATTCCGATCCTACAGGGAGTAGTTAGTGGCGAGAAAATGAACCAGAGGAAACAGAGCGGTGGTGCATGGTGCAGATGGCACGGCGTTGTATCCGATGGCTGGCACTACCAAGATTGCATTTACTGGTTGTAAAGCTTAACCATAGGTTCTGTCCTGCTTCTCTAATGAGGTGATGCTGGATTAGTTTGCTATGTTTCCCTCAGGGTGAAGGGTAGAGTATTCACTGGTAAAGTTATACTAACACGCAGGTTGTATAGAAGTCATATAGTGAAATATCTCGTCAGTAACACAGTATCCTTTGCATTACCTACAAAAGAACTATTATAGCTTTCCCTCAAATTACTAGACTTGGTGTTACCTTTCCGGCGTGGTCATCTTCAGTATAGATAAAAGGCACCACTTCGCAACTTCAACTGCAACTACACTATCATCATACCTCTCTCTTCTCTACGTGCACACTACCCGTCTTCCAGATACTCCCTAAACGAATAAATCAATCCATCCATCCATCATGAAATCCATCTTCGTCATCTTCACCATCGGCCTCTTCATCAACCAGGCGTGGACCTGTGGCATACCCGGCACATTCTGCAGCCGCTGGGGTGCTAAAGCATGCGAGTGCAACGGAGGCCACTTGGTACGTGGGATATATCTGAACTCTATTTCATAATGCTAAGTGCTATTCCAGTTGGAATGTCAGGTCACCGTGGCTCCGATGGTGGATGGTCAGGGCGGCGATACCGAGGCGTTCTGGACCAAGATCAGGAACTGTCCTGTGCCGGCTGGTGGCGGGTTGCAGTGTGTTGACGGGGCCTGTACTTCTTGATTGGTTAATCATTGAAGGTATGGTGGGTCAAATGGTTAGGGGTGATATGCTAGGGTGGATGACTGCGGCGGTGGATTGCTGATAGGGGATAGTGGTGGAAGCATTGCAAACGTACGGTCGGAAAGGGAACAGGCGTGCTGGTTCGCTCACAGCTGTGGCCTATAAGGGAGGATATTGCTCCGACTTTGTCGGCGAAGGGTATAAGATAGAGAAATCCACGAAGCGATCTGGTCGCCAATAAGATATTAGTTCTGTTGGGCATGAACACAGCATCAACAGATGCTTTGTCAACTCAACCATTATTGCAAAATCTTCTATGGGCCTTTTTGACTTTGTAAATATGCCCAACAGGAAGACATACACGGTGGCAGGGAAAACTGCCCACAGTGCAGGACACGATCTCATCTCGCATATCGGCGGCTCCGAGGCGAGAGGCGAGAGCTGGACGCTGACGTGGAAAGCTTATTGCATGAGTATAATCGAAGTAGAATCAGTACTCGGCGCTAGAAATACAACCCCGACTTCACCTGATGAGCGATATAGCTGTGTTATTGGTCCATCGTTGCATAATCGGGCTTGGATTTCGTCGAGATCGAAGACTCTGTACGGACGTCTTACAACCGAATGTAGCGGTCTGCAGGTGAGACGTGGTATTTCCTTTTCGCTACGATCCTATGCCTCATCCCTTGCATTAAAGTTAAGCTTAGGGATAGATATGACGAGCTCCCGCATGGACAATGTGTGAGATTATCACAAGCTGAACATTATTGGATTCCGATCGGGTCGGGTCTCCTATCCACCGCTCGACCATTTCAGTGACCGGTGCTCTGCTTGTTAGCTATTTGGTATCATTCCAAGTTACATAGAAACCTCGGCGTGCATTCTGCTATTGAAACTCACTGCACAGGATCTCCGAAATCACCCCCGCGATTTGGGGGATTCCCCACCTTTCGGGACGAATGACATGCCAATCCTGCCTCGATGTCCGTCAGCTCTAATGCCGGAGCGAAGCTCTAAACCATTCAAATGACTCATGACAGCCGATAACAGAAGCTGCAGCCAAGATACCAGATCTGACATAACCGAAGAGCTACTGAGCAATTCATATATACGACATCTCCCACCCTATCTCAACCCATCATCCAACCTATCCTCCACCATGGACCCTTCAACCAACCCCCACCCCCGATTCGGATGGATCGGTAAGAACCCATCATCCCCCGCTAAGTATATACAGAGTACTAAATTCTCAGGTCTCGGCTCAATGGGCCAAGCCATGGCCCTGAACCTCCAAGCCCATCTCTCACACATCAACGCCCCATCTCTGAAATTCTACAATCGAACCGCAGCTCGTGGACTCCCCGTCCATGAGATTGGAGGTGTGCAGTACACCAACATCCCCGACCTCATCGTCAACACCGAAATCTGCTTCATCGCCGTGACTGATGACACTGCTGTTCGATCAATCATCGACACCATCACAACAGTAGACCCAGAGCATCTACGCCAGAAACTCATCGTCGATACTACGACCGTCCATCCAGACACGTCTGCCTGGGCAAAACAACGTCTTGGAGAACATGGAGCAATCTACCTCGCATCACCGGTATTTGGAGCCACGCCAACCGCGCAAGAAGGCAAGCTATTGTTTGTGGTTGCGGGCGCGGATGAGGCCGTGCAGCGGGTGGAGCCGTACATTGTGGGTATTATGGGGAGGAAGATGATGAGGTTGGGCGAGGATGTTACGAGGTCTACGTTGTTGAAGTGTACAGGGTGAGTTCTAGTGATCCTAGCTATCAACTCATATTTGTCTGACTGATGACAGGAACTTCCTCATCGGCGGCATGATGGAGCTTGTCGCCGAAGCACAAGTGTTGGCAGAAAAGTCCGGTCTCGGTAGCGATGTTCTCGAAGGGTTGCTTGAAGAGCAATATGGTCCTCTTCTCGCCTCTATGTCGAAGAGGATGACCGGAGGATTCTATCTGCCTGAACGGGGTCAGCGACCGTGGTCAGATGTGAATTTGGCCATTAAGGATGTCTCGTTGGGGGTGAGTTGTGCCGAGGGCGCGGGAACCGATTTGCCCGTGGCACGGGTGGTTTTGGATCATCTCCGGGCGGCACGGGGGTATGGAGAGGAGAATGGACGCGCGTTAGATTCATCGTCTATGTATGGGGTGTTGAGGGAGCGTGCGGGGCTTGCGTTTGAGTCGGAGAGGGTGAAGCAGAGGGATGCTGGGGGGAAGTGATTGAGCTGTGGGGGAGGATGGTCCGGAGTTATATATATCGTTAGTGGCTCTTCCGAAGAGCAGAGAACAATCCATGCATGGCGCATTTCTACGACGAAAAATGCTCAAAAACATTCGAAATAATGCATAAAGCATTTATAATGCGTTTAACAACCATATTTTGCTACAAAATATATAGAACCGACGCAAAAAGAAAGTTCTGCATCCAGATGTACGGGAAAAAAAAAACAAAAAGAAACGTCAGCGACAGGACTCGAACCTGTGCGGGCGAACCCAATAGATTTCTAGTCTATCGCCTTAACCACTCGGCCACACTGACTAATTGTTGAAGAATGGCGCGACTTAATACCTTAAGAGCTACTGTTGCAGCAGAAGCACTCACCCAATAATCCAAATGAATCATCAATCAAACGAGAGTCATCATTTCATATCATGATGATTATCAAACACAGATACTTCCCCCTTCCCCCAATTACCCGGCTATACAATATTTGCATCAAATTTTACAACAAGTAACCCACTTCACCAAATCCCTCGCGTACATCCAGCTGGGATACAAACAGCAATACACCCCCACCACGGCCGTAATCACCACCGCGGACAATCTACTACATCCACTACTACCACCACTACTCATCCGGCAGCAGGTCGTCGCTTTGGTCTGTTCCTATACAACCCATCAGTATCCCTCTTTCATATCATTACCGAACCAAGAATATGTAGGAAACCCACCTTGACTAGGATTATACGGCCTAAAAGACTGCGACCTGTCGGGTGGCGCCTTCGAACCCGACTGCTGCTGCTGTTGCGATTGCTGCTGCGATTCACCCGTATCAGCGTGATGAGCCCGACGGTTCAGTTCTTCCCATCTGCCTCCGGAGCTGAGGTCATCGACTTTCTCGACGAGCTGTGAGCCGGTGAGGTGGTATGCGCCGGAGGGTCTGCGTTCGCTGGTCATTGTGGTATCTTTCTTTGTTTCTTAATTTCTTGTGATGGTGATATTGATAATCGTTTCAGATGAGATAAGAATAATTATGGAATGTGATGAGGGTGGAGGCGACTTATATTATAGCTTTAGTGGAGTATGACATCGTGGGGGAGGGGGGAAGCGGGGAAGACGAACCGTGGTTGTGGCGATCCTTGAAGAGGTGTTATTGGGAGATGGGGTGCGGGTGACGCCCCCGAACATGTGGGTGCCAATCATCGGGGCTGCTTGTTACGCGGATATTGCATCAGATATTATTCATCTTATTCATGGAGGGACTATTGTTTGCGGGACGGTTTGGTTTGGTCGGTTGGTTGGTTGGTGATTGGGTAGGATAGGGTAGGGTTAGTGGTGGGTGGTAGCGAGTATGCTGGAGTAGTGAGTGGGATTGTCGCTCAAACAGACTATTATACACTGGATTTGAATTGGCGCTAATCATGAGATTGATGATTGCATTGCAGATTTGCTGCTTGTGGCATAAGCTATGGATGGGGAATTCAATAGGTAACTGTCCCTGGCTTAGCCACATGCAGCATATGCTTCTCACCCAAAAGAATCAAGTATAGATCTAGCAATTTGCATTTCACTGCACCTTTTCTATTTCTAGTTATTCATTAGTTTACATCTCTTATTATATACTTTTTACTGTCCTTAGCTCGCTTATTTCTCGACAACCCGAAGAGACAAAGATATCGATGATCACTCATCTACCAAGCCAAAGGAACAGACCAAAGCATGATGATCACTCCATAAGGGTTCATCGTGAGAAGATCCGCTTATCGGTTTCGGCTCTATTATCTTAATGTCATGCGGCTGCAGCCCAAGTATACCTATTCTGTCAAGCCGGTTAGGAGGGAATGGTTGCTTGCCATCTAGGCCCCAAGTGAAGCCAGGTTCTTCAGGCCGAAGAGTTACCCAAGCATCCACCAAGCCGTTCTTTTCTAGAAGGCCGTTGTCTTCATCGAGGACAGGATTGAAGTCACCTGCGACTAGTCCTTGACCTGCGACCCGAAGGAGAGATGTAACGATAGATACCTGCTTGGGTCTGTGGGAAGGCTTGATTGGCAGAGAGTCTAGGTGAACATTTACTAGACGTATCCGTGTCGGTCTAGAATCCTTAGGCGAAGGGACAAAGATATCACAGCAGAGAGCATCCCTAGCAAAGTGACTAGGGAACTTCACCCTCCAAATTGGTCCTATGGCGGCGTTTGTCGTGAAGCGTGCCTTAGACAGTAGGGTCATTACCGCAAACGATTGACCGCCCCATGATGTGTCGTCACATTCGCTCGAAAGCCAGAGCTCGCGAATCCGCTCGTCTTTCAAGATTTGCTGGAGGGCTGGCTTTGACACTTCTTGGAGGAATATGATATGCACGCGGGGATCTAACCCGATAATACATGTGATTATTTCTGTAACGCGTTTCTCGGTCTGAGGAGACGTTGCATCAATATTCCATGTCAGAAGGACAAGCCTTGAGGTATCGGCACCCCCAGCTGGGTCTGCTGGTGTATTTGTATCGATGTCGGAGCCAGTGGCAATCCAACCCTGGACAGGATCAAAGGTATGCCAGGACTGAAACTTTGGGGAGGCATAGGCCCCAGATGGGAGTGGTGTTCCGTGTTTCCAAGACAGGAAGCTCGTTTGGGCACGTGTGAAGATTTCCATATCTTGGATGGAATGGGTGCTGAATGTACTCAGCAGTGATGAGGGAGTTGGAAACTACCTGGGAAGCCAGGGGTGCCTAATACAGCAGGGGACAGTGACCTCTTGCGCAGATTGATGATTATAACAATAGCCGACCAACCATGGTCGATTGATCCTCGCCAGTTACCTAATACACTGGGTATCTGTATGAGGCCTAACTACTTAAGCTATGAGTCCTACTGTGCACTCGCAGTAGGAGCACTCGGATTCGTCACATGCGGCAACAGCACCCCACAGTGCTCCTGATACGGCAGCGAAGATACCTGCGGCCCCGGGTACTGCAAAGACGCAACCCTTGGACTAGTCACCGTAAATTGCGGCCACTCGAAGCCAAAGAAGAAGTCAATCGTCGAATCATACGATCGTGCCTTCAAGTACGCCGGATCGACGTTCGGGTTCCCGGTCCGGGCAAAAGCACCCCACATATCCTGGATCGCGTTGGTGTAGTAAATATCCTCGGGTACACGCACTGGCTGGTCAAAGATATAGTATGTGCCAAAGACCTCGTATAGATCGCTGCTGTGGCAGCGGTAGTATGGAGTATCTGGCTTTCCTACGGGGAAGGTACACAGGTCGTAAAAGTCATAGTAGCTGAGTGCGTAGCCTCGGTTGTGGATGTAGAACCAGTGGGACTTGAAGGCCCAGGAGGCGGCTGCGACCCATTGAAGGAGTGTGCCGTCGCAGTATAGTTGGCCTTCGGTACCGAGGTGGACTGAGGCGTTGTAGACCGAGGTGTAGGTTGTGCTGCCGTTGTAGACCGTGTTGTTGGTGATTGCGTAGAGCCCTGAGTTGAGGGCGGCCTCTGCTTGGGCTTCGTTGATAGCGGCGTCGCTGATGAGGATCTCTAACGCCTCGCTGAAGTTGCTCATGCTAGGCCAGAGAGTTGTGGTTGCGAGCGACTGGTATTCCTCCAGCATGTTGCCCGTTAGCACGTTGACGGAATTGATGTACTGTGCTCCGAGTGCATATCGAGCTTGAGTGTAGTCGGCTGAGTAGTGACCGTCGATGACGGTGTACCAACTGATACTATTGTTGCTAATATCAAGCAGGGTCTCTGCGGACAAGGATCGCAAGCAGGAAGCCCGTTGTGTGGCTGTGCCGTTACAGAATTTCTCAATGTAGGGTAGGGCGTAAGCTGCAGCGACTTCGGCAGTAGCGACATTTGACTTTCCGGACTGGACGATACCATTTTGAAAGAGGTCTTCACCAATAATTGCGGGACATGTAATCAGATCATTGACTGATGATCCACCGGCGGATTGACCGAAGATTGTCACGTTCTTCGGATTGCCCCCAAATCCAGCGATGTGTTGCCTAACCCAGCGCAATGCTTGGATCTTATCGGTCATCATGTAGTTGCCATTGAGCTCGCCATCATTGAGAGCTAAAAGACCGAATATATTGACCCGGTACTGGGTTTCAATTAACCATAGGAATAGTGGTAACGGGGATAGGCGCATACATTAAACGAGACAACCACAACATCCGAGCGAGACGCAAGACTAGCTCCATCAAAAGTGGAGTCAGCGGCCGAGCCTTGAGTATCACCACCACCATAGATCCAAACCATAACGGGCTTCCCGCTGTGAGGATCCAAGGAGTCGGCTGACGGGATATGTGGCGTCCAGATGTTGAGAAATAGACAGTCCTCACTATTTCCCCAGGGGTCTGACAAGTAAGCACCCATGTTAAGATGTCTGGGTGGATAACTTACTCAGGCCATACGAGTTACCATCGAAGTAACCAAACTGCAAACAGGCCGGTCCGTAACTCGTGGCGTTCACATACGGAATAGTATGATTCCACGGCTGCGCCGGTTGGAATCGTAGATTCCCCGTCGGGGGCTGAGCAAAGCGAATGCCAGCGAAGCGAAATGCCATGTGGTCCCTCATGCCCTCGAAAGTCGTACCGTTGTAGGTGACATTCACATGGGGGAAAGCAGAGTAATCCGTATCTACTTTGTCAACGAGAGGGGCGCTGTTGGTGCACAAAAACGGGAGATTGGAGGTCGAATTCGTGCTGCTTTGAACAACACCGCGCCACGATGTTGGGGAGGAGGAAGAGCATGATGACCAGAACAGCTGATCAGTAGTGATCCTGCCGAGGTATCGCTGGTAACTGAATAAGTTCTCAAAGTTGGCGAATTCGTCACAGCTCAGCAATGTCTCATTCTGTGCTGTGCACACCGCATTGGCATCAGCATAACTCGAGGCCGTGTTGATGAATAGGGCGCTAGGCTTGGTTCCATGAGATGTCCAGTTGCCGTCATTCTCGAAGAACACTGTCGTGTCATCACTTCGCGAGTCACTTGCAGCTCGAGCAATGGTCGGCACGCTTGTGGCAACGGCCGCTGCAATAAATACAGCTGGTGCCACCAGCACATTAAGAGAAACAAACATCCTGCTGTCCCACTAAGCAATGAAGTTCATGGCTAAGGATCAGTCAAACTGGGTTCAACGGCAGACATTGAAGATTTATAGCCCAGAGGTATCTTGCTTTAGCCAGTATGTTAGACCGGTATCAGGCTATTTGCTCTTGGGATCCGTTGTATCCGAGCCATTCGCGCCATCATTGCCTTATCTGCAGGGTGGAACTGACCCGATCTTACTCAAGCACAATGCGGGGAAGGGGAGGGAAAAGGTGGAGATGGGATGAAATATTGAGTGCACCGTGCGCCAGTTTGCTGTGTGGGGGTGAAGGCATACCCACCCGAGCCCACATCTACAATATTCTGATAGGCTCGGTTCGCTATTATCCTTCAGGGACTCAGACCTGTCAATGGGCTGCTTGCTGTTAACATCCCGATCAAGGCAAGACTCCGCAGGGGCCAATGCAGACTAGAAATCTTGGTTTGCTTGATTTGTGAAGACGTAATGTCGTAAGATCACGAGGTGGATGTGCTATTCCAGCCGAATTTACCATCATCTTCGTAATACTAGCTACAGGAAGGTCTTGAAGACATGAGGAATCAACCCAATAATCGACACCGGAAATGTATGACATATATAAGCGTCTACTCCGGGCATTTGGGCCTTTTTCTCATCATACAAATATGTCGGTATTATCATCAGTAATCAATCGGAGTGAATCCATGGGCAATCTTCCAAGCACCAGTGACTGGATCACGCTCATTCCGCAAATAATGCATGAAGCTTTGATCACGATACGGGCTCCACCTTGCGATTTCTTCTTCCGTTGTTCCTGGAGGGAAGCCGTCTTGGACACGGAAGAGATTTATGGGTCTAATGCGTGCCTCTTCTGGGACGAGTTCTGTGACTGCTGTCCCGGCATCTACATCCGAATCCACCGAGTATGGACTTGAGACAAATTCCAGTCCTGGGGTGCTGGGCTGACTTCCGAGATCCGAACCGACTATGCTGCTGCCAAAGTCCTGACAATATGGGTTTCGCATTTGGTTCGTCGGGTCCGGCAGTCCTTCAGATGACTTCATAGCCACTGCGCACACTTCCTCTATTGTTATGATTGTGTGCGACCACCTTGCCCCAGTAATAACCTTGTAGAATGCCTGCACTGCCGGTGCTTGATCTGCTAGGCTTAATGCCATTTGTCGAAGCTTGGGTTCTCGGCATCTCAGACTAGTGAACCACAGGGGAATCGAGATGCCAAGTTCGAGCGAAAGTGGAGGTTGAGACCCGTCTGATCTAGCCGAAGCACCCAGCGCGACCTGAGACTGATCCACTATGTTCTGGAATTGCGGAAGGTATGCGTCGTTTGCGGTCTCCAACTGACATGTGGAAGTCCCGATCATTACGTATAGCATCTCGTGATAAGCGAAAAGGAGGGCGCCAGTGCTTATTTGCTGCTGTGATAAAGACCCTTTCATGTGCAAGGTTTCCATCATGTCCGTGAACGCAGCGTGCCACACCTTGAGTCTACTAAGTAGAGCGCGGCGTTGGTTGATCAACTCGCGAGGTGGGTGAAATCCTTCAGGATTCAGGAAATATGGCAGGCAGACACGCTGAAAGAGCTGAGCCTCTGCAAGCAAGAGAACGAGGGCTTCGCGAGCAGACTTGAGGGAGGAAAACCCCTGTGTCAAGGTCTGCTCAGCGTCGGGTAGCAAAGCGCCGACCGGAACAGCGGAAAAATTGAGCGCCGTTGCCCCAAGACGAATAAAGATCGGGACGATGATGTCCTCCAACCATGCAGTTTTGGATGACGATATGACCCCCGAAGCGATCTGAGCACGCAATGTGACGATGAGCTGTACGCCTTGACAATAGAGCAGCGTAGCTTGCGCTGCACCACCCTGAAAACCTTCAATGCACATGAAGAGTATACAGCTGACCAGTCCGACCAGGACATCCCCGTCGCCGCGGTCCAGTCGCTGACGGACTTGGGACATTGAGCGGGAATACCAGCTGATGGCGTCGCGGTGGTACTGATTAAGGAGAACGACATCTCTCTGGCGTTGAAAGGCTATATCTGGACATGGCTCTGGGCTTTCAAACAGGGTGCTTAGGGAGATGATGGCATCCCACACGGCAGGTTCGCTGCGGCATATTTGGGGAACGATGGTACTCCAGAAGTCAACTTCTAGACCCCCGCCGATGAACAGGGCAATATGTTGAAAGTAAAAGGCAAATGCGCGACGCTCCTTCCAGACTGTATCCGGCGCTGAGGACAGTGGTTTGTCGAGGATTGAAAAGGTGGCAGGTGTGGATGAAAACGTGCCTAGATTTGGGCCTTCATATTCGCATTTACGGCCTGTCTTGCTGCATCGAAGACAACTTGGCTTTTCCTGCCCACACTTGACTCTCCGAGCCCTGGAGATGATATCTGTAAGCTTATGTCGTGGGGATATAGTCTCAAAGCACCTACTTGCAGGTTTTGCAACCCCGCCTCGATCTCAGGGGACCAATTACCGTATCCCTCACATGGGTGGAGGGAGAAAGACGCATAATGCCAGCATTATCCTCGAGGTCAATCAATGTAATGATGCATAGCAGACATGTTAGCAGCACGGAAGAGAACAACCGAGAGACTTAATGAGAGAAGGAATGTTGAAATGGCGGCGATGACTGTTTCATGATGAGGCGATAAACGGCCCTGACACGTGAGTGGCTGATTCATGAGGAATCAGTCACGTGGTGCTTGGCTAGGAAAGAAACATGAGGCTACACCGCATGCAGTTAGTCTGACAGTCGTGCTGATGGAAAATAGGGGCAGATTAAAGATATCAGATTATACCAATTTGATGTTTATCTTATCAAAGATTAGGTGTTCGTAGGGTAAAACTTCCACTGGGGGTCAAAGCCGTAGAGTTCTGGTCAACCTTGGTTGGAGCCCATTTCGTGTCCCGGCATTACTTTCCTCGTCTTACGAGCGGCTTTTGCTTCTTCATGGCCCGTGTCGTCGTTGCCTTGTCTCTTTTTCTTTGCTCAGCGACTTAACATTCTTTCTGTTCTGTTCTCCCCCTATTTCTAGCCTGCCTCGCAGCAGTCCTCTCCACCAGGTGAATGTGCAAGTAAATCTGCAGGTTACATTATGGCGGAGTAATCAGTAATGTGAATGAATCAGATTATTACTATGGGAGCAATGAGGGCACAAACTGAGAAGCAAGTCAAGACACAACGCGATCGCATGACTCTAATCGGACTCTACTTGACTGCCGTGTGTGCACCTCTCCTTTCAGTTGCCGTATCTTTCATTAAAAAGGGCTATATATGCTTGAATGTCTATCACGGACCAAGAATCCAATGCCTAGAGGATAGTCAGTATCCGAAACCAGTAGAGGTTCCCGCTCAGACGGCAGAGAGTCGAGCGAACAGGTCAGATGAGGATAAAATGGCCGCTATGCCCACCTATACGAGCACAAGACCTGTGCGATGACCTCATCAGCTCTGTACGACCCAAGGAAAGGGTAAGATTACCCGCCTCGACAGAAGAAGAATTTTTGCCCGCATTCGTTGGACCAGCCCCAATTAGACTCTCAAGGATGTCATGCAACCATCCACCCACCAATCATTCGACGTGGGCGGTTCGTCCCGGGCACTCGATGCGGGGAAATCCGGGGTACATTATAGTCATTCCAGACCGGGAAAGTTACCCCATATTCCCCCAGGATTCCAGCTTCAACCTAATCGGCGAATGCATACTCAACTAGCCGCAACCCTATATGGATCGGCAATTGACTCCGGTATAAATATGCCTACGCCCTTCTGGGTATGGGATGGTGGGTTGCTTCTCAGCTGATCCACACCCCCATTCACTAGTAGTACATACATTGCATTTAGTCTCCTGCAATCATGGCAGACAATGACACACCCGACCGATCATCAATCCAATTGAAGAAAGATCTCGCAACTGCCGAGCATGATGAGAATGTGGGTGCGATCGAGTCGACCTCTGATCTGGCCTATGGCGTGGGCGGCATCCGCGGCCTCTTCCGCTCGTGGTATGTCTTCGGGTCGGCGACTCTGGCCTCGCTGGGCGGCTTCTCCATGGGGTATGACATGGGTGTGATCTCTATCATCAACGTGATGGATCAGTTCCATGCCGTGTATCCTCGTTCTGAAACTGCTTTCGGAAAGGGTCTCATGACAGGAATGTTGCTGCTGGGTGCCTTTGTCGGCTGTCTCTTCATGTCCTATCTAGCCGATCGCATCTCCAGAAAATGGGCCATCACAGTCGTCGTGGTGATTTTCGACATCGGCGCTATATTGCAGACCGCAGCTGTGAACTACGACATGCTAGTAGCTGGCCGCTTTATCGGCGGTATTGGCGTGGGCACTCTAGCCATGGTACGTACCCTCCCTCCCCTACCCCCATCATCCTACCTACCTATCTACATACTAACCCTAACCCCCTCTGGAGGGTGCACCTCTATACATCTCCGAAACCTCACCCCCCGAACTCCGTGGAATCCTCCTCGTCCTCGAATCCATTTCCATAACCCTCGGCGTCGTCATCGCCTACTGGATCACCTACGCCACCCGCTACATCCCGAGCGAAGCCTCCTTCCGCCTCCCCTTCGGCCTCCAGATGGTGACCGCCACCCTCCTCGGCATCGGAATCCACTTCTACCCCTACTCACCGCGCTGGCTCGCTCTCGTCGACCGCCAAGACGACTGCCTCTCCAGCCTCTCCAAACTCCGCGGCCTCCCACGCACAGACCCCCGCATCCAAGCCGAATTTCGCACCATCGTCTCCGAAGTCACCTACCAGCGTATAGTCCAGGACCGCCGCCACCCGGGTGCTACGGGCCTCAAACTTGAGCTCTTCTCCTGGCTGGACCTTTTCTCCCGAGGTACCTGGAAACGCGTCGCCGTGGCCTGCGGCGTGGGCTTCTTCCAACAGTTCTCGGGTATCAACGCGTTTATTTACTACGCGCCGACGCTATTTCAATCCCTGGGACAATCGGATAGCATGTCCACCATTC